GCGATCGATCGTATACGCGTCGTGTGTCATCGATGAAAATATTATTACGTTACATACGCGATGGTGTATGCACGTGTGCCTAGGCGACCTGCGCTCTTTGCTATACTTATCAAAATTTTAAGAGAAACTCCATGTGTATACGATACTTTACGGGTCTTTTAAATCACTTCCTCGTGAAGGAGAGAGAAGCAGCCTCGAGTAATGGACCATGTATATATGCGCGCGCAGTGATTTTCTGACGCTCGCGTAATACATATTTTTCGCGAGAGAGATAATTTGCGATCACGTCTGTGTGTGTGTGCGCGATGATGTGTGCGCATATTCATATATTGGGGCATATCATCCCGTCGTGAAATATACATCGTGCGCGCACACATGGTCTTCGTAAAAGGCATGTTTTTCATCGAACGATTCGAGGTCATCGCATCTCGCGCAGACGCTGCTACTTTATAACATGTGCGCCGTGTGAACTTGTATACATGCACGCACGAACGAGAGCGAGAAAAAAATTGCCCAAAGACGATGATGCATATTAGACCGCAGCTTGATATTAGAACGTTTATACAGGCTACATTTATAAATCACCTGAATTCGAGCCAGTTGGATCAGCAGGAATTTAATCGGTGACTCGTACAGAAGCGCGTGTGGGATGCAAATTTCGCTTGACGTTTATTTATTTTTCTCCTCGTTTGAATTGATAAAAGTCGATGAAATATGCGCAAATATTTGCCAGTCCCCGAAATTTGATCAATTTATAATTATTGCGTATACCATATGCGAGAGTGGAACAATGAAGATCGGGGCCGAAATGTCATTATTGCGACACAGTTCGTGAATTTTTTAATTCGTCAATATCGTCAGAAAAAAAAGTTGACGTCACGACGATCATCTTCTCATAATACACATAATGTGTCGTTATTATCGAGGAAGATTAAATGTTTCAATGTTGATGTCATTGCACGGTCGTAAGGACACATAATTTATGCCTCGTGCACATAATACGCTCGAGACTCTGCAGCGATCTTCAAAAAATAAAAAATAAATAAAAAACACGAGGGAATAAAAATCGAGAAATGTATGCTCGTGGGCATCGAAGTTTCTCAACGGGCTCCAATGTACACTGTATAGCGGGTATACCCGAGCATGATCATCACGATTTTCTCTCCCTTTTTTTCCTCTCTTTCTCTCGTCTCCGCTATTTGCTGTTATACGGCATATTACCGAGTATCATACGAAGCCACGTGGGTAATGAAGGATCATGCATACATGTCTTTCTCTCTCTCTTTCTCTCTGTCTCGAAATCGGCCGTTATTGTAATAGCTTGGAGCAAAAGTAATAATAGTCGGCGGGCGCAAGCGCGAGAGATCGTCGGTTGGACAATGTGGCAGGACTTTTGAGATGCATACACATATAGCCGCGCCACGATGATACGAGCGCGCAATGAGTGTGCGATGCGTATACACAATCGGTCGATGAATACGCTCTAGCTCGCTCAATACATAATACGGCATATCGGTACGCAAGACGCCGCGATTTAATGAAGCAACATCGTACAGCAAAAAAGATCGCCCGCTTCATATACATAAGTATCGAAAGCCGATTATGATATCGGAGATGGCCTATGCTCGCGTGAAATATAAAATATTGTATGTGGGTTAGTGAAACAACGATCGAGTCGAGTCGCGCGCGCGCTCCAAGAGAATCGGCCGCGCAAAATTTGCCGCTGATAAATTGGCACATATTGTAAACGCACTTCGCCGATCATGTGTATAATATAATAACGAGCGATTCGGCCGCGTGCCGAGAGAGAGAGAGAGCTGAATCGAGGTTGCGATCGCGCTATATATACGATATCGATCGAAAAATGATCGTGAAAAATCGTCGACGAATCTCTTTTACATTTCTCTCTCACTACATTTATTATAATACGTAATAATACTCGAGCACGCAGCTGTGTGCGTGCCTATCTCGAAATTGTTTATAATAATTTTCCTTACTCGCGCGGATGACACATCGCTTCGTCGTCGACGTCTACTATAGTAGCCGGGCACGTATGGCTATATAATGTACAATATAATGCGCGCACAGTAGGCGGCTTCGCGTACATACATGTACAATACAACAATCACCGCGAAGCTTACCGATCATCGTCTCGTCGGGGCTGCTGCTCTCGTGCACGCCGTGACCTTAACGCGGCCGATACGATACCATCTATAGCGTACCTATGTGTTTATAAATAAAAAAAGCAAAAAAAATCCTTATAAGCATAAAGTATACCACGGTCTTCCAGTTTTCGTGTCGCTTTTAATTTGCTTCAACGGCGCGAGCGAGCGCAGCAGCAGTATCTGCCCTTTTTCCATTCTCCTCCTTCTCGTTTGCAAATATTGAATGTATGACACGATCTTTTTTTTTCGTTCTTTTATAAGTATATATACACGTACATACTGCCACGCGAATATACGGAGGCCATCGGGCTGAGCTAAGCGTTTTCATATACGATATACCTTATTCTTCCTCTTATTTTTTTTCTTTTTCGTCGGGCATAAGCTCGCGCGAGTGATATTTGCAGGCCAACAACACTACGCTGTATATGGCAGCTGGCTTTTATAATCGACGCGCAGAAAAGAAGAAAGCTTAACGAGCGTCGCTCTTTTTTCACGGCCCTCTTATGTAAGTGTGTGTGTGTGCGTGCTGCCGTTGACGCTCCACGCTCGTGACGTTCCATGGGTGTGGTTTCACATAATATTCGCTTTATTTTTAAAAGATGATGTCCTTTCCCTCGAATTTCGTAATCTATATAAAGTATCGTAGCGAAGAGGCGCGCGCGCGTGCGTGCGTGCGTGTCAGCGGCACGTGTGGATCCTCTCGTGCGGCAGCCGAGCGAGGCTCGATCGAACGGTCAACGGAGGAAAAGCTTCGCCTTTTCGATCGAACTTTGCGAGCTTGGAAATGAGCGAATAATAAACGCGCATAATATGGTGCACAGGTATACGAGCGATACGTATACGTACACGCGTTTCGCGCAATTTAGAATCCGCACGGACGGCGGCATACCTTCGCGTATACTATAACGTAGCACCGCGTGTATAAATGCGGGTACGCGCGCGCGCGCAAGCCGGAGTAAAAATTTATTTTCCCCAAGTTATTTCCTTATTATTTTTCGCGCGCCACAGGAGTACAGTATATATACGGTGCAGTACAGCACAGACACACACACACACACACACACATAACACACATCGCACATTTAACGTGTACATATATAGCCAGGGTAGCTTTACTCGGCGCACAGTTGGAGAGCGCGGGAATTCGCTTTTTAATGACTGCTAATTTGCGCGCCAGGGTAAAGGAGCTAGGCTCGTTGGGCGTGAGAAAGGATTTCTTCAAATTCGCGTAGAATCGCGCCGCGCTGTGTACAGTATAATATCCTAGACCATGTGTTTACAGCGTTGATTATGTGTATCGCGCCCTCGCGTATATACACGACGACTAAGACACTAGTCGCTCTCGTAGGTATATAGGTGTGCATCCTCTCCGCGGCGCAAAATCGAGATCGGAATGGGGATTGCGCCGCCTGTCATGTGCTCGCGTGTGTACGTATGTATGTACATTGAAAGGACGCGCGTACGAGAGAGAGAAGTGAAAATTAACTTTTTTAAATCCTTATCGCTGTAAGCCAAGTCGCTCGAGGTATACACGCACCTTCTATATATATGTTGTATACGATTCGCGCGCACGATCGGAGCAGATGTTATTCGGAAAAAGCCTTGACATTATTATGGTATATTATGCGGAGAGCTGTGCGAGCCATATTATGCCTTCGAAACATGCTCTCGTCCCCGCGCGGTCTGACTCACCCAAAACAATATTCCGCAGCGTATAAAAGGCGTCCCCGATCGGTATTAAAAATGTTTTCGTGATTTCGATTTTTTTGCTACTCCGCAGTCGGTTCGGTATGAGACTGACTGCATGTGTGTTTATGTATATACGTAACGAGCCGCGGGCACACGTGTGCCCGACGGAGACTTCGAGCACGCATACAGATACAAAGTTGGTAACGAGCATACAGCCGCGAACTCGCGAACGAGCGCAAAAAAAGCTTACGTAATACAATTTAACCGATCGATCCGATCGTTAAACGTACAATACGTGTATATATATATAGGTACGAGAAAGATTTCGCGACAATGCGAGATAACACCTGGATTCTTTAGCGCAAAAGTTGTCGCCCGCGAGCACCGATAATATTCAACGTTTTAGTATATGCCGTGCACATTTTCACGTTACTGTAACATATGCACGCGTGCGCGAGAGAGCTTACATAGCGCGATAAGCAACATACGCATGTATAATACAGATATTTTTCTGGAAAAATCATTCGCCACAAGAAACGCGAGCGAATGTATAATATGCGAACTTATGTGTGTGTGTACTCAGCTGCGTTGTTGCTGTTATATACAGCGCGTGTGCATGGGTAAGCGAAAATTTCGAGGTATTTGGGTCGATTTACGAGTCGTACGCTTGAAACGGATTTTTTTCTCTTCTTTTCTTTCGATTTGAATTCGAGCGAGCTCGTGGCCACGCGGATTCGCGCGCTCGATGCACAATTTTGTATTCGGTATTCCTGACGCGACACACGAGTCAAGACACCGATTTTGTTGTTTGACTTTTTTACGACTCAGCAAATAGGTGGTTCTCGCATGCAGATGTGCATGGCGCATATGTAACGATTCTCAAGGCATCGTAAGATACACTCGAGTAAAAATTCAAAATATTTTGTGATCGCGACGTATCACAATGAGTCGATGCACATGTCGGAATTGATTAAAAAGGACTGAGAAAAAGAGTCGTCGAGTACATATATATACCGAGCAACTTCACGGTCGGTATTAACACTTGAAAGAGTCGCCGATCTCGTTTCGAAAACAGAAAAAGAAAAGAAAAGAAAATGTCAATCCATCGAGGAGAGATAAAAACAAAGTCGCGGAAAAGACACTTACTTTGCGCTGAGCCTCGGCGGCGAATCCGGACTTGGTTGCTCTGTTGCAGGCCATTATGTTTCCTTGTTATTGGCGGGGAAAATTCGTGGAAAAAAAACCTTCACTGAACGTAATATCTTACGATGTGCGTGTTCACACGACGTGCAGAAAAACTTGCCGATAAGTAAGTATAACACACGAGCTTGTAACGACAGGGAGCCTCTCGGAAGCTAAAGTGGACACTCGTGAGTTCTCTACTCGACTGACACTGCTTTGCGCACGCTGCTCCGATAGCACGGCTCACAGGCAGAGTCGGGCGGCAGAGCAGCAGCAGCAGCACGCACACGAGGAGAGCAGAGCGCGCGCGACTCCAAGGCACATATAGGAGTAAGAGCGAGAAAGAGAGAGAGGCAAAAGAGGAGATGCCGATTGCTTCCTTGCGCTCCTCCAGAGACAGAGAGAAAGAAAAGGAGAGAGATACCTTTTCCAGTTTCCATACTGCCTATATACCTATACATAAATCGCGAATAATATTCAAGCGCCACGCGCGCGCTTGCGAGTATATTGGCATGCACACCGACACGCACACGTACACAAACACACACACATACAGACGCTCTTTTCGCGGACGCGATACCTATACGCGTCCTTATACTCCTCGATACGTATCACGTACGGCTGTCCCACTCCTTTTTGGAGCTCCGCAGTCGTTTCTGTCACGCGCCTATTATTATTCTCCTGGATAATGCGAGTTTCGCACAAAAGTTTCTCCGCGCGCGCGCCCATGTAGGCTCGAGCTTTGACGTTTTTCGAAGAATCTCTGACGGCGTTTATAATAAAACAAACTTATGGGACTCTCCCTGCAGCAGCAGCTCGACCGATATAATATACCGCGAGCATTCATCATCTCCTACCCTCGACGCAGGGAATTTATCGAGCCCGCTTTCCGTGAAAACCTGTCAATCTCTGCACGTTGTATGGTATATTGTTTGATGGGTGTATCGTGTGTACGTCTTACGCTTTCCTAAATTGATTTATCGAGCGCCGATCGACGCTCATCGGCGATTGTACTCGCGTCTAAATTCAATCGAGCCATAATTATCGTCGGTCCACCTTATCTTATCGATATAACATCAATGATAGTTATTATATACTGAATTTCTGCTAGTTTTTCGTGATTGGCTTTTACACGTATGTGTGTCAAATTTGCGTGCGTTCTAATCCAATATGCCACCGCGTCGTGCGTTCACTATGGATATTCTTCGACAGCCTATGAGACAGGACATCGTAAAAATTGATGATTATTGGGAACAAAAATTGCGAGAGCTTTACACACATCGATCGTTACGGGCGAAGAGCGCCTGACGCAATTGTTTAAATCCCGGTCACGTTTAATAGTGTTGCCCAAACTCGATCGATCGATGATGTCAAATGATAGGCACTTCCATTTTCGGAGCATCGCGCAATTTAATTGTTAACTTTTGTGCGATCGGATCCTGCTTGATTGCATATCGAGCGTGGAGAAATCGTTCTTCCCTTGGTTTTACGGTTTTTCAGCACCAGCTGATTCTACTCGTCTGACGACTGAATTATGCAGCAGGTTGACCAACGAAGATGTCGTGATCCGGGACCTTTTTAAAATATACGACAGGTTCGACGTGAATTGCACCGACAAGTTCAGTCGGACACATTTTCATGTGGCCTGCAGGTATGGCTTCGACGACGTCGTCGAGAAATTTAGGATCCCGATTGCCTCACGCACAAATCAGACGAAGCGCCACTGCATCTGTGACTAGAACACTAGCTCATCAAGTCGTTCGAATTATTGTTGAAGTATGGCGCTGATCTGAATATGGTCAATAGGAGCGGATTGTCGGCTCTGTCCATCATTTGCAAGAGAAAATTCGATAGTTGTTTGTTGAAGATATTATTCGAGACGTTCGGGACAAATGGGGTCACACGCGGCTACACTTTGTTCTGATCCATCGTAGAAGCGATTTGGCTGGATTGCTTTTGAGAAATGAAGGGATCCAAATGTAGCCAACGTAGACGGATTAACACTGCTGCAAATTATTTGCAAGAAAAATTACGATGGTCATGAATTGGCGAAGATGCTATTCGAGCTCAGCAACGACAAATATTGGCCGGTGCAATACAAGTCGATGCCCAGGACAAGTAGGGACGCACACCGTTGCAATGAGCAGCGGTGAATTTCTTGCTGAATACGATCGATGCACTCTTGGATCATGGCGCTGATTCGTCCAGCTTCGTTTTCCCCCAGCGATTTATTTTAAAAAGCATTACATAACGAGATTTTCGAATTAAGACTAGGGTGTGATCTGACGTCCGTCGTCGAAAGTCTTGAGAAAAGAGGATTCTAACTGAACCGAAACGACGCCCTGACGATCATGCAATTCTTCGAAGTCTCTTATTGTTTAACAATGAGTGTTACAATCAGAATGAATAAAAAATATGAATTGATTAATTCACTTGGATTTTAATTTTTTGAATTTTAATTTTATTTCATTTATTTTGTAACAAATCATTAAGAAATTTTACAATAATTTGCAGACGTTCTTATGCGGCTAATTGTCGATTGTAGAAATAAGTTTTTTCTTTCTCTGTGCCGGCATTCGAAGATAAAAAAAGCACATCGCCGTAATTATGCCCATATATCTTCTCAGCATTTTGCACCCTAGGTTAGAGCATGAACTTGGCCCGGCAAAGATCGCGCAACGCGCTTTTACATAAAATCAAAAAACTCAGACATCGTTACTACACTTGTACGTTCTTTATACGTGTATCGGCCTACAGTTAACTTTTGATTATTTTACTCGATAATTTTCAAATTTTTTTCTAACAAACGTATCTCGTCGAAAAAAAACGTTTTATGGCACGCCTTGTAACGTTTGTATTGTAAAAAATCGGCAAATACATGGGTATCCAATATGTTCAAGCGAATATAATTGTATGGTATTCTGTTTTCGACCTGTAAAAAAAAAAACGACGAAAATTGATAGGTCGTCTGGTTCTAGACAAAAAAGGTATAGGTCTTGATCGGCGCGCAGGACAAAACTTTGAGCCACAGTTAAATATCAATGCACTACTCGTGGTACATATTGCAACTGTTGCGGAGCTTACGTGTACATAAACCGCAGGGTCCTACGGCACATTTAAATAAACCTATCGCAGTTCACGTTTGCATTCCTATACGTAGTCTAGCGTATACATATAATATTATTGCATATGTAAATGTATACTCCCACATGTATCGTATCCGATACACAGGCGCGTATGTATAAGCTGCACTGGTACTCACACACACGCAAAAAAGTAAACTCGAGACTGGACTCGAGCGAGTAGCTCGAGACATAGTTCGACGAACTCTCTCTCTCTCTTTCTCTCTCGTGCCAACAATTCACGTAGAAGCTGCGCGAAAAGGACATGTTGCCCGCGGCCGTCGTTTACGCGTGAGACAGTTTTATATTCACTTATTTCTCCATCGGTTCACGGCAAAATGTTCCGTTTCGTTAGAGCATTTTATTATTGCCTCGACGATTTCCCCTTTTCCCTTTAATGCTTTATCACTTCGGATTTTATATGTATTATAGAGCAGTCGCTGATCCTCAAGAAATAAGATACAGATCGATTGCTATCAGATTTTATATCGCGCATTGATATTTCGCCTTTTAACTGGGTAAATCTGACTTTCGACTCTTGTCGAAGAAACTACATGGCCTTGGGGCAGTATTCGTGTCATCTTTTGTTTTTGATTGCTGACATCATTATGAAAATAGTGAGTGTATATCATTATACGACCTGATGGATGTTACACCTTGTATTACTAAGATTTAAGCACCATCGATATGAGACTCGCGTATTTCTTTATCGCTTGTATTAATTGTCCTCGTCATTTTTAAATTGAATTATGGTCTCAGCTGTGATCATTTCCAACTTTTGTATTGCGTCGTTAAACCCTTACTCTCGTGGTTATGTTGCAGAGTCTTGCAAATGAAAATAATTTATTCTCTTGTCTTTCATTATGAATATATTTTGAAAGTAGATTTTAAAGGACACAAAAGTCAATTCAGATTGATTTTCATCACTATTTTAAACAACTTAATGATTGCAAGTATATCTTTTCGATTGTTTTAGAAAAGCAGAAACAACTAATCGATAAAAAAATTACCTTTCATGATTAAAATATTGCGGTCAATTTGCACCAGATCGGTATGGGATTCGTACGCAATACATCCCATGCCAGTAAGCACCGCAGAAAGAGGGAGAGTAAGAAAGAGAGAGGCGCAAAGATGGAAAAGCTTTTAAATCGCAATGTAACTGCTACACCATGCATTTATACCATGTATACCGATGAAAAAGTATATGTAAATTTGATGCATAAAAGTGATCTTCTGACTATCTCGCGACTATGAGAACGTTACGCTTGAAAGGGCAGTTCTCAACAGCAAATATCTATACTATACTATATATCGTATGTATGTGTGTACAGTTTATAGTTGGTCTACTGGTCATGGAAAAATGAATTCTTTGTAACTTAACAAAGATCGAGCATTCTAGAAAACTACAAATGCCGCGATAAGCCAATATTATATTTTGTACAGTATTCATTAGAAATTCGTGGGGTTTAACGCAAAATAATGCTTTAACAATAGATTTTCGGATCGAAGTACTAAATCTGAATATAAATTGAATATAAGTTGAAAATAAGCATTTTATCGATCTCTTCTTGAACCATACTGAAAATGTATGAAAATTTGTATTGAAATTCTATTGATGTCAACACCGAAAAACTATAGCGGTTTTTTTGTGCAAAGGTACACAGAGTCATGTTTTTCGCTATTTTTTATCTTTGCGAGTAAAATCGGTTGAACTTTTCGTTGACTGTCTCGATCAGATTGTGTTCGAGACACTTGAAAAGTTTCTGGTTTCAAAATTGGGTAGTAGTAAGTAATAAAACATATGTTCATACTGTCAACATTTTTCAAATTCAGAAGGCAAACAATCCTTCAAGATCTGGAATTTGATCTCAATTTGACATCGATATACATGCACCAGTGCATTATTGTAATGTACCTAATTTAAAAAAGTAAGTAAAAGACCATGCAACTATTTAATTCATTAAGTCATAACAGATTATCAATTATTGAGCGTGTCAAGTAAAACATAAAGTAAAACATAGATTTCATGTTTTCATAAACCCTAAATCTAACATCATTCTGTTGTTTTAATTAATGTAATTAATGTAGAAATTGATCAACAATAGAACTAAATAACAACTGACACATTCTATAGCTACTTCTATACTATTGGCCACTGTAAAGGATTTTAATGAGAAAAGTTGTACCCATTAGATCTTACCAAAAGTTTTATAACGTAAAAATTAGTTTTAAAAGTTGAAAAATAATTTCCTTTATACTTTAAAAATACAAACATTCAATGAATAACTTTGTTTTATAATAAGTAACATTTCTGTAAAATCTGCATAAAGCAATTAAAATTTTAATCTGATTATCATATGCACATATTTACAACAATTTTATTAACTAATTAATTTAGGTTTCTAGCGTATCAACAACAAATGATACAGTTCCTTGTCTATCATCGCCTTCATCATCATGAACTTCTTCATACTCTTCCTCTTCTGAAGAACTTTGACCATCTGAATTATCACAATTTATGGACCGATATGATCCAATATCTTGAGGTAAATCACCTATTTTTAACTGTGTATTACCCAAATGTTGCTTGAGACGTTCAGCTGCATGTTTGGCTTGAATTTGCTATAATAAAAATTTTACAAATTTACGTAATTTTTTAAAGTACTGATAATCCAATTATTACTTATAGTTTACCTGTAGCTTAATTTTTTGCTCTTGTTCCAATTTTAATGATTCATGGAGATCTAACATCTTGGCAGCTCCATAAATATTAGCAGGTGTATGTGCTGCATCTAGTTCATAATGTTTATTTTTTCTAAGTTTTTCTTCTATTTGCATTTCTTTATTTGGATCATGCACATTTGATTTAGTAGTTTTATAAGGCTTAAATTTTTCTCTTGCATTAGTTGTACTAGGATTTTCTACTTTATTTACAATATATTTTACATGTTCCAATTCCATAGGATCTTTTTTAAAAGATTCAATGAGTTCTAGATCTTCTGGCTTGATTGAAGTTTCTTCAGGGGGTAGATGAATGATTTTTTTCTTATGTGTACCGCTGCCAGTTGGCTGTTAAAGAAAGATATATATTATTTCATTTATGCAAAAGTTATAATTTTTTCTTTAACACTAAAATGGTTTTAACCTGCGCAATAATTTTCAATGGATCTTCTTCTTCATCACTGTCTAGTTCAACATTATGTTCAGCTTTATTTTGAGATTTCTCTTCATATTTACCAGTCCATTCCAATTCGGCCATAGCTGCTTTGCCTTCTGTGGCAATATTGAGTCGGGATAATAATGTGGCTGCAGATTCAACTTCATTTCTATGCTCAAGCTCTTTTTCTAATTTTTCTTTAAAATCAAGTATTTTCTTCCCTTTATCTGGAAGCTTAGCAATGAAACTAATAAAAAATAAATTAGTTACTTTATTTACATTTAAAAGACTTTTGTTATAATGTAAAAAAAGTTCATACTTATTGGCAAGAAGTTTGTTCTGTCTATCTAATAATTCTTCAATTTCAACTTTTTTTTTTGATGCTAGATTTTCAATGTAACCTTGATTAGCTTTTTTCGGCTGCGGTGGTATTTCCCCAGGAATCCTTTTGAGAAATGGTTTTTTGATGTCACCCATATTTTTTCTGTGAATTGATATATGAATTTACTAAAAATTCTGTTAATTTTTAAAATCAAATTGAAATTAAACTGAATATTATGCGTAACTTACGTTTTTAATAGTGATGAAAAATGAATGATTTCCCAACAGTCAGTACAAATGATTTTATTTTGTGCAGGTGGGACAAACAAGAAAAAGAACGGCTTAACTCAAAATAAATTAACGAAATGCTTTACTTGGTAAAACCAAAAAAAAGGCAACAATCTAATACTATCCTCACGTGTACTATGTTTATGTATACAGATTGCTTATGATCAACTGTCACTGCTGACTATACTCAGTTACAGTACTCACTAGTCACTAGCGGAAAGTTTTGTTATAAATGAATGTTACCGGGTTCGCATCAGAGCGCCACTAGTCTGCATCAGTCCATCAACAGCTTCGTGATTGTATAGCCTAAAAAACTGAAGCGGTTTACGTGTAGCTGTATTTACCCTAAATGAAGTCTTGTTGAAATATTTGTTTTAGTATAAAAAATACTTGAATCATGCCAGTTCAAGAACCCACCATGGTTCAACAACCACCTCCTCAACTTAATGGTCAAGAACCAACTCCGCCGGGTCAAGAAGTAACAGAAAATGCGGCGCCGACATCACAGCCAATTGTTGGTATTATTTATCCACCTCCTGAAGTCAGAAGTATCCTTTTTAAAAAATTTCTGCGATTATTATAGCTCTGGAGGAAGAAATTTGATTTTAAAAGTACGAGATAAGCTACTTTTTTGCAAGTTCATATGTTGTTTCAAAAAAGTTAACACGTCTTGTTTACATATAAAATGAACAAACGGTGAATTTTAGAACAGTTGCTGTTTATGCAAAATATACTGAATTTTAAGTACATTTTTCACTGTTTGAATGCAGCAGTATCAACACTACTGTTCTGTTTAATTTCTAATCTTTTATTTGTGTATTTTATAAAAATAAAAATTTTGCAGCGCCAAATACAATGAATAATATTTGAAAAACAGTACTATCGGTTAAACAGGTAAATAAATGCACAAACTAGAGAGCTTGGTTTACAACTTATATTTTCCTTATGCTTAATAAATAGATATCGTTGACAAGACTGCTAGTTTTGTAGCTAGAAATGGCCCAGAATTTGAATCAAGAATTCGACAAAATGAATTGGGAAATCCCAAATTTAATTTTCTCAATGTCGGTGATCCATATCATAGTTATTATCAGCATAAAGTTAAAGACTTTAAAGAAGGTAAGGGTCAAGAACCTTCAGCAACTGTTACAAAAGGTGTTACACCAGCAGCTCAACAAAAGCAGCAAGAAATTTTAAAGCAGGTAGAACAGCCATTTGTTCCTAAAGAACCACCTCCAGAGTTTGAGTTTATTGCTGATCCACCATCAATTTCTGCTTTAGATTTGTATGTATACAATTTTATTTTATTAGTTTAAAGTATTCAATACTTTACAAATGAAAAATTCATTTTTACAGAGATACTGTGAAGCTGACAGCCCAGTTTGTAGCTCGTAATGGACGTCAATTTTTAACAAATTTGATGAATAGAGAACAACGTAACTTTCAATTTGATTTTTTACGACCACAGCATAGTTTGTTTCAGTATTTCACAAAACTCTTAGAACAATACACTAAGGTATGATTCTTTTTAAAACAGCAAAAGCAATATTCTGTGAAACTTTAATTACTTGGATAAAATAACAAGAAGAATGAACTTTTTTGTTTAGGTTTTAATTCCTCCAAAAGACTTAATTCCCAAGCTAAAAGATCAATCCTATAATTTTGAAAAGATATTAGATGGAATTGCATATAGAGCAGATTGGATTAAATATCAAGATGCCCAAAAGCGAAAAGAAGAGGAAGAACAAGAAAGAGAGCGAGTAGCTTATGCCCAAATTGACTGGCATGATTTTGTGGTGGTTGAAACAGTTGATTACCAACAATTTGAAGTTGGTAATTTCCCACCACCAACCACACCAGATGAAGTTGGTGCTAGAGTTTTAATGCAAGTAAGTAACATTAGTTGTAGTTTCTTAGTGAATATTAATTTACATATAATTATGATTATAATCATTATAACTTTCATTTCTTAGGAACGTATTGAAGATGGTGAAGATGTAGAAATGCAAATGGAAAGTGATGACGATACTGAAATATTACCTAGGATTATGGACAATGATAAAGATAGGTCAAAAGATAATAATCAAGTTCAAGACATGGAAGAAGAATCAAGTTCAGAAGAGGAAGAAGAACTTGCACCTCCTGGAGAGAGCCATAAGAAAGACAAAGGATCTATGCAACCTCCACCTTTGCCACCCACGCCTGGCAATGTTGTTGTTAAAAAAGGATACGATCCCAAACAACATGGTAAGTTTGCTTTTAAGAAATTATGTTGCAATCCAATTTAATATTTTCACATCTTATACAATATAATAGATACAAAAATGGCATTAATTTTTTCGTTCTTACAGCATCCAAAGCATCACGGCCGGCACCACCTGATGAATATCTGGTGTCGCCGATCACAGGTGAACGTATTCCGGCTAGCAAGGTGCAGGAACATATGCGTATCGGTTTGTTGGATCCACGATGGGTCGAACAACGTGACAAGCACCTCGACAAACTTGCTCAAGAGACTGTCTTCGCTCCTGGCACCGCTATTGAAGCTAGTTTGAAACAACTTGCCGAAAGACGTACGGATATTTTCGGTGTAGGTGATGAAGAAACTGCTATTGGTAAAAAAATTGGAGAGGAAGACAAGAAAAAAGATGACAAAGTTACTTGGGATGGTCATACAAGCAGTGTGGAAGCAGCCACCAGAGCGGCTCGAGCAAACATTACACTGGAAGACCAAATTCATCAAATTCATAAAGTAAATTTCATTAAATATACTCCCTGTTCCACTTTTTTCCTCCCCTATTTTATGTGAAAGTCTAATTATTTTCTATTTCTTAGGTAAAAGGTCTTATACCCGATGAAGAAAAAGAAAAAATTGGTCCAAAACCAGTTACCCGTGTATCCGATTTGACTTCGAGTGCAGCAGCAGCAACAAAACCACAAGCAACTGTAAAAGCACCTCCTAAACCTCCTGCACCAAAACCAATGCCACCACCACTTCAACCAGTGCAACAAGCACCTCTACCACCACCACAAATGGCAATGCCCCCAATGGGCATGCCTCAACCAATGATGGGTCAACCACCCATGATGATGATGGCACCTATGCCACCAATGGCTGCAAGACCACCACCTCCTTTACTTGGTATATTTGATAAATATTTTACATCATTTTATTTACTTTTTTTTTTACAAAAATACTAACGCTTTTAAAACTTGACAATTTAGAATTAATTGTGTGTATATGGTGACTTTAATGTGTAATTTATTATCGCAGCTCCATCGATTCCAAATCCATTTATGCCGACGCCGCCTAGTATGCCTCCAATGCCACCCCAGGTAAATACAATACTGTAGTCATCATAAATTAACTTATGAAATTTTAAATCTCATTTCCTTTTGTAATACATAAATTTATTATGATCTTTCTAGATGACTTTAGGCAAACATCCTTCTGACTCTTTAGATGACGAGCCTATGGCAAAGAAACTCCGAACTGAGGATTCCTTGATTCCCGAGCAACAGTTCCTAATGAGAAATAACGTAAGCACGGCCCAATTACAATTATTTTTTCTTATTGAAATTATTGATAAACTGATACTCATTGACGTGGTTTTATAAAATAGGGACCAGTTCAATTGAACATCTTAACACCACTAATGACCGACAAGTCAGATTGGAATTTGGGAGGCCAGACGCTTGTTATAGCTTTGCCAGTCACGGAAACAGTCGCTACACTAAAACTACGAATTTCCGAACTAACTAAAATGCCAACTGGTAAACAGAAATTACAATATGAGGTAAGCTTTAGATATTTGATAACATAATTATATGCAATTTGGTATGTAAATTTTATAATCGTTATTTTTTTTTAGGGAATGTTCTTCAAAGATAGTAATACATTAGCTTACTATAATTTGATGTCAGGTAATGTCATTAATTTGCTACCTAAAGAACGTGGTGGCAGAAAGAAGTAAAGTGCGAAAGATTTTACAGCTTTTGCGAGTACAAATATGTACTTCGTATTTTATCAAAAGAAACGGAGCTTTTTACAAATCTCAAATAAGATGAAATCTCCTACTGTAATTATATCATAATTGTACACAAGAAATTTAGATAATTAACTTTCTTAGATAAAATCTATTTATGTTAAGTATAAACATGTAAAAAAATTAGCTTCAATAATGACTTTATTGACTTCATAAATTAAACTTTTTTTCAAGAATTCTCAAAGTTTTCTCATTACTTCTTACATTACAAAATTAAAGATTTGCTCGCAAATCATGTAAATATAAATTTGATGTGTTTACAAAGCAACTCCTAATGTTTAGTCATACAACATAAAAGTCACAGAGAATGTATCAGTAGCCACGTCGAAGCAATAGCTCAATCGTCAACAAATACAAGCACGGAAAATTATTATTAGATCACGAAAATCGTTGCGGATAACGATTTCCGAGATGAACTTCGATGACGGGCATGTCACTTTTGTCCAGCACCACGATATCATCCTGCGAGGACACGCAAAGTCGCGCCGGTCGCTTGTAGCCTTGCTCCATGACACCGATAACACTGATCGCTTGTCCTTTCCGCAGATGCGACGTATCGATGTCGATAGCCAGCTTCAAATCCAGTTGAAAATAGCCGTCGGTTATGCAGCCGAAGTAATAGGGCTGATCGTCTTTTTTGCACTTTTCAAACCCGGATTTAACGTAAGCTTCGATACCTTGCGTAAGAAATAAATTTTCAATTGAAACTGATTGTTTAGAAGCAATTTGCGCTCATGAGTATGATTAAGCATCACTTACGAATTCTAATGCCGATCTGATCGATTGCTTCACAAATCGTTGTTTTAACGACGTTTTCCTTATCGTTATAGTAAGTATCGTAAGTCTCTATGACGCTGCCTTTAACGAGCAGTAGCTCGTAATCCACATTACCCAAATTGTAGATGCGATGCAGTGGCTTGTGCGCGATCAAGTTTCGCGCGTGCACAATCTGAACAAATGCACGAAATGAGAGAGCAAGAGGAAAAGGAGAAAAAAATATTAAATCAGCGCTAATATCTCGCGGCGAGTTGCGGTAATTTACCTTGTAAAATTGCGTTATTTTATCTACAGCTGGAACGTGCTCGTTCCAGGCGACCACTTGTACTCGTTTACCTTGGCCGTTGTTCAATACGAATTTGTGGTATCTTGATTTGCATGAGTTTTCCGTGCGCTGGATCGCGTCCACGAAACCGATTATTTCTCTACGGAGCAAAGCAAACATGAGACTCGGTGTCACTTGAGATTTTTGATTGGTAAGCTTTTCAAGTACTCACACGGACTTATCATTGAATTCGATGCTGTCCAGTACATCGTTCGAAGTGAAATCTTTTATTGTTTTAACGGCATCGATGTCGTCTGTCATGATTTCTTTTTTTTCTAATGTTTTTTTCTTTTCGAAAAACACTTTAATCGATTTGAAATGGAATGAAAAAAAAATATTAATCGGTTCCGGCTTCGTCACGCTATGGGAATAACTTTCGCGATGACGTCCCGAGTGAGTAATGCCCGAATCAAGATTTCGGTTATTTCCACCAATACGTATAAATTTAGCATTAATGGGAGAAGGGATTTTCCCTCTCATTGATAGTGTAAGCCTGAATTCGTAAACAAGGCATAATCCAACAGACCCTTGATAAGTAGTTCTTCAAGAATCATATACCAGCATTGAATGGAAGCATCATCAGTTGAAAGCAACTTGCAACTTGAAGTTGATAAAGTTCACTTATCAATTGACTCTTACTTTTTTCATTTATTAAAATATAATAAAAAAGACACAAGATTTATATGGTACGTAATTTATTTTTTAATATGAACAAATAAACAGAGATTGCAGAAAACGCAATGTATTATTAGAAATAATTTTACATTAGTTAATTAACCAGCAAATTTATATTAGTGATTACATGCACAATTGATATACAATACTATTCACACAGCTGTCTTATATATTCTCAAAACAGTTTTATTGATTTTTACATCAATATTTTTTTTTTAAATTCGTTTCAGTTGACATATCATATTTATTTATATTAATAATAAGATATATTGCAAAACTGTAAACTAGTAATTTGATAATAATGTTCGTATAATGGCACCTATAAGTATTCAACAAGTGAGCATTTATTGAATGCTTCACTGGTCGATGGTTTTAACAATTGTTTAATCAAAACCATTTTGTTCATGTTCATTGAATTCTAGTCATGATTTTGAAGTATAAAAACCGTGAGTTTATAAGACGTATCAAAAAACGTTTAAGAACTCGAGAAAGTAAGAAATAGGAAATGCAATGTTGCTGATTTTATTTCCTTGAGTTACAGTCAAGTATAGAAATACAATAGCAACAATAATCAATGTGCTTTCACATAATGTAATTATGACATAAGCAAGCAAATCTGGCAAGTCGCTATCAATAAAATATATAACGTAACAACAAGTGCATGTAATTAGTACAAAGATGTCCACAGTATTCATAAGGCTCAGTCTAATCATTATCCATCTTTTTTATAAAAATTATTGTTTTCGCACCTACTTCAAAGAAAATGTACTATTGTTCCCAAGTTTTTAAATTCCCTTTTTTTGAATGCTTCTTGATATCAAATTTTGAGTTTCAATGAATTAGTATCATTAAGCTGGACGTATCAAAAATACAACAAAGTGCTGAGTCTTGCAACCTTATAAATAATGGCATGATGAGACATACAAAAATTGCAATAAGGCAACTTTGAAAATTTGTACTTCTCATGATTGTTGACGTTGACGTACAATATATCATCGGTACAAAAGACTACATTTTTAAACTTTTTCATTAGGGAGGGGATGTGCTATGTGCCCAATATACTCTATCAGATATTAAATGCACAAAGTATGGAAAATGACAACTGAATGTGCCTCGCACATGTAAATTGTACGATTGTACATGTGCGTCACTAAAGAAAATTAGACTATTATCAATGAACCCTAGCGGTCACTGGATCGTGCGACAATTCTCAACGACATGATAACTTATCTACAATGACAGCACTCACAATCTATATCGGGCAAATAGCACAACCTATGTGATTAATATATTATATAGCATTATACCCTTAAAATCCTAAACACTTGCACTTAATATTATATCATATAAAACCTCTCTATTTCTCTTTCTCTCTTTCTTTCATTCTTTCATTCGTTCTTCCTTCTTTGCTCTCTTTCTTTTTCCTGCTCATAAACATGGCATAGACAAACCAATCCCAGCAAGTCAAAATCATTCAAACACATACACTCGGTCACAGTCAGTCACATTAATATTCACACCACTGAAAATAAATACACCCATTGCATTTATTACAATTAAGATGCTCAAGCGTAAAACTCCCGACTCGTTCTCATTTTGGAATTGGTAGCCGCAGGTGACTTTCTGGGCTGCTCCTCGTCCAAGGGATACGAGCCTTCGTCTTTCTTCTTGATCCTGTAGACAACGAACATGACCACGAGAATGGCACAGAGCAGACCGACGATGGCACCCCCAATAAGCGCAGTGAGAACGAAGAACGATTTCGTCCTGTCTTGCTGCTTGTCGACGATCACACCACTTGGGTCGGGCTGGCTGTCGTCTTCGTCGCGCACTTTCTTGCCCAAGTTCGTCTTCTCTGCATCGAGCTCGTTGTTGTTCAAACTATCGTCGATGTTCACGTCTTCGTCCTTGTTCTTGAAAACGTCAAGGGTGTCTTGATCACCTTCGTCCTCGTCCTCTTCTTCGTCGATGTCCTGATTGTTGTTGTTATTGTTGTTGTTGTTGTTGTTGTTGTTGTTGCCGTTATTGACGGGCATAAGAGGACGATGTGTGTCATCGTCATCATCCTCGTCATCATCGTCAAGTTTCGGCTCGAGGTTGTTTCGGGACGAGGTGGTCGTGCCGGAGAGCGGGTTGCGCGGGCGATCAATGAAGTCGCCGCCGTCACCGTCCTCGTCGTCGGGTCCGTAGCCGCTGCCAGAGGCCTCGTCGAGATCGTCATCGATCGGCGAACCTATGCGCGAATTCAGATCTCCGCCACCCGAGCCGTCAAAATCATCGAGATAAATGTCATCAACCTTGGAATTGCCAAGAGCACCGCTCGACTTGGACGTCCAGTCGTTGTTGTTGCTCTTTTTGGAGGCGGAGGTCGCCGCGGCAGCTGGCTGACGTCGATCGTCGTTCTTGTTGTTATTATTGCTGTAAGCGCTGCACTGGACCACTTGGACTGCAACGCAGAGCAGCAGCACGGCGAGCGACGACAAGATGGCTATGTCGTTGCCTCGCTTCCAGGCTCTGGGCTGCTGCATTTTTGGCGTTGCGTGGTTACGATCGCGGCGGCGGCACTCGGGGAGCTCCTTTATCTCGCAGCCGCTCGCGGATTGCACTCCTTCGCGGTGCGGAGTGCGTGTATGTAACAATATACGTGTATATTTATCTCGCGTGGCACAACACGACGGTGCACGCATACATACGCACCGAAAGGCGTACGAGCTGCACACAGGCAGCAGCACACTGCACTACTCTTCTTCTTCTTTCTCGCACTTTGATCGCTGCACTAACACACGCACATGCAGGCCGTGCAACGCAAGTAGCGGCGCAGCAGCAACAGCTAAGAGCAGCACGCACGTTCGATCGAATTGATAATGTATCACTTCCTGGACGTCGAAGCGTCACTCGACATTTTGCAACGAGCGCGAGGATAGATGAGCTGGCTCGCAGGCGCGAGCACCGAGCACGGAGCAGCAGCAGCAGCAGCAGCAGCAGCAGCGCACACACAATCACTGAACTGCCAGAGTTAAAAGAGAGTGTGTGTAGGGCTGTGTAGGTGTATACGACTACACGACACAGCGACTCTTTATGAAACGAGTGTGCGCGAGCGAACGAGAGAGAGAAAGAGAGAGAGAGCGAGAGCAAAGCGTACAAGTATAGGAAGTTATATGTGTATGTGTGCGCTCGAGCGCATGTATATTGCCTTTGCGTTGCAGTTTGTTGCTTCTGTATACGTGTGTGTATACACGCTTCACTCTACGTTGCACTATCACTCGCGTATACGCGTATGTGTATGCGCTTTATATGCGCGTATATATATAATAATAAAATATATATATACACACACGCAGACGTTTGCAGTACGTCTGGAACCTGAGTTCTGGGAGTGCTGATGTGTATGGGCGGTGGGCCGCACTTAAAACAAAGTCAAAAGTAGAACGTACGTATGTGTACGTGCGGACACACGCACACGCTTATATGTATGTATGAATCGCAAGGTATATACGAAATGAATAATAACGTAGGTGTTTTGAGATACTCGCACACGAGCTCAAAGACGGACTGTTGTTATTATGATTTCATTTAAAGACTGTGCTGGCTGCGCGACTGGCACACATGCGGCGGCACCTATAGTGGCTTTTCCTTTTCCTCTGACCGCTCCGATCAGCTCTCGCGCTCCTCTCTCTCTCTCTCAATATCTCTGGCTTTTTTCGCAGTTTTATATACGTTCGAATAGTTCTTTCTCGTCTTTCGTCTTCCGCTGCTCCGATCTTTGCGAGACGGAGATGAGGTCTCTCTCTCTTTGCTTCTCTCCCTCTTTCTTGCTCTATACGTTATGTGGTATGTGGCACTGCGGGTCTATTCTTTGCGACTTGGCGTCTGCGATTCTCCGCCGTCTTATTGCGGATATATGTTGGTGTACGCGGATCTATCTTTGTCTAACTCTCGGAAACTCGCAAAGAATCACGTCGCCCATTCATTACTTGGATGCTGCGTACATTATATTATGTCGCGCGAATGTTTTATAATAGCGACGACGCATTATGTGCGCGTATGTGTCTGAGAGCGTCTTTTTATGAATGCACACATATGTATACGATCTATATATACAATAATATGTGTGCGGCGACATCAGCCGCGTGCCAGAGCTCTCCTCGATAATCCGCTACACATGCCGGAGACAGCTTGCAGAGAGCCGCGCCGAGCCAGAAGTGCTCGGCGACGACGACGACGACGCTGCGCACTCCGATCGCAGCTCACGCTTACACAGACACACACACACACACACACACATACACGTAATCGCACATACCAGTCCGTATACACACCTTATACATATCTATATCTGTCAATGCGGAGCGAGCAATATAATTTTTATGTATCCTAAGCGATCGCGGGCAGGAAAAAGACACGCGGAGTGGGTATTACCGTGTCTCGTACAAGTATAGGTGCCTATGCGTGAGCGCACATGCATATACAGGCTGGTATACCTGCACATACGTGTGTGTGTGTGGGGATACGCGAGCGAGACAGCCAGGAAAAACACACCTGGTCGAATACCTAACATGGATCTTGCATATTATGTGTGCGTGGAGAAGCGCGCCTATATATGCCCTACCGTCGCCGCGTGTAATGTAATACCTCTGCGATGCCATGCATATACGCCCGTAAATGCGTACCTGCGACTGACTCGTGTGTGGCTTCGTATTTTTTTTCCACCTTTCTTCATCTTCGTTGGTATTATTCTATGCGTCCATGGGGTAGAAAAAAAATTAAAAAGTATAATACGCATCAAGGCGTATCGTAGAGATCGTTTATATATAGGTGATTCGGGGCAAGGTTTTATAGGGCAGGATAAGCAGCGTACCAAGTCGAGGCGTGCGCTAAAAATAATTGCCGAGCGATTTTATTGAAAATCGTTGCCGCCGCGCAACAAGGTTTCAATTCTTTTTTCTATTATGGTGTGCGCTGTGCGGCTCGAGGAATTTTATCGCGCGTTAATAATGAAAGCGCACGACATCGAGCTTTTATCTCGAGTCACTCGAGCCGTGTGTAATTATGCGTCGATGAGAAAAATAAACTGGAACGATAGAGGTGATAACGAGGACGATTAAGCCGCAATGTAATTATAATTAGACGGCAATTCGAATCCTGAGAAGTATAAGTGTATATCGCTTCGATATGGATTGCATAATAAATTTACTCTTTTATCCTTCATTTCGATTTCGACCGAGTCATTAAACTTAGGCGAGGTTGAGTGGGCGGCTGCGGAAATTTGGAACGGAGCTCACTAGTGAAAGCTTATCTGTTTTTAGATTCATCCGTTTTAACGCCATTTAAATTTATAATTCGAGTGAAGGCGTTCAGATCGTACGTAGTTTCCGGTATTGCAGCTCAGAAGGTTCTCAATAAATTTTTTATTTTTTAATCATTGATTGATTTTTCATATTTTTGTAAAAATAACGTAGTACTACACCTAGTAGAATGAAATCATTTTTACTTGATCACTGTTTAGTTCTTTCATTTACTGAATAACGTTTAATTACCCGTACGACGCACTAACAATAAAAAAAATGGTAAATTAAATTTCACCAGGAATTTACTCTACTAATTATAAGATATGAGAGTTAATTTTTCATTAGAAATGTACATACTTACCTGTTTTAATGATTCTTTGGTGAAAAATTTCATTTAATTCATTTTATAATTTTTAATGTCGCTTTCAAAAAAAAAAAAAAAAAAACAAAAAAAAAAGAAAACATAGCGGTACTATTCTAAAAAGATTACTATTTTGAGAAATTTAAAAATATTTTTTTAAAAAGTGGCTCCAAATAATAAATGATTAACAATTGATGAAAACAACACATTGTAATTATGAACGATAAAATTAATGTAAGAAATAGTCGCGTTAACTGATTTTCACAATACAACTTTATTTAATAGGATGTCACAATTGTTTAAATTGTATTTATAGTAAAGATTTTTTTTCAATTATCATTTATATTATGATATGATTACATGGCACATCAACAATTAGGATGAAAAAAAACTGTAATATAAATATGAACGTATAAGTTAAACATTTGAAATTCAAATTGTAAGATAAAAGCATATGCTGAATATTTATTTATTATTTTCAAAATTGGCTTGGATGCATTTCAGTTGCTACCGTATTACCCACAGTAATGAGATGATTGGAACCTCCAATTCTACTGCCACAATCCGGACACTTGCTCTCTTGCATAGCCTGGCCGCACTCCCCAATCGAGTAAATGTGACCATTAGGACATTTGTACCATGCTCCCAGTTTGATTTCCCGAGCCATGGCTTTAAATATCATTTTTCGTTCCGCTAATTGTTCCAATTCATCTTGAACGCCTGATAAAAATTCTTTTTCAAACTCCGGTGTGAATTTTTGAATACTTGATAGCTTTTCTTTAGCGATATCAAATTTTTTATTTTCTAAGTAGTCAATACTATAAATTTTGACCTGTTAAAAAAAGGCTTCAGTTTCAAGTTCTTTAGTAAAAAATTTTAATTTATCGTGTATTAATCGTTACCATGTATTCAAGGCGTCTTAGTTCTCGCTGTATATCATTTAGAATTTGTTTTGTTGTAACCCAATTTTCAGGTATAGCATCAACTATAAGTAAAACCTGATGTTGTATGGGATCATTCAAACCTTTATCTTCGATTGTAGACAGTATATTAACTATTTGATAAAGTATATTCACTTGGGCTCCAAATGAATTGATTTCTGGAGAACTTAATTCTTGAATTCTATGACTGTACCCTCTTCTTCCCCCCCTTCGTTGAGTACAAGCCCTAGGTTTCATAGAAGCTATAAGATTCTTCCATTCTTTCATATCTACAAAAATGTATTTTATTGTGAGTTATTATAATTTATCCATCGAATTAGATTAAATGAAATTACTTCTCAAATTGTGATGATATTCTAATGATTGCAACTTTTCATAAATTTCCAATTGCAAATTCTTCAAACTTTTATCGTCATTATGAAAAAATTTACGTTTTACAGTAATAACATCCTGAAGATGGGTTTTTACGTAATTCATAATGCGCATACAACTCTTAATGGGTGTTTTACAACGTGGGCACACTTTTAATGTAATTTCAGAATCGCACGTTTGCATAAATCGCATAAGGGCTTCACTTTCTATACAATGGTTACAATCTTCCAAAAACACGAATCTAAAAAAATATAAATAAGTAGCATAAAAATGTTCAATTACTTAAAGATTAATAATCTTTACCTCGCATCTGGTTCATCTTCTTTACCAAAAAGTATTGTTTCTAATTCTTCTTTGTTGCATACACGACACAGCGGAGGACAAGGATCTCCGCAGAAACCAACACATGGATGTCCACATTGTAATTTTCTGTCGCAAGGTTCCATACAGGGTTCCACATTGCAAAGCTGCCCACATCTCTTAGTACATTTTCTGTGCTTACAACCCCAATTACATTTTTCCTGCAGAAAACTCATTAATGTTACTAATGTTTATTTCACGTTGATTGTATATTGCATTCAATATAGCAATACAAACCTTACAAGACACACATGGAGCACCGCATTTTTTGTTACATTTACTATGTTTACATTTAACTTCACACGGTTTATTGCAAGGTTGACATTCAAATCGACAAGGTATCTGGCATCTAAAATATTCAAATGATATGAATTGGCCAATTTAAAAAAATTATAAAATGAATGAAAATAATAATAACGTACGAATGACCACAAATGAGAATATTCGGACAATTCTCTTGGCAAGATATGTGAATGCGTCCTTGGTTGCATTGACTACATGTCCCTTTACATTTGTGACCACATTCTAACAATTCGTCACAAGGTTGTTCACAGTATTTTAATGCAGTTAGTTGTTTTAATTTCAAGTCATCTGAATAAATATTGATACATTAAAAAAAAAACATGAAAAAATGATAAAATGATAGATTAAGAATTACCATTTTTTTGAAGATGGCATGGAATTACCATAGGGTGTCCACATAAACCAGGGATTTCAAGTTTTTGTAAAAACTGACATTTCAATGTACATGGATCCTTACACCTATTTCTGCATGGGTGTTGGCAAGTATCTAATTTTTTTTTACACATTTCATTGCATTTGGTGGATTCTGCTTCTTCGAAGCACTTCAATTTTAATAGATGCCCACAAGAGCTCTTTTTAAAAACCTACATAAATTTACTATTAATATTTAGTTCTTGTTTTATCTTCAGATCTTATATTTACCATCTGATGACATTTGCAATCTTCATGGCATAATAATCGGCATTGATGATTGCAATTAAGTTTACGTTGACAGTTTTTTTGACAAGCAATATTTTCAAGATTTGTTGAGCATGGAATATTTTTATAAAAATGTCCGCAAGATCGCTTTTTAGATACTGATATGGTGCATTGGCCACACTCTTCAAAACATTTTTTATTGCAAGGATGATTATCGTTGCAATTTTCGAAAGTTTTAGCACATGGTTTGGTACATTTATACTGAAAAAATATAAATATGTAAAATAAAAAAAAATAAAAAAAGTAAATATACCTCTAAATGATCTGGATCATTTGTGACATGACAACACAAAGAGCATGCATGACCACAAGGCAAACGATTGTCACATGGAATTGGACATTTATATTTATCAACTGAAATGAAGCAAGGTTTTTGAACTTCGTGGTGACAATCTGGTAATATCGCCGGGGCCTAAAAATATACTTATTATGATAGTGCAATTCAACACTTGATTATTTCAATATATACCTGTATATAACAACGAAACTTTGAGACGTCATCACTACATTTCATTTTCACAGTATGGTCACATTTTACAATACATCTTTCAACTCTAACTTGACATGGTGGGCATTTTTCCCAACAATCTAATGGGCATGGGTGATTATTGGGGCATGCTTTTTTACATTTTCTAGGACATTTGTATAGTTTGTGCGCTCGATCAAATACATGACAAATTTCAGTACAAACGTGACCACAAGATAAATCGGTATTGCACTGTTCTAAGCATCCGCCCAATGGACACTTTTTAAAATCATAAGCAGCTTTAACTAAAGTTGTTTGATCAGCATGGATTTGACAGCGAACTTGCAAGTTTTCACCATAGGCGTTTTGTTCAATTAAAGCCTGCTTGATTTTTGGCCAGATATTATTTTTAACCAGAAGATCATTCATGTTCCCCATAATGTACATTCCATCTCGAGCCCGAGATAAAGCAACGCAAACTCGATTTTCTTCTTTGAGAAACCCAATATTTCCCATGTCATTGTTGCGAACAAGAGATAATAGAATAATTTTATTTTCTTCTCCTTGAAAATTGTCTACAGTAGTCACGTATAAATCTTTCAAATTACTGTAATTTTGTATTTCCTAAAAAATATCAACATTTAAAGTAAATTTCATTGCACATTATGAATGTAATTCTTCTTAAAAATAAAATAATTATTCATACTTGTCTAAGAGCAAACATTTGCCCTGTATAAGTACAGAGAACAGTGATATCCTTTGTTGAATATTCTTGTTTAACCAGATAATCGGCAAAGGCAATTAAAAATTTTGCTTCATGCTCATTAGACCAACTGTCTTCGTGGGTGGAGATCTTTTCGTGATTTGAATGATGTAAAAAAAATAAATTTTTTACCATACCTTTTATATTTGGTCGACCTTTTACGGAAATATGATCGTAAAGCGTATTGTATATTGATGGAGTTATCAATTTTGAAATCTCTGGTCGCATCCGATGTTGATGTGAGAGTTGATTACAATTACCACGAATATTGACCATCCTCTCAAAAAGTGACAGATTTAATTTGTACTTGATGCCAAGTTCATAAACTGCAGGTTTCGGTCGTAATTGCTTGTGATCGCCTATCATTATCAAATGCCGACAGTGATTGGTCAAAGTGCAAAGAACGTGGGCTTCAAAAATTTCAGCGGCTTCTTCAACCAACACTATAACGATTGAATTGTAATGTTAATAAAAATGAAAATAAATTTAAAAATTGAGTGAAAAAAATAACTTGAATATCGTAAAAATAAACAAACGCGCGCCGTATTTTTTGTACAATCATCTATTTTGACAATACGTACCGATTGGAGATTTTAATTTACGCAAAGTAGATTGTAATCTAGCAGCAGCTGTAGTAGTGAGTCCAACAATATCATATTCTTTCAATACATCCAAATCGACTATTTGTCTCAAGTCATTCAGTTCTGCTCGCTTTTCCCGAATTTCCAATTCTAATTTGGTCAGATAATCCAAGGCATTATTGTAGCTACGCTTTACCCAGGTCCAGTATGTTCTCCACCGTTGGTTTTCAATTGGTTTGTATTCACTTTGTTGGAGTGCTGGGTTCAAATTAAATTGATGCTGTAAAATTCACAATATTTTATTAAACATTTTATATTTTAAATTTCCATATACTTGAACTGTAAAATTTACTTTTAAAAATTGTTGAATAGAATTCAATTCTAGTTTTTCTTCTGTGAGTAAAGATCTGATGTATGGAAGTGAATCTTCGTCATATTTTTTTGGGGCAAAAAATAATTCCCTGTCTATACTTGTCAATCGCTCATTAATAATATCTAACGGAAAAATCGGTTCTAGATTGCTATTGTCAATGTAAATTGGTTCATATTCTTCATGTTCATGTACATAGGCGCCAGGATCTGCTAATTTTGTTTGTCTCCTGCTCAGTTCAGCTCTAAAAACGTTTGGTAATGTATCATTGCATAACCAAGATATCAGGTGTTCATTCGTTGGGAATGATTGCAGATATCTGTCATTGCTCCATTGCATAAGAAATTGTTTAGGCAAAATTGAATTGAGAGTAGATAAATATTTGATATCTGCATTTACTTCAGCTATTTCGGTCATAAGTGATTGTAGTTCTCTTTTAGTATTAAACCATTCTTGTCTATTGTTATTGTACTCTTCTGATCGATCCTTAAACGGAGTTTTTTCTCTCCTACTTTGCAATGTATAAGGCTGCAATGCTTCAGTTTTACATTTACTTCCTATTCTTACAATAGATTTAGTAGTACTAATGATTCCTTCTAAAAACTGATCTAAGGCGTGATTAGTATAGCACACAACCAGAAGAGGTCCTTGATATCTCCATAATTTTTTATTCTGAATTAAGGTTCTTACAATTTCTAAAGCAATAAACGTTTTCCCGGTACCTGGAGGTCCTTGAATGATTGCCAACTCTTCTGTAAGAGCATGTTTAAATGCCTTGAACTGCGATTCATCAAATTTCAACTGTCTAGGAGTCGGCCACGGCTTTTGACCAATCGGCAATGACATTCGGTTATAATTTAAATGATCAATGTTAGAAAGGTAATAAGGTAAAAATGATCTCGATGTAGCGTCTACTAAATGTCGTATCATTGGAAAATTGTGCTTATTAAAACGTTGCAATGCTTTGAGAACCTCTAGGTACGGCTCAAAATATACTTTTGACTCCAACATAACATATTCATGTTTATACATAGCTGGAGCCACTTGATCCTCTTCGAAGCTCGGTTCAACTAGAACGAAGCCATTTTGAAGCATTTTTATATCTCTCTCGATTACTGTGGCAAATAAAATACTCTGGAAATTATCGTGACTTAGCATCAGTAAACCATGGTACATAAATCTTTTCGAAGTTTTCCAGTCGATTTTCGAATTTGGATTTTTACCAAAAAATAGCTTGATTCCCATTTCTCCACTCTTATCGTAATCAGGCAAAAGCAATTTGACTTTCGTATACAAGCGAACGTCGGAGCTGCGAAATTTTTTTTTATCTGCCTCTATATAATCGCGTAAACCATTTCGCAGAGGTTGAAAAAAATCTTCCCTTAATAAGCGGAACTGTACATCCAGGTAGTGCTCGACTGAGTCATAAGGTTCCTTATTTTGAATAGGTCTCAGAAATGGTGGTGGCCCATATAAATCGTCGACATTCGGTGTAATAGATAAATCCCGGAAGTCTTCCGATGGACCTGGATCTTCCTCGTCGTACATAGTGGTGGGCGTTCTTTCAAGGGAAATCGGTCAATCTGCATATTTTTCAAATCATTAATAAAAATTATTTATTAATTAAAATTAAATATGTTGAGTGTTTTGTAATCCTTTATACACTTTTAGAATATCGTAGAGTAAATAATCCTTTTTATAAAAAATTCATGAGTCACTTAATTGGTAGTCGTTAAAAAACGCTTATTGCTATCATTTTATTTGACAATTAATATCAATCTTCAAATTATTTTTTACGTTGCGAGTTGTACAATTAAAATAAATTTATATAAGAAAATTGAAATATTACCAATCTTTCGAATTAATAAAAAATTGCTTTTTGTATACTCAAATAAATAAACAAATTCGAACTAACATTTTGATTAAATCATATTTTTATAATAAAACAGTAGAATATTCGGTACATTGATTCAATTTTACTGATACTTATAATTAATTTGATTTGTAAGCAGTAAAGAAGTGAAAGGATGAACGAAAACATTTATAATTTCAGGAAAATTTCAAAATGCGATTTTGAATTAAATTTAAAGTAGCAATTTCAATTCGTTTTTTAAATTGCACTTGTTAAATATTTATAGTGCATGATACTCACTTATTTATAGTTAAAAAATGATCAAGAATAACCAAACCGAAACGCGTCGTATCAAGCCGAACGTTGGAATTTCTTCTGAATGAGAACTCTTAGTTATCGTCACGAACTCCTAACATCATTTAAGCAAAACGTAGCTGAAAGTGTTAAATATTTTCATTACACTAATCGTTACACTAAATGTTCATTGTATAAAAATTAAAGAACGTTAATATCGAAGAAGCAAAGAATGCAATCAAAGAACTGACACAAAGGAACGTTCACGACAATTCGGTCCTGCGACAAATGACGACGCGAACAAAAGAAATTGCTGCGGTGGGATTTCCCGTCATGCAACTTACTCCATTTTGTTTTCTCTGATCAATAATGCGGGTATCCGAAATACGATCGTTTGGAATAAGCATTAAAGTATGAAAGTGTTTATACTACTTACACCAAAATTTTAACGAATTTATTATCACAAAAAAAAAACGAAAAACTCAAAACTTTTTTGAATAGTGAAAGTTAATTCCTCTACATTTTGAAAATCTATGCAAATATATTATGTTTATGTCAATTACTTCTAAAGCATCACAAACACGCGAAAGCTCAATTCTTTTGTTTTTATAACGTAATTTGTATTGCAACATCTATGTGACTTTCTTTGAACAAATTTGAGCTAATGAATGAAATTCCGAATTGAAGATTTGAGGATATGAATGTATTATGTAAATGTATTATGAAAGTATTAAGAATTAAGCTTTTTTAAACAAAAGGCTTCCATAAATAATACTTTTGAAATAATTGAATCATTTAATAATTACAAAAGCAATTCGATTAACCAATTACTCACATTTAACTGAATGTCGCTTTTAAACTGGAATGCACTCATTCACTTGGTATTCTCGATGTATATCAATCCTTGGTGAAAAAATATTATCGCTCATCCGCTCTGTGTGGCAGAGCGGGGTCAATTATGGTTATGAACTGAAATCTGACACTATAGTCTAGTTGTCAGTGCTGGCCACGAGAACTAAACTTTTCCAATGAGAAGTAGTATAAGAAGTGGCGTTGCGGTACGCCACTGAAATTGGTAACGATCTACAGCATCGCCATCAGCTCTCTTAACTTTATTACAGCAGCTACTTACATACGCATAATTACTAATACATCCCTTACAAAACTATATGCAACACTAAGTAAAAATCGACAGTTCCCGAGCCTAATTAAGCAGAATCCAAGACTAAATTCGAGAGAAAATGAGGTACAAGACGAATGATTCGTTGCTATTTCAGCTTATACAAACTGAATACACAAGATTTTGAAAATTAAAAAATAAAATTAATAACTCTCAGATTTCATAAATCTGATTGATATTTTTATTACATGGAATTCAAAGTTTAAACATTATATTTAGAACTATTAATTTACCGTGGGATAGTTTAGAGCAAAATATTATGAACCAACATTTTTTAATTAAATAATAGAATGAATTTACATCATGACCAGTAGTATTATTCTAAAATTTACGGTGAATTCAGTCTTTTTACGTCACAGAAAAAAAAATTAGTCTCTGATAAAGACTATAATTTTTCTACAAATTTAATAATCATCAATTAATTTTATTCAGATTTTGCTGTGAAACAATAATTATATTTATCATGCACAGCATATTTATAATTTTTAACACTCTTTATTCAGCATCAATATCGGTTAATTTTTTTATTACAAATCAGATTTTAAAAACCACCAAATTAACATGAAACTGTCAACATTTTAAATAAGTAAAAAACAATCGCTTATTATAAAACATTTCAAAAAAAGTTTTAACTCAAAATACAAGCTTTAAATTTTTTTAATATTGCCCAGGCCACGCTGGTTGATAAGAACCATCCATTTCAGGAGCGGGAGTATTTCCGGTGGTAATGCGATGGTTGGAACCTCCAATAGCACTACCACATTCTGGACACTTACTCTGTTGCATAGCACCACCGCATTCTCCAATGGCATAAAAATGGCCGTTAGGACATTTGTACCATGCACCGCTTTTGATTTCTCTAGCCATTGCCGCAACGATCATTTTTCGCTCTGCCACCAGCACTTCTTTTGTAATATGAGAAATGGAATTACGTACTTCTTTTTCTAATTCAGGAGTAAATATTTTAATGCTGGAAAGTTTGTCCCTGACATAATCAAAATGCCTATTCTCGGCATAGTCTTTAAATAATGCCACCTGTTTTGAAATAAATGATTGAATTTAATAAAATTGAGATAAAATAAAAATAATTTCTTTGAATACAAACCATGTATTCAAAACGTCGCAGTTCTCTTTGAATATCATTGATAGTTTGCTTGGTTATCAACCAGATGCCAGGTATTGCATTACACAGCAATAATATTTGATTTTTTATTCCATCATTTAAAGTTTTACCTTTAATTTTTGTTAATATGTCAAACATTTCTGAAAGAATTTGTAATTGAATTCCAAAAGAGTCTAATTCTTGTGAGTCCAATTCTTGTTTTTTCCCATTTTTCATCACTGAAGCTCCTCGATTTAACATGGAGTTTAAGATCATTTCTATTTCATTCAAATCTAGAATGAGAAACATCATTAAATAGCAAAATAACTACAATTGTATAACAGAAAGACATACATATTTGAAATATCTTACTTTTAAAATGTAACTGTTGAAAAACACTTGCCAGTTCTCGCAATTTTTGGCAATGATGAAGTTGTAGTTCTTTCAAGTCTTTTCGATTACGGTAAAAAAATTTACGTTTCACTTCAATAACATCTTTTAGATGAGTTTTCACTTGGTTCATAATACGCATACAACTCTTAATTGGAGTTTTACAAAGTGGGCACACTTTCAATGCAATTTCAGAATCGCAAATTTGCATGTATTGCATTAGTGCATCACTTTCTATACAATGTTTACAATCTTCTAGATACACAAATCTGAAAAAATCACATTTGTTTAAAATATCCAGAAAAAACTTAAATTGTTTAATTTACCTCGCATCCGGTTCATCTTCATTGCCAAAAACGATCGTTGTTAGTTCTTCACTGTTGCATAAACGACACAGCGGAGGGCAGGGATCCCCGCAAAAACCAACACATGGGTGGCCACATTTCAAAATTTTTTTGCAAGGAACCATACACGGTTCAACGTCACAGAGATCACCACATTTTTTAGAACATTTTCGATGCTCACAGCCCCAATCACATTCTTCCTAGAAAAAAAATTAATTTATAAAGAATAGTATACACAGAATAATTACAGTTGATGAAGTTGCAAAAAGTATTAAAAAATCTATTTATACAAACTTTACAAGTTACACATGGAACGCCACACTTATTAGTACATTTACTATGTTTACAAATAACTTCACATGGTCTTTTACAAGGTTGGCATTCTTTTCTGCAAGGTATTTGACATCTGAAAATTCGAATCAAAACATTAAATTATCGCCATTCACATATCTTTTGTAAAAATATATAAGTAGTTCTTACGGATGACCACAAATGAGAGGGTGTTGACATGGTTCTTGACAGGTCACATGAATACGTCCTTGATAACATTTACCACAAGTACCTTTACACCTATGTCCACATTCTAATAATTCCATGCATGGTTTATCACAGTACTTTAATGCACTTTTTTGAATTAACTGCATTTGAGCTGTATACAGACAAGAAAATATGCAGTTGTAAAGAAGTTAAGAAAGATGAATATAAAAATAATTTATAGTTACAATTAAATTGAACATGGCATGGTACTGTCATGAGATGTCCACAAAGGCCAGGATGGTTTAGTTTTACAAGAAATTCACAGTTTAACGTACACTGATCTTTACACCTTTTTTGGCAAGGGTGTCCACATTTCTCTAGCTTTCTTGGGCATTTACCAGTACATTTAGAAGGAGTTGCTTCTTCAAAACATTGGACTTTTACTGTGTGGCCACATGAACTTACTTTTTGAACCTATGAAGATAAATTATAAGCTGAATCTAATCATTAATAAGTAAGTTTCATCATTTTTTTTTGCGCATACTTTCTGTAAGCATTTACAAACTTCATGGCATTCTAGCTTGCATTTATGATTACAACTAAGTTCACGTTCGCATCTCCTTGTACATTCAATGTCCTCGACATTTTTTGAACATGCAATGTCTTTGTAAAAATGACCGCAAGATCGTTTCTTAGTGACTGATATAGGACATAATCCACATTCTTCAAAGCAACGTTTTTTGCACTCGTGTTTTTTGTTACATTCATCATAAATTCTTGGACATGGCCTAGTACACTTATACTGAAAAAATACAAAAAAAATTAGACTGAAGGGAAACTAGAATAAAATCAATCAGTAATTTACTTCTATATGATCTGGATCTTTTGTTATATGACATTTTTGATTACATGCATGTCCACAAGGTAAACGACTGTCGCAGTCAATAGGACATTTGAATCTATCAACTGAAATATAGCAGGGTTTAAGCACTGAATGCTTACAATTTGGTAAAATTGTATGAATCTGCAATAAAAAATATATCTTAGGTACATTCAAATAGTCTCAAATTGCTTACTTTTACCTCAATGTAACATGGAAAAGTTTCAGCATGCTCACTACATTTCATTTTCACTGTATGACCACATTTAAGAGACTTTTCAACAATGACGTTGCACGGTAAACATTTTTGCCAACATTTTAATGGACATGGATGACCAAAAGGACAACTATTGTTGCATTTTTTTTCACATTTATGAAGTTTGTGCTCTCTATCAGCAACGTGACAAATTCTATCACAGACATGTCCACAAGTAAGATCAAGATTGCATTGCTTCAAGCATCCACCCCCAGGGCATTTTTCAAAGTCCTTAGCAGTTCTAATCAAAGTTGTTTGATCCGCATGGATTTGACAGCGAACATGCAATTGTTCATCAAAAGCATTCTGTGAAACTAGAGTCTGCTTAATTTTTGGCCAAATATTATTCTTAACCAGAAGATCATTCATGTTCCCCATGATGAACATGCCATCTCGTGCTCGAGATAAAGCAACGCAAACTCGATTTTCTTCTTTGAGAAATCCAATATTTCCTGTGTCATTGTTGCGAACAAGAGATAACAAAATAATTTTATTTTCTTCTCCTTGAAAATTGTCTACAGTAGTCACATATAAATCTTTTAGATTACTGTAGTTTTTCACTTCCTACAAAAAATTAACATTTAAAGTTATATTCATTGCACATTATAAATTGAATTCTTAATCAATATAAAAAATCTTCCCATACTTTTTTAAGAGCAAACATTTGTCCTGTATAAGTACAAAGAACTGTGATTTCATTGACTGCATATTCTTGTTGTACCAAATAATTAGCTAATGCAATTAAAAATTTAACTTCATAATCATTTGCCCAACTATCTTCGTTATTGAACTTTATTTCATGATGAGTATGATGCAGAAAAAACACGTTTTTATCCAACCCTTTGATGTTTGGACGTGAATATACGGACTGATGATTGTAAAGTTTGTCGTAAATGGACGGTGTTATTAATTTAGCGATTTCTGGACGCATTCGATGCTGATGAGCAAGTTGATTGCAATTGCCACGAATATTAATCATCCTCTCGAAAAGTGACAGATTTAATTTGTATTTGACGCCAAGTTCGTAAACCGAAGGTTTCGGTCGTAATTGCTTGTGATCGCCTATCATTATTAAATGCTGACAATAATTGGTCAAAGTGCAAAGAACGTGGGCTTCAAAAATTTCTGCTGCCTCTTCGACTAACACTGTAACAATTGAATTGTAATTTTAGTAGAAACGTAAATAAATTAATAAACTAAGTGCAAGAAATAACTCAAATATTATAAAAATAGATGAAATCTATTTTAAAAATACTTACCAATTGGAGCTCTTAATTCTCGTAATGTAGATTGTAATCTTGCAGCACAAGTTGTAGTTAGTCCAATAATGTCATATTTTTTCAATACATCAAGGTCTACAATATTCTTTTTGTCGCTTAATTTTTTACTAAGTTCACGAAACTGTAGTTCCATACGATTCAGCTGATCCACAGCAGTGTCATGACAGCGTTTTATCCAAGTCCAATACATCCTCCATTGTTGATTGTGAATAGGCCTGTAGTTTCCATCTTCACGGCTTGGATGTAAATTTAATTGTTGCTGTAAAATTGAAAATTTTCAGATATTTTCATGCAGGAGTTAAAATAAAATAAAAATTTAACTTGATACCTCCAACAATTTCCGAGCTTCTAATAATTCTCGTTCTTCTTTGTTATTTAATTCCATTAATGATGGAATGGGTTTTTTATGAAAGTTAGATTTTCCTTTTGTAGAATTAATTTTGCCTCTAGCGATAAGTTCTAATTTTGAATCAATAATTTTCAAAGGATAAATAACATGACAATCATTGTATTCAATATTAACAGTTTCAAGTTCTAGCTCATCATCCATGTGTTGGTGACCATCTTCTTCATCAGATACAGATTCTTCATCTTTTACTCTAGTTGAAGAACTTTCTGATTGTGATGAGTTTAATTGATTTGTAGGAGCAACTGTGTTAAATACCGATGGTACTTTGCCATTGAGCAACCATGTAATTAATTGAGTGTTTGTTTGAAAAGATGCCAGAGTTCGATCTTTTGTATATTGTTTGAGGCATTGTATAGGCACGATGGCTTCTAATGTTTCTAAACGTTGTTTATCGACATTAATCTTGGCCATCATTTGTATTAATGCCTCCAATTCCTTTTTCGCTTCATACATTTTCTTTTTATTTTCACGAACTTGTGAGTAATTATCTTTAAAATGCGTAGTTTGTCTTCTTTGTTGTAATGTAAATTTTTGCAATTTTTCACTTTTAGACTTACTTCCTATTCTCACAATAGATTTAGTACTGATGAGAATTCCTTCTAAAAATTGATCTAAAGCATGATTTGTGTAGCAAACAATGACAATTGGTCCACTGGGCCTCCAAAGATTTTTATTTTGTACTAATGTACTAACAATTTCCAAAGCAATGAATGTCTTGCCAGTACCAGGAGGACCTTGAATGATTGCTAGTTCCTCGGTTAAAGCATGCTTAAAGGCATTATACTGTGAATCATCAAGATTCAACTGATGAGCTAATGGCCACAAACCATTTTGAATAGGTAAATTCATGGTTTTGCATTTAAGATTTGAAGCACGTCGTAGATATTTTGGTAAACTTGATTGTGTATCTGCATCTACAAGATATTGTTTCATTGGAAAATTTTCTAAATTAAAACACTTCATAGCACTAAGAACCTGTAGATAAGGTTCAAAATATACTTTTGATTCAAGCATAATATACTCATAAGTATACATCTCATTTGTTATATACCCTGATTCAAGGCAAGGTTCAACTAAAATGTAGCCATTTTCTAACATTTTAGTATCACGGTCTGATACTGTAGCAAATAAGATTTTCCCAAAATTGTCATGGCTCAACATCAATAGACTTCTGTACATGAATCTTTTTGATGTTCTCCAATTAATAAAATTTTTTTTACCAAAATACACTTTGATGCCAATATTTTGATTTTTATTAACTTCAGGTGGAAGAATTTTTACTTTCTTGTACAAGCGAATATCACTGCTACGAAAATCTTTTTTATTATTATTTGATAAATAATCTTGTAATGCCTTTCTCAAAGGTTGAAAAAAATCTTCCCTCAGTAAACGAAATTGTACATCTAAATAGTGTTCAACTGAATTATAAGGTTCTTTATTTTGACAAGGTCGTAAATAGGGTTTGGGTCCATAAAAATCGTCTACAGTTGGAACAACTGATAAAAATCGAAAATCTTCGGGAGGTAAATCCTCCTCTTCCTCGTCGTACATTTTTTGAAATTATGTTTTTCTTTTAACAATATTAATAAACCTGCAAAAAAAGCAATGTTTTATTCAATAGAAAATATCGATGAATTTTATGTTTATTGCCAAAATTCTTTAGACACAGAGTTTTGCAAACATTGTAGAATTTCATCGAAACGATTTGTTAATGCTCATAATCACCAATTAAATGTATGAAAAATTCAATTTGGAATCGTTGAATTTATTGAAAGAAACGGACAGCGATCACAAATAACTGGGCGGCAGGCAGAATGCCGTGGTCGGAGTATGCCGAACGGCCTTGCAAACAAAGAATCTTAGTTATCAACACGTACGTCAGTAAAATCGCGAACAGAACAAAGTTAAAATTGATAAATAACGATATTAGGATATAGATTTCAATTAGCGAGAAACAGTTAACATTGAATGAAAGGTAAATTACCAAGTTTATGGAGTTGTAAGCTTATTCACTTATACTTTTATTATTTAGTTTTATAATGGAAGGTGATCAATTATTTGATATACTGTTTATTCGCACTGTTTAATAACCCATATTTGTATACCTGTATATCATATCGCGTACGCGAGACAATAATATTATGGGTTATTTTGAAATATGAACAGACAGTCTCATATACCAAAATACTAATGACATATTCCGAAGCGTTCAGATATAACTTTAATTTTATTCAAATGAAATGTTATAATTCTCAATTTTCTATTCTAATATGTTTCAATGAAGAATTTTCGAGGATTGACGAAAAATTATAATGAGCCAATTGGGTCGATAGATTCCAACAATTTCTATTCATAGATCAATTTCGATAATTCAAGCATGATGTTATTATTCGAAAAAATAAATGAAGAGTGCTTATTTGGTAATGATGGTTGGTCGAAGTACGTTAAAATATGTTTCAATTAATCGATAAAATAATAGATATTCACTTTTACAACAAAAGTATAACTACTTATAAGTCAAACATGGTTCTTGAGATTGCTAGTTTTCTAATTCATTGTAAGGATATGATAATAAGTTTTTAACTAACACCTCATGAACAGATCATTTAGAATACAATGTTGAAAATAAATAATGATAAATTGACTATACCTTTGAATCGTATGAATGTTCTCGATTAAAAAGTAACAGTGTGACTATTTTATAACGTAACTAGTTGCATATTGTAACATGCCTGCTGAGGGTACTCTTAGAAATATTTTATCTTATCGAGAATGTGGCAGGGAATCCCTAAATCAAGGTGCGTTTAGAGTAACAGAACAGCGGGCTAATAAGGCTATGCCTATAGTCTAAAGTGATCTCTGTGTTACACTAAATAAACGGGCGCCTATTCTTTCGTTACGCCGACAAGGCAAGGAAAAAAATTCCAGTAGAATAATATGGTAAAATTGAAAATAAATAGTACATTGATGATAAATATATTGTGAGTTTTTCACAAAAAAATCTAAATCTTAAAGATTTATTTGAAATTTATAAAATATAATATTTGTATAAAAATAAATTAAATAATTCAACGATCATATTTTATTTCAACATTTATTTTTTTACATTTATAAGTTCTAAAACTAATTGAATTTCTGTATTTCCATTGGCGAGACAAAATAATATTTTTCGATTAACAAACTGTTTCTAAAAACTTTAAAACAATTTTCAGACTACACTTCAAAAATACTCCACATCAAAAACTACTAACTCTACTTACACATCAAAAATAATCCAAAAGTTTTTTACTTGGTATATTTATAGATTATTTTAATTTAAATGATAACATATTGAAAATGATAAAACTAACATAGTTTATATCCTAAACAAGTTTCTAAACAAAAGATAATTGACATACAAACAATTAAATTACTCTCAATATTGATCTGTTAATTTTTCTTGTTAATGTTGCCCAGGCCACGCAGGACTTTGGGTACCATCCATTTCACTAGTGTGTGTATTTCCATCTGTAATACGATGATTGGAACCTCCAATTTTACTGCCACAATCCGGACACTTACTCTCTTGCATAGCCCCGCCGCATTCCCCGATCGAGTAAATATGACCTTTCGGACATTTGAACCAAGCGCCTGGTCTGACTTCTCTAGACATTGCTTTAACTATCATTTTCCGTTCCGCTATTTTTTTTATTTCATTTATAAATGGCAAAATCTCTTGTTCCAAATCTAAGGAAAATATTTTGATACTCAGTAGCTTATTTTTAACGATTTCAAAGTTTTCATTTCTTGACTCTGTTGCATATATCAACACCTATTTTAAAAATGGTTATCATTAGAAATTAATACATTAAAGAAATAGTTTGCACTTGATATTCTTGCTACAAAGTACTAACTATCAATTCAAGTCGTCGAAGTTCTCTTTGAAAATCATCAAGAGTTTGCTTTGTGATTACCCAAGAAGAAGGCATTGCTTTTATTAGAAGAAAAATTTGGTTTCTCACAACATCATTTAATTCTTTATCTTTTATTATATCAAGCATTTGAGATAGGATTTCTACTTGGACCGCAAAGGCATCTATTTCTTGTGAATTCAATTGTTGTTTTTTTCCATTACAATTTTTTTTAGCTCCTCTAATTAACATTGAATCAAAAATTTTTTCTAGATCACGTTCATCTAAAATTGAATTTGATAAATCAAATAAATGTCTCATACTTATAAATTCTGATAGACAAAAATTTAAAACATTGCTGAAAAAGTGGTTACCTTTTATATGAAGATTGAGGAAAATATTTACATTTGTTTTCAACTTATTGTAAAGTTTAAGTTGTAATTCTTCCAAGTCTTGGCGATTATTGTAAAAAAATTTACTTTTTACCGCGATAACATCTTGTAAATAAGTTTTCACATAGTTCATAACACGCATACATTTTTTTATAGGTGTTTTACAACATGGACAAACTTTTAATACAATTTCCTCTTGATCTTCATTACTTTTTGTCTTCATGAACTGGATAAGGCCTCTGCTCTCTATACAATGATTACAATCTTCTAGATACACATATCTAAAAACGACACATTTGTTTAAAATTGGCAGAAGACACTAAAATTGTTTTAATTACCTCGCATCCGGCTCATCTTCATTACCAAAAAGAATCTCGGTTAATTTTTCGGTGTCACATACACGACACAGCGGAGGGCAAGGATCCCCGCAAAAACCAACACAAGGGTGACCACATTTTAACTTTTTTTTGCAAGAAATCATACACGGTTCAACATCGCAAAGATCACCACATTTTTTAGAACATTTTCGATGCTCACAACCCCAATTGCATGCTTCCTAAAAGACAAATGAATTTATAAAAAATTGTCTACTATTGCTTTTGATGTTGTTATCGGGCATTAAAAAATCTATTTATACAAACTTTACAAGGTACACAAGGAACACCACACTTATTAGAACATTTACTATGTTTACAAATAACTTCACAAGGTCTTGTACATGGTTGACATTCTTTTCTACACGGTATTTGGCATCTGAAAATTTTAAATCAAGAACTTAAAATATTTCAATACACATCATTTCCTTGTTGCGAAAACCTTTCTTACGGATGACCACAAATAAGAAGTTTTTGACATGGCTGTTGACAGGTCACATGAATACGTCCTTGGTAACATTTACTGCAAGTACCTTTGCATCTATGACCACACTCCAGTAATTGTAAGCATGGTTCTTCACAATACTTCAATGCATTTTGTTGCATCAATTGCAAATCATCTACAATTATTAAATAGTTTGAGAAATTACAGTATGTGTTTGAAATTTTAAAAGCAACAGTATTTACTGTTATCTTTGAGATGACAAGGTATTTTCATAGAATGTTGACACAACCCAAGCATTTCAACTTTAATTAACATAGTGCAAGGCCACGAACATGGATCTTTACATCTATTTTGGCAAGGATGTGCACAATCCTTCAATTCTTTTTTACATGCTTTTCTGCATTTTGTGGAAGTAGCCTCTTCTGAGCACTCCAGTTTTAAAAAGTGACCACAAGAACTCTTTTTAAAAACCTGAATAAATTTATTTGTAATAATTATTTAAAACTTGTTTTGAAGTTTTTGTCATTTACTTACAGTCTCTCTGCATTTACAATCTTCATAACAATCTAAGTTGCATTGGTGATTACAAGGAAGTTCACGTCCGCATCTTCTCTTGCAATTGATATCTTCAACATTTTTTGAACATGCAATGTCTTTGTAAATATGACCACAAGATCTTGTCTTAGTTACTGATATAGGGCATAATCCACAATCTTCAAAACAACGCTTTTTGCAATTGTGTTCTTGATTACAATTATCATACATTTTTGGGCATGGCTTAGTACATTTATACTAAAAAAATAAAAATTGGATTGAAATAAAAATGTATGCAATTAATCAGTTATTTACCTTTATGTGATCAGGATCTTTTGCTACATGACATTTTTGTACACATGCATGACCACAAGGTAAACGGCTGTCACAGGCAATAGGACATTTGAATTTATTAAATGAAATATGACAGGCTTTTATAACTTCATGCTTACAATCTGGCAAAACTGTTTGAATCTGCAATAAAAATTGAATTATTGGTGAATTCAAATAGTCTTAGTTTGTTTACTTATACCTCTATGTAACATGGAAAAGTTTCAGCATCCTGACTACATTTCATTTTTAGTGTATGACCACATTTAAGAGACCTTTCAACAATCACATCACATGGCAAACATTTTTGCCAACACTTTAAAATACATGGATGACCAAAAGGACAGCTATTGTTGCACTTTTTTTTACATTTATATAGCTTGTGCTCTCTATCAGCAACATGACAAATTCTATCACAGACATGTCCACAAGTAAGATCAAGATTGCATTGCTTCAAGCATCCACCCCCAGGACATTTTTGAAAGTCCTTAGCAGTTCTAATCAAAGTTGTTTGATCCACATGGATTTGACAGCGAACTTGCAAGTTTTCACCATAGGCGTTTTGTTCATTTAAAGCCTGCTTGATTTTTGGCCAAATGTTATTTTTAACTAGAAGATCATTCATGTTTCCCATGATGAACATGCCATCTCGGGCTCGAGATAAAGCAACGCAAACTCGATTTTCTTCTTTGAGAAATCCAATATTTCCTGTGTCATTGTTGCGAACAAGAGATAACAAAATAATTTTATTTTCTTCTCCTTGAAAATTGTCTACAGTAGTCACGTACAAATCTTTCAAATTACTGTAATTTTGTAATTCCTACAAATTATCAACATTTAAAGTTATATTCCTTGCACAATATAAATTGAATTTTTAATAAATATAAAAAATCTTCCCATACTTTTTTAAGAGCAAACATTTGTCCTGTATAAGTACAAAGAACTGTGATTTCATTGACTGCATATTCTTGTTGTACCAAATAATTAGCTAATGCAATTAAAAATTTAACTTCATAATCATTTGCCCAACTATCTTCGTTATTGAACTTTATTTCATGATGAGTATGATGCAGAAAAAACACGTTTTTATCCAACCCTTTGATGTTTGGACGTGAATATACGGACTGATGATTGTAAAGTTTGTCGTAAATGGACGGTGTTATTAATTTAGCGATTTCTGGACGCATTCGATGCTGATGAGCAAGTTGATTGCAATTGCCACGAATATTAATCATCCTCTCGAAAAGTGACAGATTTAATTTGTATTTGACGCCAAGTTCGTAAACCGAAGGTTTCGGTCGTAATTGCTTGTGATCGCCTATCATTATTAAATGCTGACAATAATTGGTCAAAGTGCAAAGAACGTGGGCTTCAAAAATTTCTGCTGCCTCTTCGACTAACACTGTAACAATTGAATTGTAATTTTAGTAGAAACGTAAATAAAATATTGGATTGAGTGGAAAAAATAACTTAAATATAATAAAAATAAACGCAAATGAGTGAACTATGTTTTCGGTTCATCTATTTTAAAAATACTTACCAATTGGAGCTCTTAATTCTCGTAATGTAGACTGTAATCTTGCAGCACAAGTTGTAGTCAGTCCAATAATGTCATAGTTCTTGAGTACATCAAGATCTACAACATTTTTCTTGTCATTTAATTTTTTTTGAAGTTCTCGAAACTGTAGTTCCATATGAGCTAATTGATTTGAAGCAGTTTCATGACTTCGTTTTACCCAAGTCCAATACATCCTCCATCGTTGATTGTGAATAGGTCTATAGTTTCCATCTTGAAGGCTTGGATGCAAATCTAGCTGGTACTACAAAATAAAAAAATTATTTTTTAAATTTTTCTTGAAAGTTCAATTTATAAAAATAACTCATATACTTTCAAAAATTCTCGAACATTAACTAATTCTTTCATTTTTCTTTCGCTCATTCCCATTCGGTTTGGGACATTTTTGCTATATTTAAATTTTTTTTTTGCAGGAACATTTTGTTCATTTTCTACTTGTTCGATTTGGGCATCAATTGTTCTCAAAGGATAAATGACATGGCAATCATTTAATTCAATTGCAAAAGTTTCAAGTTCTAGTTCATCATCCATACGAGGATTACTGTCTTCTTCATCCATCTTAAAATTGTTATGTTTTACTTCTGGCAATGAACATTCAGACCGTGACGAGTTAAATTGATTTTGAAGTGGTGTCCAGTTAAAAACTGTTGGTAAATTGTCATTGAACAACCATGAGATTAAATTGGTGTTAGTTCTAAAAGATGCTAGAGTCTGATCACTTGTGTATTGATTTAGGCATTGTATAGGCACAATCGCTTCTACTGTTTCTAAACATTTTATGTCAACACTAATCTTGACCATCATTTGTAATAATGTCTCTAATTCCTTTTTAGCTTCAATCATTTTTTTTTTATTCTCACAGACTCTGAAATTATTGTTTTGAAACCTACAACTTTCCCGTCTTTTTTTTAAAGTAAACTGTTGCAACTTTTCACTTTTAGACTTACTTCCTATTCTCACAATAGATTTAGTACTGATGAGAATTCCTTCTAAAAATTGATCTAAAGCATGATTTGTGTAGCAAACAATGACAATTGGTCCACTGGGCCTCCAAAGATTTTTATTTTGTACTAATGTACTAACAATTTCCAAAGCAATGAATGTCTTTCCAGTACCAGGAGGACCTTGAATGATTGCTAGTTCCTCGGTTAAAGCATGCTTAAAGGCATTATACTGTGAATCATCAAGATTCAACTGATGAGCTAATGGCCATGAATCATTTTGAATAGGTAAATTCATGGTTTTGCATGTAAGATTTGAAGCACGTCGTAGATATGTTGGTAAGTTTGATTGTGTGTCTGCATCTACGAGATATCGTTTCATTGGAAAATTTTCTGAATTAAAACACTTTAATGCACTAAGAACCTCCAGGTAAGGTTCAAAATATACTTTTGATTCAAGCATAATATATTCATAAGTATACATTTCATTTGTTATATACCCTGATTCATAAGGTTCAACTAAAATGTAGCCATTTTCTAACATTTCAATATCACGGTTTGATACTGTGGCAAATAAGATTTTTCCAAAATTGTCATGACTTAACATTAACAGACTTCTGTACATGAATCTTTTTGATGTTCTCCAATTAATGAATTTTTTTTCCCCAAAATACACTTTGATGCCAATACTTTGATTTTTATTAATTTCAGGTGGAAGAATCTTTACTTTTTTATATAAATGAATATCACTGCTATGAAATTCTTTCTTCTTGTTAGATAAATATTCCTGCAATGCATTTCTTAGAGGTTGAAAAAAGTCTTCCCTCAGTAAACGAAATTGTACATCCAGATAGTGTTCAACTGAATTATAAGGTTCTTGATTTTTGCATGGTCGTAAATAAGGTTTTGGTCCATAAAAATCATTTACAGTTGGAACAACTGATAAAAACCGATAATCCTCAGGGGGTAAATCATTATCTACTTCATCATACATAATTAACTTTTGGATTTGGTCATTCAAATTAGAAACTCTGTAAAAAGTTAAATGGACATGGTTAAATTTTAAAAATATTCAGTTGATTGACTAATTTGGAATTTAGTGAAAAGTCAGACTTAAATTACTTCCAATTTTCCATAAGCCTAAATACTAAATATATTTTTGATGATCAGAAAAAAAATCTAAAAACTAAATGAATCTGAGTCAAAAATTATCCAAAATCATAAATCAGTGAAAGAAATTAATAACTACAACATTCATTTTATGTATTGTGTTTTTAGTTACAAAATATAAAGTATATAAATATATAATTGTACCTTCTATCAATGAGAATTAAGATAAGCAAAAGTATATAAATATATAATTGTACCTTCTATTAATGAGAATTAAGATAAGAAAAAGTTAACTTATACACAGTTTCTTTCTTAAATAAATTTTTATGCGTAATTTACAAAAACTATAAATCTTTCAATATATCTTTCAACACTTTTAATTTAAGTTTCATTCTTACAATTTGAATCAATTTTTTTTCTGTACATAACATCTTGTTTTTAAGCAATTCATGATAATTCATGATGGTATTAATGATAATAAATGTTGATCGTCTTCATAAAATGAATAAACTCAATGGAAATGATTCTTAGTTACTATTTGAAATTGAAAATCTGGAAATTTTCTTTCTCGTTTGATTTCCATATTGAGATCATCAAAGTAAAATACAAATCGAGAAACGAAACAATTGACGATGATGGAGGCGCTAAAAATCTAATGATTTATGCTTCAATTGATGTAATTAGTGTGATATTAATGTATCTGTGAGGACTACTAATTATAAGTGTATTTTGTTTCGAACTTTAGTACTACGTCACTGTTTATAACATCTCTTTGGTATTTTTGTAATTAGATTACTGTAAATTGGTTTGTTTCTCATTTGTTTTACGATGAAATTATAGTATTACTTCTGTTTAGATACTTGTGGTTATTATGTTAAAATTAACAAATAAACTTTACCTACGTAATGAAGGAAATTTAAATCATTAAAAGGAAAGAAATAGAAATTTATGAAAGATGTAGACACGGACAAAGGCAAAACACTATCTACATGACTACATTAATGCGACTGTTTTGTTCGTTTTCCGGGATTCCCGCAGCTAGATTACTATACGTCAAAATAAGTCGTGCTTTTGAGAACCCGACGCGAAGTTGGGTTGTAGCGAGTAGCGACACGCAGTGGGAGCGCGTCGATCCACTCACTCATACCGACCACTGATCATTTTTTAGTGATCGTAGATCTCATCTGTAAAATCGAATGAAATTGAATAGCGCCAACTTTTGAACGTACGCGTGAAAATTTTTTCTTTAATTATTAATGAAATAAGATAAATTTTAGAATATTCATTTACTACATTTGAAAACATTATAATTTACGCCAAATCTAAGTATATAACAGTAATTATGTTCAGACGAAGTTTGCAGTTTGCGTAATACATTGATGGTAAAGTAACAATTGGTTGGTTACAAAATTAATATTTTTTAGTTAAATTTGCTCATTGAAGTCATCCATGAAAATTCAATTTCGTGTTCCGACTAAATTGAAAGTACATTTGTTTACACGATAAAGCGTGGCACGCACTCGACTAGGTCTCGCTTGATTCGCCAAATAGTTGTAGGTCGTGATCTCTATGGTTTTTGATTTCGGATCGTACTTCTTGTCCGTGTGAAAAATTCGATCGCGCAACATGAGATCCTCGCTTTCGTTGTAAATGATCGAGCCACGACCCTGATTACGTTGGCTTTCGATTACTCGAGAGATGTAGTTTGAAGTCATCGTTTCGATCGTTCGACCCCGATCGTTGGTAGTGACGATTTTTACGGGCCTGTACTGACCGAGCGACAAAATTTGAGGAGTTGGGCCGCCCGGCGCGATGACTTTCGAGCCAAGGGCAACACATCTGGTCGACAATTCCACGCAAGCCGGTTCGAGGCTATTGTTTTGAGAGTTGTAACGTCGATTCAGTCGGAAATTGAAGTTTTCCAAAATTAGTTCCTCCGTTTCGTCGAAATAATGAAGCGGCGAGCTCGGAGGATTAAAATTCGTTGCTAAAATTGTTGCACGACGACCGTTAGTGGTATTGAGCAATTGCAATTTGTAGCCAGTTCGTCGGTCCAAGGTGGCTTCCACGAACTTCATCGACTGCGATTGCAGATAGCTATTGATTGTATAGCTTATATCGTTGTTGTCTACAGTAAAAAAGTATTTATTATTAAAATAAGAAAATAGTCTCTTTTATAGTGCGACAAAAATTGCACAGTGCGTAACTCACTATTAGGTAGGGCTGCATTAATCCGATTTCTAATTTTTTCGATTTGAGCGTTCACAATTTCTTTCGCTTGTTGGGTTTGCGGTCCACTAATATTTTCGTTAGCAGCTGTTGGTCGATTTCCAGCATCAGTATTGGATGGGGGATTTTGCCCTAAAAGTACAATAACGATAATATACCTTCAATGTTAATTGATATTATTACAATAACTTGCGAGGCTTTTTTACCTGGACGGTTATAATCATTATTACCAGGGTTAAAATTATTGTTTCCTGGGCGATTGACATTTCCATTGCCAGGGTTAAAATTATTGTTTCCCGGACGATTAAAATTTCCATTACCAGGGTTAAAATTATTGTTTCCTGGACGATTGAAATTTCCATTGCCAGGGTTTAAATTACTATTTCCAGGTCGATTGCCATTGTTGCTTGGGGGGTAGAAAGTACCACTGCCAGGACGATTTAAAATTCCATTACCTGGGCGGTTGAAATTACCATTATTCGAAGGGTTGAAACTTCCTCCACTAGGCTGATTCAAATTTCCGTTAGTCGACGGTTGAAAGTTTCCGTTGCCCGGGCGGTTGAAACTTCCTCCACTAGGCTGATTCAAATTTCCGTTAGTTGACGGTTGAAAGTTTCCATTGCCCGGGCGGTTGAAACTTCCTCCACTAGGCTGATTCAAATTTCCGTTAGTTGACGGTTGAAAGTTTCCATTACCCGGTCGGTTGAAATTGCCATTATTTGAAGGGTTGAAACTTCCTCCGCTAGGCTGATTGAAATTTCCGTTAGTCGATGGTTGAAAGTTTCCATTGCCCGGACGATTAAAATTACCGTTGCCAGGCCGATTTAAGTTACCATTATTTGGACGATTAAAAATAGGGTTTAGGTACGGATTATTGTCAAACTGGGATTGTCGATTACCGTTGTTTTGAAACGGCTTGCCATACTGATTAAATCCAATTTGGTACCCGGCAAATGCGACTCTATTTAATTCAATCGAAAAATGTTGTTAATATCTTTTCAATTTAATCTTTAAATGATTCATTAAAATCGTTATTAACTCAACAAAAATGTAATGTCCGAAAAATATTATAGCCCAAGTTCGCATGTTCTTCCAATTGAAAAAAAAGATGGATAGTCGAAAAAAACAGTCTAATTGACACTCGAACTAGCAATACAGGAAAACTGTATAGTACGGTTGTAAACTCGACACACGTCAAGGAAACCAATATTTCATACTTGCAATCCGAAAAATCGTGATCATTTGAAAATCGCATCGGCGACATTAATTTTTGTTGCACCTGCACGACGAATTGCGTACACCGATACTTTATATTGAAAACGATTTGAGTACGTTTGTATATACATTATATATGCAATGAAAACGTATATCACGCAGATACATACGAACGAGGATACAAAATTGTTTCATTAATTTTGTCAGTCGCAAAATGAATCTTTTGACGCGCCACGCGCTCGTGCGAGCTCAGCAAGTTGCATTGGAATTTTTTTCCCGCGGCAAAAAAAAATTAGCACAATAATATGTAATCACGCATCATCATTAAACTCTTTTTTCTCTTACTCTCGCGCGCGCGCGCAAGATCTCGCGCATTTATCATTTGACCGTACTGCATATACGTATGTATGTATACTTAAATATACACTTGCAGATTATTGGTACGTGTATAATACAACTTATGAGCATATATATGTACACGGCTACGAGCTGCACACACTACAAATCGCATCGTTATATACACGTGGCCGAACGAGCTATGAAAGATAATACATAAACACGCTATATAACGTATAGCAGGCTGCTGCTGCACGCACACACAGCTTCGATCCGAGCGATCAACTTTTTGCTCCCCTTTTTTTTTTGCTCTCCTCCTGATGGTTTCGTCAGAGACGTCGTATATTATAATGTACTCGGCGTCCACAGTCGCACATGTGTGTATGTACTTACGTACATACATATGTATATACACACAGGCTGTCATGCAGACACAGACTCCAACTGCTGCTGTCGCTGCTGCTGAGAGTGTGCGAGCCAAGGCGCGCTCGGCATCTCGCGCGCGCGGGGCTACACACACACACACACACACACACACACACACACACACACACACACACACACACACAAGAGAGTGAGAAAGAGAGAGAGCCTTGCGCCGCGCCGATAGAAGCCTGGCGTATTTACCGTTTTTTCACATAGTCTTCAAATGTCGCGACGATAAGAAACTATCTCTCCCTTGTCCGCAAAGCCGATCGAGCTCTCCGCCGCTGTATCGCTAAAAGACGCGTATAAACGACCGAATAATCATCAAATTCAGCCGAATACCAATATTATTAATTATATAAAACCGGAGACCCCGAGACGTTAATACACAAAGACGGAGCAGCAGCAGCAAAAAAAGAGGAAAGAAAAACAGCATCCCGATCTACATCTATATACCCGGAGTGCAGCGCGCGCGCGAGAAAGATTTTTTCACGCTGAAAAAACATAAACGCGCGCGCGAGTTTTATTATATACATTTGCAAATCGTCGTAATCGGACGTGTATATACGCCGGACACAAGCGCGCGCGCGCGCGAGACTCGGTTTCGCCTCGATATCAAACAATTATACGATTTTTATAAAAAGGTTTTTCATCGCGGACAAAAAAGTGTAACGTAATACGACTAATACGCTTAAACATGCTCGACGATTACTAAGTCGCCCGCAGCTGCTTCTATTAATACATTAAAAAAAAAATAATAATAATAATAAAACGAAAAAACAGAAATAAAAAGAAGAAGTGATTTGCTACGACGACGAGGAAGTTCGCCGAGAAAAAGAAGCAAAATATCGTTAAACGCAAAAAAAGGGCGCAAAAATCCAAAATAAAAAATATTACCGGCGAGGAAGAGAACGAGTAAAAAGAGAAAAAAAAAACGTATCATTTCCTAGATGATTAGACACAATACTTGTAAAAGTGCGTGCGTTTTTGCGTATACAACAATAGCCGAGGCACGTGTAATCACTGAAAAGGAAAAAGTGCAAGTAGCAAGTGATTTTGAAAGTTCCGACACTCTTAGCCACGAGCAGCTCCGTTTGGAAGGTATATCGTAATTACGATTCGCCTCGTGAAATGACTATGCACTTTACGACATAATACGGCACATAAGATATTGGTTTGCTTATTCCTTCGATGATTTGCACCTTGCTCCTTTGCTCGGGCTCGTATTATTTTTTTCCTTCGCTCTCTCGCTTGCCCGTCTCTCTTTCTCTCTTTCCCAGCTCCTTTTTTGCTCTCAGTGCGGCTCTCTCTCTCTTCTTTCTCTCTCTCTCTCTCTCTCTCTGCCCCGTATAGTCGTAGTAGTAGCATAAAACGTAGTCCCCTTCCAATGTCGAAAAAATATGAGGATTAAATTTGGGAAGGAAGTGTACGGTTTGTTCTGCTTTGATCGTTCGAATTTCTCACGAAGGTCATTCGAATCTCTGTGTGTAAGAGCGAACTGCAGTGGGTCGTGGAAAAAAATACACTTGCCAGTTGCTTCTGGCTGCTTGGTAGATAAAAAACCAAGAGAGGCGCGAGACGAACGAGCGAGGCACACGAGCGCGTGAAAAAATTCCTTCGGCAAGCATGTTAAATATCGTCGGCACCGAGTCGTTTCTCCAAAATTCCGCCAACAACATAAACAACAACCACAACAACAACAATAATTTTTTCATCGACGGCGGCGGTGGCTGCAACGACGACGAGGAAGAATGGAGATTGATATCCTCGCTGATAGACAAGTGCGCCGACGATCCGATTTTGGCTGATCACTTCGAAGAGATAGCCAACGTTATCGCTGACAACTGCATCACGGATTTTTCACACGTGTGCGTATTCGTAAAAAAAAAACGAAAAAAAAAGTAGAGGCCATTAAGACCCGATATAAATCTCGAACACGAGCCGTAATTTTGTTTTCTGTTGCTTTTTTTGCAGGACCAACAGCTCGGAAGACGACGACGACGATGCGGTAGCCGATATACTTTTCGATCTAATAAGCAACGACGACAATGATTGCAGCAGTAGCAGCGTCGACACGACTGCGTCATCGACGGGTTTCAACAGCGGCTCGGAAAAATTGCCGTCCAACGACACAATTGCGCCAGTTCCGATCGACTTGGAGCACGATCTGTCGTACCAAGTCGACTGCAGCGACGGCCAGGAAATTCCCGACGATGCCGTCGTCGTCGACAGCGGCAACGGCAACGGCACAACCGCCAACCACAACTGCACCGAGTGCAAAAAAAAGTTCAAGAAAAAGGCCTACTTACGGCAGCACTTCATCAACGTGCACCTGAAGCTCAAGCTGTTTCAGTGCAGCGTCTGCGACATGACGTTCGGCTACGAGAACGTCCTGAAAAAGCACGAGGAGACGGTGCACAGCGGCCTGCAGAGGCACAGCTGTCAAGTCTGCGGCCGGAAATTCGGCAAGAGCGCCAATCTCAAGCGTCATCTCATCAACGTGCATCTCGAGCTCAAGTCGTTTCGCTGCGAGACCTGCAACGCGAGATTCACGCAAAAAGTCGCGCTTCGACGACACCAATTGACGCAGCACCATCGCAACAGCGCCAACCAAAACAGCAACGAAAACAACTCGGACAGCAGCAGCAGCGGTCCGATATGCGACCAATGCGGCAAGACGTTCGGCTCGAACTACCACTTGAGCAGGCACAAGACGACGGTGCACGCCGGCATCCGAGCTTTCGGCTGCGAACAGTGCAAAAAGAGCTTCGCCCAGAAGGAGGACCTGATCAAGCATCGGGCGCGGCTGCACAGCGACGAGAAGCGCTACCGGTGCGATCTGTGCTGCTCGTCGAGCGGCGACGCAGACGCGGACGCGGACGCAGCTTGCAGATTCGCCACCAAGGACGATCTGACGAGGCATCGCAGGAGCGTCCACGAGAAAGCCAAATTTTTTAACTGTGATTCGTGCGATAAGGCCTTCGGCAGGAGATACTATTTGCTCAGGCACAAGGCCAAGGTGCATCAGAGTTGAGATAGATATTTATCGACTATCGTAATTTTCTAGATTATATTATTATCCGCGCGCTATAGTAAAATCGCTATTTAATATATCCTCGGATGTGGACACTCAGCTCAAAAATATGCGCTTGATGTATTCATTAGAAACTGGTGCTTGTCGTAAAAATTATTACTTATAGACTGGTTTGTATTAGGGTCTCTTCGATGATTTTGCGAGGAAAAAAAATTATTTTAACGTGTACGTGCATTTATTTTATTATAAATGACTCAAAAGGGCATTGAAAATCGTTATTAAAAATATCTATACGATTAAAACTCATTTGCATTTTTTATTGCCAGCAATATTCATATTCTCGATGTTGTAATAGTTGTCAATCGGAAACGTAGAACCTTGTCCGATCCTTACACGTTCTAGTCTTTAATGAATGTAAAGTCACATTCTAAACACGGTGGTGGTAAAATTGTGCAACACAGCTGTATTATTAGTTTGAAAATGATTCTTTTTTCTTTTTCAATTTTAATTTCGACGTCGAGTCGCAAATTGTTTACTATGCAAACATTCGACTGTATACGCGTGACCCATGTACCTTTTTCGACAATGCGATTTTACATACGCGCGCCTCGAGAGTCGTATTAAAGTGAGTCCTACATTTTATGCAAATTACGTAATCATCCTGTTCGGCTCTAAGCGTCCGCGCGCGCACGGCAGAAAAATGAATGGCACATTCGCATATGGGATTTTACGACTGTGTATGTGTTGGTGCATGTGAGAGGCAAGCAAACGCCGCGTATATGAATAATGCGAATCCATATAAGTCATTACGTAGAAAAAGATCGTCTCTAGTAAGGCACTTTCACCGAATTTTCGAGGCACAGCATCGATCCGCCATGGTTCTAAATCTTCGAAGTGAAATAGTAGTTTTCCTCCAATTAAAATCAAAAGCTATCTTTTACACGTAAAAGCTGTGAAAAATAATGAAAATATTACATTAAAAAAAAAAGTTTCACATCGAAATGTGTATTTGATGTAAAATATTTATCTGACAATTCTATCTTATTTGACAAGGTAACAGAGTTCCGTGAAATTTGTATTCCATTTAAATATCTATCTCGTGCGCTTGCCCCGAGCGTATGTCTATCAAATCGGAATTTCGCAAAAAAAAAAATGATAAGAGTTCGTCGCAGAAAGGAACATACGCGTGTGTCATTAACACTTAGATCTCGCCCAGCATTCATATTATTACGCACACGTGCGCACGAAATGATTTTTGAAGATCTTCGTCTTTAAATAACGGTACATTCGAAGTCTGGCAAACTTACGGTCTGACGGGCTAACATTTAATGTATCCGCTCCCCACAATGGCGCTGATTTGAGAGGTCCGTGATACTGTTGCCAGAGGTTTATTTAGTGTCAAATGTCAATAGTTTGATATAAAACAACCCGTTTGAAATGTTTACATATCAATTAATAATTTGGAACAAGTAATTAGGTTCAAATTTTCTATTACATTGTTCTTGATTTGTTAACAATTTTTTAAATTTCAAAGTTTAATTTTTAAGTGGACCAATATTACTGTATTATTAATTATGTCTGAAAATGAAGTTGATAATAATTCTGTAAATTCATATGAACTAACACCTAGTAGAGACATTTATTAAGTTCTTTAATTTATTACAGATAATTAAATGGGAAAAAGAATTGATTGGGTAGATGCTAAAATCAATGTATTAAAATCATGTATATAATACACGCATATATGAACTAAGTTATAAAAGTTGCTTATCTGTGTCCAAAAAAATATCTAAGTATCAATTTAAAATAATGAAAAGCAACATATACAATCTTCAATTATTTACTATTTAGTATTTTCCATCATTTTTGTCAATCAATAAAATACTAGTTTTAATAGAAAACATTCAATCATAATATGGCATCACCAAGTCAAGTCTCCTACATATCTAAAATGATCAGATATTAAGAGTTTCATTCTTTTACAAAAACACTATTCAAACTTTACAATGTAAGAAATTATTAATAAAAAATAAGTATAATTAGAACTGAAGCATAATTAAATAAAATAAAAAAGTAAAAGATTTTAAAAACAGTAAATAAAACAAAAAATCATCTATAAAATGTTAACATCTGATTATGATAAACTTTTTTTACATAGCACTTAAAAATCATGTGTTAAATAACATCATCATACTTAAATGCAAAAAGCATCAAACTATCAAAAAATAAGTATATTATTCAATGTACTCGATTGATTTCATTACCTCAGTTCTCATTTAAAATCATTAGTATCCATCATTCCTCTTTACAATCTTGAATCTATGTAATTAAATGAATGGGACGAAATTTTCTTCTAAGATGCTCTTTGTTTGTTCGTTTAATTTTACTTTTTCGATATCCTGCTTTCAGTTTAGGTTTTAGATGTTTGGGTTTTTTAAATAAATTTTTTCTTCGTGGGATTGCTTGATTAAGTGTGCTTTTGGAACTTTCATCTTCACGTCGTGTATATAAAATTTCTGATTCAACAACATCTACATCATTAGTATGATTGTAAGCTCCATGATTTTCAAGCCATGAAACTACATGATCATTTTTATGAAGTATTGCTATTTTTATCGGTGTTAATCCAGCCCAAATTGGTGATTCAGCTGGCAGAATCTCATTGACGTTAATATTAGATTTGCTAATTAATTTTTTTAGTAAACTTTTATTTTCTCCTTTGGCACATTCTAAATGGAAAAGAGTTAATCCTTTTCCTAGGTTGGTGATTCTGTCTTGCTCAAATTTTTCAAGAATAATTTCTATTATCTCGTAATCATAATGTGTTATTTTGAGTGTGTAAGGATCAGCTGAGGTTGCCTCTAATAATTTGATAACTGCTAGATCTAAAACAGTTTGTCCCAATGTGTTTTTTAATCTGATGTCAGAATTTTTATTAATTAAAAATTTTAAAGATCTTTTACACCCAAATGCGGCAGCGAAATGTAAAGCTGTAAATCCAGGCCAAAAAAATGAATAACTTTTGACAGCCATATCAATTTTACAGTTTCTTTTCAATAAAACTTCTAACATGTCAACTTGATTGGTTGCACTGTACAAATGAAAAAACGTTAATCCATAAGGATCACTTGGGTTACCTGAGAATTGATAATCTCTAAACCAGCACTGATCCAATTCTCTGTCATGAATATAAGCTTTTTCAAAAGCAATATGAAATGGAGTAGTCTTCTTTGAATCTGTAACAGCAATGCTTGCACCATGATGAATCAACATCGAAGCTAATTTAGTGTCACCTTTAGAAGCAGCAAAATGAAGCAGAGTTGAGCCTTTCAATTTTGGAAATGTCCAATCAAATGGTTCGTTAATAGAACCTCCATTTTTTATCATATAAGTTATATCTTCTATAATATCTTCAGAAGAGATTGTGTCCAGGTAGTCGTACTTGTTGGACTTGAAATCGTCCGATTCCATTCTTAAAAAATTATAATTATATAGACTATGAGATTTTTTGCTGTTGAACATTTAGATTTTATTAATTAACTTACTTGTTTTCTAGTTGAGTTTACGAATTCCCAAGGAAAGAACGTTAATGGATGAAATCTTTTCTTTCTTCCTTTGATCTGAACATGTAACGATATATTTTATTGGTTGCGGCAACAAAACCTCATAAACTATATAAAGATGTATTGCTGTGATGCAAAATAACGATTCGTGTACACTGAATGATGATAAGACACTGGTGTAATTTTCTTTTAAAGTAGACAAAACTACTTGATTTACGAACATAGCCCTAGCGGACTTCAAAGTCAAAACTCAAGTGTATTTTCGTAAAGGTCAAATGGTGATAATATTTACATTTCTTTGTCTAGGTACGACAAAAAAAGAGCTTAGTTTCATGTCCTTTTTATTTATGTTTATTAAAAAATAGTATACCCCTAATTTTAATGTCAAGACAAGAAATCGGTATAACTACTTTTCTCACAAAGAAAGTTCTAATTATTACGACTCACAATACTTCTGCAGCTTGCCGCTCGTTTGAATTCATTCCTAGAATTGCCGGCGCGTTTCGACCCGCACTTGTTTGCGCGCCAAACATCAGTTGCTTTGAAGTTTGAACTCGCACGCACAGCACTTGACAGCTCATAGGGATTTTCGAATGTGTCTTATAGACACTTCTAGTACTTTTCGCTAGTTATCATCCCCGCGTTGCAAACGTCATAATCTTGGTGTTGATATGTGCAAAGCGCAGGCCGCAGAGGCAGGTGTATTTGCAGTCTAACCTTGAATCGAAAAAAATGTTAACATAAATACGGAATATTTCGTCTGCTTCAATGGAAACAGCATGACAGATTCGCATTTTGAGTTTTTACATTCTAATTTGAATTTCTTTGACGCGAATTCATTCAACATTATTATGCTGATTTCGATACGTTATTAATTTATAAAAAAAGTAAATAAACCCATTGAAAATGAATTTTTCATCGTTCAAAATACCAGTGGTCTATTTCATTTTGCTGTCGATCTCGTTGTTTGTTTTTTTGCTCTACATCGTCGGTGCAGCGAAATATCTTACGGATCATGAAGAAAATACTTGTGATATGACTTATATGTTTGAATATCCTCAATATGTGGTTTGTACAATTTTAATTTGATCTGTCACTCGTAAATTTGAAGAACCCGGCTTACTTTTATTATTAACTTAACGACCAAATCATTTAATTAGCGGATAGGTCTGAGTTCAAAACAAGATGATTCGCCGGAAGATTTGCATTTTCCAAGGTATCGACTTTTTGCCTATGGCGAGGGTTTCGTAACAGAACGTCTTAGACGTATGCACTTTAATGGAATACCCGTTCTGTTTATACCAGGAAACGCTGGCTCTCATGAGCAAGGTATTGATTGTTTGAATTTGAAAAAAGAAAAACTTTGCTCATCATTTTGATTTTAATTTGTTCAAAACTGTTTCAGTGCGATCACTGGCGTCAATTAGTTTGCGAAAAAGTTTGAAAAGTCGCTCACCTTTTCATTTTGACTACTTTACAGTGTCATTTGGAAAAGAATATTCAGCACTATACGGTGGAGTATTAGAAGAAGAAACTGTTTTTGTTGCCAAATGTATCAAAAGAATTCTTGCCTTGTATCAGGGTAAACCAAATAATATTATTTTAATAGGCCATTCCATGGTTTGTTTAAATTTTAACTATCAATGACTTATTTAATTGTAAAGTTTTATGCAAGTCTTATTTCTTTTTACAGGGAGGAATTATAGCCAAAGGAGTTTTGTTGACAGTGCCTGAAATAAGTAGCAATGTAGCAAGTATTTTGATAATGCTTGCAACGCCAAATAAACCATCTTTATATCCAGATTTAACTTTTCTCAACTATTACCAATCGATAATAAGTAACATAAAAGATTTGAAGAATAATGGAACAACAGTTATTTCTATTGGAGGCGGACCGAGAGACATACTTGTACCATCTTCTCAAACAATTGATGAACATGCAGATATAAATGCTCTTACCACAAGTATTCCTGGTGTTTGGAGATCCACTGATCATTTATGTATTTTATGGTGTAAACAATTAATACTTAATATTGTAAGATCTCTTTTTGATTGTGTTGATACATCACAGAAACCTCCAGCCATTACTGACAATATTGAGACTAGATTAAAAGCATTCAATTGGCACTTTGTACAGGTAAAAATATTATTTTGATAATTCATAATTTAATCTAACTTCTATCTATATTCGAAAATAATTTTACCTTTTATAGCGAGGAACTAAAGAAAAACATTGGCCCAGAACAAATTATGCAGAAAAAGTTGAATTATCAAATGAAAATGGTGAGTGGATTGAAAAACTTCAAAGGCAATATGTTTGGAGCAGTAAAGATTATTTGAAAAGTGCATCAAAAAAATCAGCAGTAATTTATCTAATGATGAGACTAGATACACCGGTTGATACTCTATCAGTAAACGCAATTAATTTGAGATCCAAAGATTGGATTTTTGCTTGTTCTGCATCAGAATCTCGAGGATGGTAAGTTTTTGATTGACCCATTGATTATAAACAGAGTTATGAAAATGAAAATAATTTTGTTGATTATTCAAATAGCACAAAAGCATGGAATTTATCAAATCATACTAGAGTAGTACCTGGATTAACTAGAAAGCCTTGGAAGTTTTCAGTTGATTTAGATTTAAATCTAGTCCGAAATTTGGACGTTTCTCATGTAATTATAAAAATACCTATGCAAGCTCAACGCCGAAACGACGATGACGATGATGATGACGATGATGACGATGATGATAACAAGATAATTGAAGTTGATGCTTATCAGCGATCGTCCAGGCTTAAACGACTAACAAACCTTAAACCTTGGTCATCTGAACGTGGACATTTAAGATACAATATTTTATTAGACGGTGTAACAGATGTGATTAATGTCGAAATGAAAAACTCAAATTGTTCAGAAAGTAAAATGGAACGTTATTCAATGTTAGAACTAATGGAACCATGGATTCAAAATGCTGGTCAAACATTATTTTTTGGTGAAAAGTAAGCAATTTTTACTATGAAAAATAAGCAATGAGTTTAATTTATATTTTTTTCAGCGATAATTCTCCAAGGACCATGAAACTACAAACATTACATTCTCAGCGTTTGAGGATTATGAATTCAAAAAATGCAGAGATTAAATTATCTTTGGATCCTGCATGCACATATGATATTTACATACAAAGAGCCAATATTATTGAGAGAATAGCTTGTTTAGTGCGAGATCGGTGGACATTCATTTATCCAATTACCATTGGTTTGCTTTTACTAAGTTTAGGTCAAAGAATTGATTACTATAATGAAGACAAGACAAGCATGGCTGCAATAATTATTATCACCATGATTCTTTGTTCAAGTTTGAATTTGATCATCGAGTGTTGCGTTGGAATAGCTATTCTTCATTCTATGGCAGTTGGAGTTTGTTGCTGTGTAGTATTTTTTGGATCAGTAGCACATAACATTGCAGTCAGGTACTTTCATATTATTACATGATAAAGTTTTTAATTACGCTTAGTACTAAAATATTTCTGAAATGAAAACTCACAAACAGATTTTTAGCAAGAGCCATAACTTTTTCTACAACTTGGTCAGAATGGTTACTTGGTGGACTAGTCAATCAGTTACAAATTGTTACTGCTGGTATATTATTGTCAATGATACCAGCAACTTGTGGAGCTTTAGCTATGATCCTCTCAATATTTTTACAATTTTTAAAATTGACTCGAATGTATGAGGATTATTTGGAAGGATTATTATTTGTAGCTCTTAGATATTTCAATTTATTAAAAAAAAAGGATGATGATGAAACCACTGATTCAATAAGGCAAAATGTCATTAATCAAGTATTGCTGTTTCTTTTTTGGTGTTTTGCTGCTATACCTGCAATTCCATCAGTACTCGTGTGGGCCAAAAACTTTGTGTAAGATAAATATGATTTTTATAAACATTATTGAAAAAATTTATTTAAAAAATTTCATTATTTTTTAGTTTTAGTACTAGGTTGAATACAGAGGACCCAATCTTTTTATACAGTTGGATTGTTATGATTGCATGTGGCATATCTGGATTGGTAAAAATACCTACTTCAGTCAATTCTTACAAAACTAAGTCATTAGCAACGTTATTACGTTGTTTAGGTTGGATAGCAATTGCTATCTCATCTACCCCTAACGCAGCCAATTATTATTGGTGTTTCCCACCATGTCTTGCAGCCGTAACGGTATTAATTTCAATTAATTTTCTTTGAAAACAGTTTTACCATAGGTAATTGTACCATAGGGACTAAGTCAAGTTTCTTACAGAACAATTTTTATTCCTGTAAAAAGCTCAAAATGCGTTAATTTTCACGATATAAGATATACAATAATTTTTGTAATAAATTTACATGTTAAATACAAATTATCAAACAGAACTGGAACTGAATAATTTCTTCTGTTTTGTCTATTAGAAAAACAATTTTTCAATGTTATATAATCATGTTACTATTACTAATTTTTCAGTTTAGCTTAATTTTGTCAACAGACTGTGATTAGCCTGGAAAATGTTGCTAGCATATAATTATTATATGTGACACTTTACCAAACCGTTGTTAACCATAGTTAATCAATTTATTATTATAATTTGAAAATATTAAAATAGACAGTCATGTAAACCTTCACCATTTAATGTAGAATATAAACTTTACAAATTTTGTGTATTAAATGTTGAGTTTATATCAATGATCTATTATTGTAGTGAAGAAATAAGTTAAATAAACTTGAATTATAAATCATAAAATTTGTACATAAATAAAGTTTATTTTTCATCTCTAAATTTTTGAAATGTCATAAAATATTACAGTGATTTAATGCATTAAAGTATTTAACCAAACTCAAAATCAAGAAGATAAATTCTCTTGTTGATAAATATCTATAATGAAGATTGATTGAATAATAATAAAATAATTGTGCGTAAATTTCACAGCACTAAAAAAATGTCTACAAAATATTATTAATTCTGTTAAGGTATAATTAACATAGTCTCTAAACACTTTTTACAACATGATTCAGCACATCCTTACAATAGTACATAGTAAAATATAATCCTTTTTTGAGGAAAATCTTTCAGGATTGAGTCTTTTGTGATATCTAATAATCAAGAGCCCATTCATTTTCTTGCAAGAAAGCATCAACAACATCTTTCATAGCAAGGTTAGGTATAAGTTGATCTTGAGTCAATCTTACTCTGGTAACTGGGTCAAAATGACCAACTCTCTGAAGATGTTCTTCTATATCTTTTCTTTCATAAGTAATTCCACTGGGAGTTATAACAGGTTCTTGCAAAATTTCAAAACTGATCTTGCCACATAAGTAGTCTGGGACTTCTCGTCGCTTAAATAATCAAATAAATAAAACGTTATTCAAATTATAGAAGGAACGTATCATAACAAAAAGTTTCTTACCCTGCGTAGATCATCAACTTTAGCAAATAAATCATTTAGCCTTGTAAGAGCAGAATCTCTTTTTTCCTCAATTTCTTGTTGAAGCGTAGATAGTTTACTTTCTGTTAAAATTTCTTCTCCTTTATCTTTAGCATTCAATTCTTTTAGTTTAAGCTCTGCTAAACTTTTTTCTGCATCTTCAATAATCAATTTATTAATATAACTTTGAAGTTCAATTTCTTGGGAAATTCTTAGTTCTTCTTTTATTTGAAACCTCTTTTTGCGAGCTTGTCGCAAAACACTTGTCATATCATCTCCATAATTAAGTTTCTGTTCTTTGGAGAGGTCAACAGCTAAAAGTAAAAAGGGTTCCAATAGTTAATTGAATGTATTCATAAATAAAGTTTATAATACATGCCTCTTTGTAGGTGCTTTATGGCTTCATCATATAATTCTAATCCTTGTAGAGCAAGCCCAAGGAAAAAGTGACCTTTAACAAGGCAGGGCTCCAAATCCAAAGCTCTTCGACAATCTTGGCATGATGATTCATATCTTTTAAGTTTTAAATATGCAAGGGCTCTATTTGTGAAGTAAAGTGCTTGATTAGGATTTTTAATCTAAAAACCGAAACAAAAGTGTCATGATTACTGTTCTGCAGTCGATGATCAAGAAATCGTGTTTTCACGAAAAAAAAACTTACGATAGCTTTTGTGTAACAGTTAGCAGCGTCTTCGAATTTGTGAAGATTGAACAGACGATTGCCCTGTTCTTTCAGCTCCTTGTCGCTGAGATTAGCGGTTGAATACATCTTACTCATTGTTAAAAAGTGTGGTTGACGATTAACTAAGCGTTTGTAACTAAAATTTCGGGATCAAAAGAGCGTATAAGTAAAAAGAAAACAAATGCCGTGTGTCGCGAAATGCGCTTTTCCAACTCTCTCTCTCTCTCTCTCTCTCTCTCTCTCTCGTGGAACACTAGCACTTATAAAATTGTCCTGCTTATGCCTAAATCACACACAAGCAGTTAAGAATATCGGAGCTCTGTAAAAGAGTTAAATTCGATAAATATAAAAATAAAATCTGCGTAATGCTGCTAGATCTTGATACCGGGGCATATCATATTTCACTTGTACGTACACACGAGAGCCCGTGCGATTCTTTGCGCATTAATTGTGCCCGAAAGCGTGTGTGCCTTTTTTCAACTTATTAACTTATAATGCTAACGTCAGAACGCAATAATGCGTGTGTTGTGCAGTATATAAAAGTATTGTCGATAACGGAGAAGCTCTATTATTTTGCACTGTCCGTCGTTTTGCTTGTTTGCAACTGTGAAGCTGTCAGTTTGGCCGCACCAACGTGGCGCTGATTTCCAGTTACCTTTATATGCGGAGGATCAGCTGACCTGCTGACGTGCGTCGTGCTAAGGTGCACTGCATGGAAGAGCGTAATTTTTAAAATCTCTCGCTGTCTAGCAATATGAAAAGTATTAGGTATTTACCGTGATGAATTTATATCAATAATCTGTTATTGGAATAGATAAATTATATTTACGCAATTATGCATAAGAACCATCTGTGTCGATCGCGATTCTATATCAAAGATTGCACGATAAAACAGATCGTCATTTCAATTAGTTATCGACATTTTAAAAGTTGCCACAATTTTAATAGGTACAGATAAAATAATTAAACAAGATCTACGAAAAATAGTGACTTTTGATTATCGTTACTGGACTGACAGTGTATCGTTGCATATCTAAGGCGGTCAATCATTCGAGAAAAAATAAGAACACGAATCGATGTGCTCTATTCCACAATTTGAGTACCTTGAATGTAAATTCTAAAATAATGTTATTATCATGATAAAATTCGCGTTTGTTAACCTAAAGTGCATTTGCTCTATGAAAAATTTTCCCTTTAAAAGTTGTAAAACGTCTCTCTGTCTATGCGTTGTCTGCTTGTCACTTTGTCACCGACTAATATCTGAACAGAAAGCTCGAAAATGAAAATTCTGAACGATCGGTCTCGAGTATCGTTGATAAAGTAGTTATCTGATAATAGTGCAATCGTCATCTGCACGCATATATAGCAACGCGGCACAAATATTACATATCTGCGTGCGCGTGTATACGTCCAGCTTATATTATCAATAAATCGCTCGGCATTATCTTCTTGTATTTCCGTTTATACTCGAAAGAATATAATGTATTATCGTCGTCGCCGTCATTGGGTAATGTAGCAATAATCAGAGATGCATATATAGATATACAACTTGGTGCTTCGGACAGGTATACGAAACACACGGCAGCATATATTATTGTTATTATTGTAAAAACGTAATTTTGCCATATAAGTTGTCGTATAGCAGTAAGTCGCGCCGCTGCCGCTCGCCGTCGTCGTCGTCTTGGCTGATAGTGTAAGTGTATATGCTGCTATATACATGTGTGTATGTAGTACTATATGACGATTACATTATTTGTGGCATGAGCAGCGCGGAGTAGCGCCTGCAGTGGCTGCTGGTGTACTACACGGCACTGATCTATATAATATTCCCACTGACATATAGGTATACTACCTGCACAGACAGGCGCACACGCATATGTTACTTTTGCAAAAGAAAAAGTAGAGACCAGCGGAGTGTCCGAACGGAGTTGCGCACCCGCGACTCCACGTCGTTGTTGGCTGTTGCTGCACACCACTCGTTGCGGATTTCAGCTAATTGTAAACTTGATCGCTTCTCCAGTCGACGAGTTACATACGCAGGTTTATCTTTCTATTTTACATATTTGCATGAGTGTGCGTGCGAGTGCGGGACCTCTACGAGAAGAAGGCACGTTCGAAAACGTCAACAATTGCCAAATAATGAAGAATTCGCAGCGTGTTAATGAGTGTGTGTGACTTGGTACGAGCATCGTTGCAACGACACTCACATACACGCGCGTTCATGTCAACTGCGTGCATGAGAGAGCTAATAATAATCGCGCAACAGTGCAGACTTGTACAGTGTCAAAGACAAACGTCCAGCTGCAAACGCACAACTCGACGTTGCGCTTCGTACTGCAGCAACCTCGAGCTCTCAGACTCGTCAGCTGGAGGAAAGAGTCAAGCTCCCAAGGCGCCGTAGGCGTAGCAACGCCTGGTGCTGGCCCAGACGAAAGCGCAAGTCCTCGAACTCGTCTTCGTCGGCTGCTGCCTTAGCTTCAGCAACAGCAGCGGCAACGACAGCAACAGCCCTTGCTAATAATCGTTTGCAACGATTAAGACGACAATCTAAGACAACGGCCAACACTATGGCCGCTAACAACACTCTCTTGGCAGCATCATTAGCTGCTAACATTGCCTCTACGACTCCCAGTACTGTGAGCGATGTCAAACTTCAAAATGCTGGTGGCAAGAAGGGCTGGCTCTTTAAGTGGACTAACTATCTTAAGGGCTATCAAAGGAGGTGGTTCGTTCTTTCTGATGGCAAGCTTTCTTACTACAGGTACAAACTTATATCAATATCACTTTTATGGTATTCTTTTCAATTTCTTATTATAAATAGAAAATTATAGAATTACAAGCAACAGTTGGTGTTGATATCATTTCAACAGAATTTCTTTATTGCATTTTTGATGATTCGTATTAAGTTTCTTAAAGATGAATATAATATGACGCTGAAGTTATAGATTTTGATCAACATAAAATTCAGTATACTATTACTTTTTTAAATTTACAGTTTTTCATAAAATTACTTAATAAAAATAATGATATTTTAGTTGTTTCTATTGATAGACTAATTTCAAATTTGAAAGCTGAATTGCTGTACCGTTTATAATTATATTGTTCACCATTGGAAGTGTAGAAGATTATTTAAAAACCAGAATTTTGCCAAAACTTTAACTTTATACCATTGAATGCAATATTTTATTTAATCTGTGTGATCAGAATTTGATCAGATTCTTTATTACAAAACTTTAAAATCATACGATGAAAATTAATTTCATAAATTATAGCTTCTATTCACCTGTACATTAATTAACATTGTTTAGTACTAACATGATGGAAAAATAACTATGTAACAATCTAGTAATAAATATTTCGTTATCGTTCATAATAAAAGTTAACAGCAAGTTACTAATATAGAGCTTGAAATTCATATCAGAAAAAAACTTACCATGTATAACAATAAAGTGACAAACATTTCCAATGGTAATTAATTTCAGTTATCAACAGTCTTTATAATTAATACAAAAAAATTTTTAAAAGGTTGACAAAAATTGAAAAATTGAAAGTTTATAGTTTTCTGAATCAAATTCAAAATTATACATGAGTTAGTCTAAGCAGAATACAAAATGATATAGAAAAGTACATGAAAATATATTTTATTTCCTGAAAGTTTGTTTGGATGCTCAGTACAGTTTCAGTAATATCAGTCATACATTTTTGGGCAAATGACTATAGATTTTAAATGTTTGAAGTTATTTTAATTATATTATTGAATTGAAAATGTTCAGACGACAAATGTCAAAGTGTTACAGTTTAATATGTATCTAACCTTGGATAAAACCCAAGTTGCTCTTTAAGCAACTTACGATTATCAGTTATTTCTTTTATTCAGAATATTATTTGAATCAAAATAAATGATAATGTTTCTACTTGCTACATAAAAATCTGGTATGGATTAGCATCAACAACTTCATAATACTAGTTTGACAAATTATGAAAAATATTTTTATAAATATTAGTAATATACTAATTACTGTACACTATACCCCTGTAAAAGTATTAGTATAAAGTAGTTACCTATATGTTCTAGTTACGATTACTGAGCTAGTGATCTGAAAAAAGAATCTGCTATGTATTAGGATAAAAAAGGCAAAACACAAGCTTCCCAAAGTAGGCATTACTAAATTAAACACATTCAGTTAAAATTTTCAAAAAAAAAAATTTAACAGATCATAATGATTACATGATGCACATTCCTTCATTTGCATTATTTCCACACAGCTTTAATTTGGGTGCATAATCGAAAAATGTTAACATGTAAAAAATTATGTTGTTTTTGAAAAAAATTTTTAACAATAACATTATAACGCAACTTTTTTGCGAGAATATATTTGATTTTATTTTATTTAAGATGTAAGCACTTGGATCTTTTTAAATATGCAATGATTTTTCATGAATGGATTTTATATATAAAATAACAATTCAATTATTGTTTCGTATCGCACCATTAGCGCACCGTTAAAAGTGACTCTATGTACTTTGAACGTTGAAAAATAATTGAAAAAAAAGTTTTTGTCCACTTATTCATGTCTAAACTCTCTCTTACTTGGTGTGCTCTGCCAGTTCAGTAAAAGCACCTTTTTTATTCACTTTATTTTTATCCGACATCGATTCATTCGTTCATTAACTGTCAAATTTTGCGCGATCTTTGTGAAAGTAAAAAAAAAAATATAAATCAATTCTCTTGAAATTTACAAAGAAAGCATTCAATATCAATCATGATTCACCACAAATTAGTCGTTATCTTTATTCTCATAAAATGCGAAAAATCTCAGACTTGATACAAAAGCGTCGTCATTTTCTGCATTTAAATATGCGGTCATAGGAGAAAAAACGAAGAGAGACACAGATATCGACTTAAAAACAAAGACAATAATTAAAAAAATTTAATTATAAAAAAAAAAAAATTAAGAAAAATGGGATTTCATATTCTCTCATGTGTTTGTTATTGGTTTTGTTTTTCTCTTTTTGTGGACTGTCTAGGGCCGAACCGACGGGGGGTCTAAAGATTTCGACGAGACGCAAGCGGAGAGCTGGCAGAGCCTCCGAGTAAGTAGCACAATTCCAAAAAACAAAACGCAAAACAACAAATTTGCAATTTTACAATTTTAAACAAAAATTATATAATGCCGACTTTTTGTTTCCATTATATTAATAATTATTATTCATTGCATCTGTTTTATCTCTGATCTACCGATTTGCTACTATTTTACATGTCATGTAATACATCGAACATACTCTAACATTTATTAACGGCCTCTGTATAGTTTATTTTTCATCTCATTATTTTCTTATCATAAAGCATTACTATTTCATCGGTATATCAACATTATTTTAACTCGAACGATTTGTTTTGATTAAAGTTTCAGGAGCAAAAGTAGATTTTGATAAACGCTTGGTGTTGGGACTGTTGAGCAGTATACATTTCTGAATTTTGTTAAATGAAAAAAAATATCATTTGGATTAATTTCATTTTATTCATGGGTGATTCTGTTCCTTTTCTCGCATCATATTATCGATCTGGTATTCATTTTCATCACTGCGCAAAGGTGAAGCATTGTTATGTCCTTTTTTTGCGATTATCCGCTGTCGGAATTTTTCATGTTCATTGTTTTATTTTGCATAACTTTATGTTTTGTTTATTCGTCTATACTTAACATATTGTATATACTTAGTTTGAAAAAAAAAGAAACTAGAACCTACATACAATTTTTTCTTAAATTAATACCACCTTGCACTTGCAGCTGTTGTTATACTTTAGAGTCACGTAGTTACGCAAAGTTTTTTTGCATTAAAACAAGTTTTTGTTCATGTTAGATATTAAATTGTTTTTATATCGTTGATAAATAGTTAGGGGATGTTTTTTTTATAGTAATTTTAACCTTTTCACTATAAACAAAGATTCGATATATTTAAATATATATCCTGCAAGTATCCCGGAGAAATATTGCCCTGGATGTATTTAAGAAATTAACACTTTCAACAAATCTATTATATTATACTGTGCATCACGTTTGCTTCTGGCTTTTGGCAAGGCCTTCTTTCTCCAAATGGCACGTAACAGTTTTTGGGCGTGGAAGCTTCGCAGTGACGTCATCGATATACAGTATTAGAGCACTTGTAATACATTTATTAGATGACTTTTTCAGTACTAAAACTTAGACGGTGTGAAACGTTGATAGAGCTTATTATAGTATTATGTTTTGTTATCAAGTTTCAAAGAAATGTTATTACGTAGGGCTTTTTTCACAAGTGGACCTATATTTCTTGCATGAGTGCGCAAAATAGCGAAGTAATCCATGTATACATACTGACTAATATAAATACACAATGAATGGATCGAATCTTCTCTGCTTCTCTTTCAACGAAATTGATCCCTCATTGGTATTGTCTCATCAAGAACGCGAATAAGCACACGAATACGTCATGAACGACGAGCAACTAATAGATATCAATTTTGGTGCTGGGTTTTTTCTGCTAACAATATATATTACGCCTTTATTTACATAAACTCTATGCTATCGTTTGTTTGTATTCTTATTAATAATTAAAAAATGATATATAAATATATTATATGTTAATAACACATGGTATTCACTCTCACCGTTTTAATTCTTTCCATGACTACTCGTTGTATCTATAATCTTATCGAAAAAACAAATGAATTAATATGATATCGAGTGGATAAAAATAAAAAAAAAATTAATGTCATGAATAATTGTTTTACGAATAGAAATCCAGGAGAAATGTCGCACACGTGTCGAGGTACCATAATGCTGCACGGCGCCCTCATACACACCGTCGACGCGAGTACCTTCGTCGTGAGTAACGGCGGCACCCAAACGTTTCACATCAAAGCCGCGACAGAGGTCGAGCGCCAAGAATGGGTCACCGCACTCGAACTCGCCAAGGCCAAAGCTATACAAGCCATGGAAACAGGTAAATATTTTTAAATCAACGATAATCGCACACGTGGCGGTGTTTCGTCGTTTCCGTTTGAATAATCGGCACTCGTTAACTTACATGCTTGGATTGGCCATCATCAGAAGAGGAAGAAGACGAGTTTCAGGAGAGCGAGAATCAAAGGGGCGACGGACACGTCTCGACGCAAATCAAAGATCTGACTAAGAAACTGGAAACGCTGCAGAACTGGAACGATTTGCTGACGAAGCGCGGCACTATGCTGCAGCGAGCCCTTGGCGAGCTCGAGACCCTCGAAGCGTTGAGTCCCGAAGCCACTGCCAAGATCAAAGTCGTCAACGAGAAAGCGGCGCAGTTCAAAATTGCCGCTAGCGCTATGATCAAGGTGCGGATACGTTTATTCTTTACAACTATCGCAACGCATTCGTGTCGATGCGTTCAAATGCATCGGCTATGTCGATAAATGTAGCTTCGCAAATTACTATTTTATTGAGCTGTAAATAGCGTCGTTAAAAGTTGTTTCGAGCAACGACGTTTCACATAATTTACTCGAACGCGAGTCATTTTTCTGTTAATGCAATTTTTTTTGTCGCCAATTGCAGTCCAGCGACGAGTATCTGACGCTAGCTCAGCAGCAGGAGCCCAAGTGGAAGCGCATGCTGCAGCACGAGCGCGACCAAAAGGTGCGCATCGAAAAAATGGTCGAGCAGTTGGCACGACAGCATTCGCATCTCGAGGAAGCGGCACAGCACGCACTGCCACCTCCTGCGCTCGCGTCGCATCGATCCAGCCGTGAGTATACATATTTTTACGATAAAAAGCAAAAAAAAAACCAAGTATCGCTTTCATGAGCCTTCTTCGTATACATGTATACTCGGAGTAATCGAGCTTACCGCGCCGGCGTTCCACTTAGAGAACGTCTTTGCGATCGATTTTCAAAACTTGCGCTACTGCGTTTTTTCGTAAATAATAATTCATCGCGTTCTTTTAATTTAATTATCGGGCAGCGTACCGAGACAATTTTTACATTATTGCTGAATAAATCGGTACTTGGAATAGCCTAAATTCCGGTTACATTTGCCTATACGCGCGTGTAAACGTGCATTAAATAAATAAAATTCCGACAGTGCTAATCAGCTCGATCGTCTGCAACTTCTAGGGCTTGAGGCCGTTCCGTTTACCTTCGCTTTGAACTTTTTTCATTTTACGAAAAGCTTTATTAGTTGAAATTCTACGATGAATATCGTTGATTCAATCGTCTCCTCAACTACTACAACGTATCGTGATTCCAATTGGCTATTCGAATGATAACAAATACAGCTTGCGTGCGTCGAGTTAATAAAAGCTCGCAAGCTCTGCCCTTTTTTTCAAACGCGCGGCGCTGACCGCCCATTATCGCAATCAGCATTGCAAGCTCGACATATTCTTCGTATCCTGTAATACCATCCTTGGCTAGGGGTAAAGGCGCGCGCGAGCGAGCTTTGAGACTTGTCGAATCCGCCCATCAGATGGCAGCGATCTGCAGAGCGAAACTTTCCGTCTCGTCGTGTCCGAAGCTCACTCGGTGCATGTGCTCTCGCGAAATCGTGTGTCCGTGTTCAGTGCACGTATACATATCGCGTACGCATACATAACGAGTCTCGTACAGTTTTCTATATATAAAGCAGAGTAGCGCGGCACAGGCAGTGCGCTCTCGTCTGCGTCATCTCTCTCTTGTGCGTGCAGCAGCAGCAGCAGCAGCAGCGTTTCGCCTCTTGCGTAGGTACAGGTGTCCTTGTCGTATTATATATACTTGGGTTCTCTATATAGAACAAGAGAGAGAGGCACGGGTTTCATGAATGTTTTTATCCTGTTTGCGTAAACTTCGCTCGCGGAGTAAATATCTGTAATACCGAGTGTACTGAAAAGCTTAGCGATTGCATACAAAATATGTGCAGTGCTTGACAAAGGAGCGCGCGCAAGATACGATATCGTCTGCTCCACCATCCAGTTTATACAATACGAAAATGTACAGCTGATATAATATCGTTCACGGAAAACACTCATGTTGGTTCTGCTGTTGTTGATATATGTATACATACTGTGTGTTTGTGTGTGCGTGAGTGTGTGTTGTTGTCAAAAATAACTCTGATGTGATTTGTCAGTTTGTTTGTATTTGACTTTGGCAAAATTTTCTGTAATTTACAACTTTCGCGTGAGTAATCGGACAAATTTATGAAGTGTAATCAAAGCAAAGTGCGAACTATATAGAGTATGCTGATCGACGCGCGACTTGCAAGTGGATCGGTCTTTATTTCGTGATTTTTTTAATGCTCACAATTCACCAAATGCGAGATGAATTAATTTCGATTGTTTACACCAAGCAGAGGTTAGGAGAATACATTTATGAATCAATCGAGCTCTCAACTTGGCCATGATGATATTGTATAATTTTTATGCTATAATTACTCGAGAAGATGCGTCGATGATGATGACGATGATGATTAAAAGTGGACTGTGACGATGGTCAAAGGTAATGAGTAATGCGTCTCCATGTTTTTCAACACCAAGTAAAAAATCATTGCAGGCTTTTTTATTCCATTGCCATTAAGAGTAATTTAAAACTTTAGTACTTCTGCATATATACACAATTGTACGTATACATATACCAACGGGGATTTTATCAAGCTGTTAAGAGCGAAATACGATAATGATTATTATCAGACAAGGTTAGCTACGTTTAGTTGCAGTTCTACATATGATTGTTCAATGTTCTCTGATTTTCAACGTATTTTTCACCATGTTTTTATATATGTTTTTGCAAATTTTATTTGTGTTTCCTTCGATCTTAGTGACACTGTAACGTCGTTGAAACGAAAATTCGATAAAACTTCTGTGTCGAAAAATTTTAAATTATTTACAATCGATCGATAAGGGTATATATTATGTACTTATCGTGCTTACTTCCTTCGATTACGATTTCCTCGAGCGAGTATTTGCTCGTTACAGAGTTAAACGTATACAGCTGACGAGTGGTTTCTTATTATAGATTATAAATAAACATTTAACCTTCTGAAAATTCTTGCCAATTACTGCATTTTCAATTTGCACTCTCTTTCTCTGTGAGATGTATATACATTTATATAACTGTCGCACGAGTTATTGTCTACTTGTAGCAAATCTAGAAGCTGCTACTATCTCTTTGCATGCATTATAACTTTATCTCTCGTTTCTGTGGCTCTTGCCAGTTTTCCTGCTACTCTATACCAGTTGTCGCGGTATCTAATAATTACATTTGCTCGTACACTTGCACACAATCGTTAACCCGTATAGATGCACCAGCGTATAAGGACACACGAACTATCGATGTGACATGGACAATATTTCTCTCGGCTACTTTAGTTATTTATTTTACTTTGTATTTATCGGGTCGTTACTATCGTATCTTCCTTTTTCACCCATCGAACATCATTATGCCGCTATCGATGTTTCTGTTCACTAATGCGTATTTGTTATCTTTCTTCCTCTTTCTTTGGTAGATGATATCAAAGGTATATAATTTTTGACAAATATTTTGTGCAACTTATCAATGCGTTAGCTTCTTTGTACAGTATGATTAATCTTACGATAGTTGCAATGAGAGTGCAAATTATTATTTTCGTCTCGGTATTACAGGATATTCTCTCGCGCGCCGATTTCATTATGCTCAAGACGCGAGTCATCGCTATCTGCTCAATGCGAATAGCAGCAGCAGAAGCTAGTCGCGCAGCCGATGTGTCGCGCTAATTGTTGTCACACACGAGCTTTGTTTATCGTATCTGGTTCGATATTAGTTGCAATCACAAAAGCTCTCTTTAATTTTTAATCGATTCCGCGAACAAACATTTGTGGATCGAGGCATCGCGAGAATTATCGTTTTGTTGTTGTTGTCATTATTATCGCCATTACTTTTTTTTCATTTTCAATTGTAGACGTTGGAGCGAACACGTCACCGAGCGAAGACGACGAAGACAACGCGGAATTCTACGACGCGCAGGAGAGCGGTGACACGTTTACACTGAGCTTGCAGCCGGCCGAGGAGGAAGCAGTCGAGCGAGCCGAGCGCGAGCGCAACGATTCGCAGGCCAGTGACGATGGCTCGTCCAGCGAAGGCGATCCTAACAATCTTCTCTCGACCAATCAATCCGACTCGTATCTCTCTTTGACCAGCGAACAGCAGCGCGAGCAACAGCAACAGCAGCAACAGCAGCAATTGGTACCTAAATCCCCTACTGGCACTAGCGAAGTCGACGCAGTGAGTTTTTACGAAACTTTCCGCATTCATCTTTACGCTCGATTGGTTTTCGCTCGTTCATAAAAATTAATAAATCGATTTATTGTTTACGATAGACGGCTTGGCAATCGAACAATGGCAGTAACGTGGTTGGCGTGTCCGGGCTGAGCTCGAGCACGACGCCGACCTCGACGGCCGTGGTCAAGCGCAAGCGACGCACGCGTGTCCCCGACAAACCCGAGTATCCGCTCAATCTCTGGAGCATAATGAAGAACTGCATTGGCAAGGAGCTGTCTAAGATACCGATGCCTGTAAATTTTTCCGAGCCGCTCAGTATGCTCCAGCGACTCACCGAGGATTATGAATACGCGGAGATTCTCGACAGGTAACGATCTTCTCGGAATATTTTACCGCGTATACGCCAAGGTTTCGATGAAACTGCAGGAAAAAAAATCGAATACTTGACGTGACTTGCTCTTTCTTGGACTGTATAACATAAGTGCACGCGTTGCTGCAGCGTGTCAAGTAAGCGCGAATAATAACGCTGTATTTAAAATGTTTGTACTTTTGTGTCATGCATACGCAGAGCTGCGGAGTGTACGGATATTTGCGAGCAGATGGCCTACGTAGCTGCATTCACAGTGTCGGCCTATTCGACCACAGCTTCGCGCACGGGTAAGCCGTTCAATCCGCTTCTCGGCGAAACGTACGAATGCGATCGTACCGACGACCTTGGTTGGCGCGCTGTGTCCGAGCAAGTCTCGCATCATCCGCCGATGGTCGCCCAGTACTGTGAAGGCCGTGCCTGGAGATGTTGGCAGGAGTTCACCATGTCGTCCAAATTTCGTGGCAAGTACTTGCAGGTGAGTTAATCCACGATTTTAATCGATACGCTTGTCAATACGGTTTTGTTTACTGCTAACGTAACTTCAATTGTTCGAAGATATGAATAACAACAATTGGAATAAAGTAAAATAGTGTGCAGTTGGACTTTATACAATTTTCAGAAGAATTATTAAAAATAGTATCTTACCAAAAAACTCTTGAAAAGCAAAACTTTAAAGATTTCAGAAAATACATGAACGATTAAAGACTTCATTCATTCATGTTTTTAAAACCCACATATCACATATGTGTATTTACTTGTGTGTTTACTTGTGTGTCCGTTAGCCAGTGCAACAGGCACACCAGATAATTAATTGAAAATGAAATTTGATTGTGACAATAATAACTCTTCGAACTTTTGCATCTGAACTATTGTTAGAATTATATGAATTCTTATCATCTTTATTCCATATGCATGCGAGTGTAAGTGAACATTCATTTAATAATTATTGTTTTTTTTTTTATAACAGATCATTCCTCTTGGCACGGCACATCTGGAATTCAAAAATGGTCAGAGTCACTACACGTGGCGCAAAGTTACAACGACTGTGCATAACATCATTGTCGGCAAGCTTTGGGTTGATCAGAGCGGTGACATGGACATAGTTGATCACAAGCAGGGTATCAAGTGCCATCTAAAATACATACCTTATTCCTATTTCTCTCGAGACAGTCAGAGAAAAGTCAAAGGTGTCGTTATGAACGCCGAAAAAGAAGTCAAGTGGGTAATTCAAGGTACCTGGGATACAAAGATTGAAATTGCTCCAGTGATCAGTACTTCGGGTAGTCCCGATAATCCAGTTTACAAAACCGGCCCTTATGTTTGCGCTTGGAAACGACGCATGCCAGCGTGAGTACATCTTATTATACGAATTTACCCAGGTTTTAATCAGGGGGATGTAATAATTCTTTTATTTCTCGCCGATTATGTTAAAAAATTATTTATATGGTTCATCACATCAATAGAAATCGGTTTGATTACTTAATTAAAAATGTATTTTAGTTAAAAAAATGGATTATCAAGGATTTTTTTAAATAAGTACTGAAGCTAGACCGCAATGAAAATGTTTAAATACGGTTTTTGAGATATCCACTAGAAATCTATGTGCGCGCTACGCGCGCATGGAACTCTTAGTATGTAATTTAATATATGGAAATATTTTGAAAATAATAATCAATCAAGATATTATTAACTATAGAGGGCGTATATAGATGACACTAAAATATTTGTTGTACTCACATGAAGTTGGCTCTAAGAGGGTTCAATTCGATCTATAATCGCAATGGCTCTTATATTAATTAGATTAATTATTTTTGTAAAAAGCTTTGCAAGAGCCTTGAAAAAAAATGAATGTATTACATTGCTTTTCAAAAAAATTTGTAATGAGAATCGCAAAAAATTCATTCGAAAATTATCATTTTACTTTTGCTTCAGTATTTCCTTACATCAATTACTAAAATTATCAAGTTAAAAATCAAATTACTTATTTCACACGTAGATACATTTCTTTCAATTTCGTACAATAAAACTTTGACGAATACAATCTCGAACAAGACGTGAAAGTATACAGTGTGTTTACTCGATTGGATGACGGTTAATAATGCATTTAAAAACTCTACATATTTATTATTGTTTAGCTGTGAGGGTTGGTTGAATAGTTGGTTGAAAGTATGAGAATAGCATTGTAATCCATTCAAGTTAAATTGGAGCTTCAAACGTTAGTATTTACACACCTTGTAATCAATTGATTTTTTTTATAACAGGGAAGATTGCGACAAGTTTTATTACTTTACGGAATTAGCTTGTCAGCTAAATGAACCCGAGGACAATACGGCGCCGACGGATTCGCGCCTGCGTCCAGATCAGCGTCTCATGGAAAATGGTCAATGGGATGAAGCTAATACCGAAAAACTACGTCTGGAAGAAAAACAACGCGCGGTACGCAGGGCCCGTGAAAACGAAGTAGAACAACTAGCCGCACAAGGTATGTACAAAAATCAGGGGAAAACAATTAACTTACTTTTGACGCAATGATAACTAATTTTACTATTCAATTAGGTATACCGTACACGGGATACGAACCGATCTGGTTCAAAAAACAACACGATCACTTCACGGACAGTTTGTGCCACATGTACAGCGGTCAGTATTGGGACTGTAAGAGCAAACAGGACTGGACACGGTGTCCGAACATTTTTTAGTTCAGCTCGTATTGAAAAATCATACATGTGTTGATTCGTTAACTTTTTTTTAATCGACATGCAATCATGTACCGCCCAGCAATTGCTAATGTAAACATTTTAAAAGACGTAAACTCAGTGATACCCGATATTGCGATACTATCGCTTCAATAAATCATAGATTGTATGTTTCAAAAAACAGTACCATTTAGTAACATGTTTATGCGGACGGATCAACTGCGCTGCAAAGCCGCGCGTAACATTCACTGCTTTTTCAATCAAAACCGAGTCAATAGTAGGGCTAATTTTTTTATGAACGTTTGCACCAAACAAACTGATTTGAGAAGTGAATATATTTACTATTTAAATAGAAAGAATTTATTATGAGTGATGTTAAAAATGAAGAAGTTGAAAAGTAATGTACACTAAATGTCATGAAATATCAACGATTATTTATGATTTTCTTGTAAAAAAGTCAATCTTTCGTTGTCTCTTTACTATTCAAGACTTCTTTCTTACACTTAATATATATTTTTTCAAAAAATATTTCAATTAATTTTAAGGATAAATCCTTAAAAAATATCACTGCGAGAATTGTACAGACTTGACATTAAAGAGTGTAGTAAAGCTAGGCTTTCTCATTTAGTATTAATGCCAATTAATTTGTGTACTAAATGAGAATAAAAGCTACCCCATTGAAACTCACGCTAGGGCTTCTATATTTTTGAAATCGCAAGCTTTTTAATTTGAACCGCAGCTCAAGTTCTGAAAAAAATTATTCGAAGTTGTGTACATTATGAGCTGCGTTTGTAACTTAAATATAATTTTTGAATAGGTTTGTTGAAGTTTATTAAAATGATTATTACTCAAAGTTAAAATTTTTATAGCTTTATTTACTAATCTTTCAATATACTTGAACTAAGTTTTTTACTTGGGTTCAAATAAGCTTGATTTTCTAAATGCAAAGTACACTACATTTAAAATTGTTGTGCTATCAATTTTATTAGAAAATCTAAATTAAAAAATTTCCAAATTCACGGAATGTATTTTAAATACTAAAATGATTCAATATGTTTTATACATATAAATGTTAAATAAAAAAATATCGTTTTATCAAATTTTTTTACAACTTTTTAATATGATTTATTTTTATTGCAAGTCTTTCCATTTATTCAGAAAAGAAGATTGGTCGATTTTATTTGTAGCTGCATTAAAACTGAAGTTTACATCTGGTTAGTTGAATGAGCTTCCAAACTACTAATTTAGCAAAAGCTTATTGTGCGATATTGGATAAACTAAAATGAATTTTTGGTCTATATTTGGAAGTTATTTGTTGATAATTATAATATTATATAAAGTCTTACAATTTTGAAATAAGAATTTTAAGTAAAAATACATGTGTTGGTAAATGATTTATAGTCTAAGTCAACACAGATGTACATTGAAGAAGAATTGAGTTAACAGATTGTTTTACAAAATGAATATAGTGTAAGAAAAGTATATATTAAATAACGTGATGTCATAAGTGGTTTTTACGTAAAACTAGAAACGTTCTTGATACTGCGTTATCGATACGAGATAGAATTTATTATTATGCACATATAGTTGGAATAATTGTTGTTGGATGAAATGATTGCAAAAAATTTATATAGAATGCAATGATGTAAAATTATGTTTTAGGCTGTATAATAATTTTAATTATTATAAATATATTATAAATAGGAAACTAAAAGGTTATTAAAAGTATATTATAAATACCTGTACACATTACAATAATAATAAAAAATAAATTTAGGTAATTAAATTTTAAAATTTATCTGGATAATAACATAGGTTTTTAATGTTCATTTTTCTTTGGAAATTTTCAGCAATTTTGCACGTAGATTGTGCGAACGAACATTTTGAAAAAATGTTTAATTTATAAGCCTTCTTTGAATGTAGTTTTTTTCATCGTTAAGTTTCATTTTGAAATGTTTTCCGACGCTCTTTTGATAAGATTTTTGTTTCATTAATTTCATCGCGCATCCCAATATACTCGAGAGTTTCAATTAAAAAAGTTATTTTTGAATTTTGACTCTCATATAATTTCACTATTTCTACATTATAATTTTTAAATGGTATTTAATTTAATTATTTGCCTTCGTTATTGAAGAGTATCTTATTATGTTTTAACACAGTTTGAATAATTCAAGTGTTACCTCGCTTGTTGGTAACTCTATCGGCAAATTCATTAGTGAAGAATCATAACCAATAAATTGTCACAATTTCTATCGAAACTACGTAGTACGTACTATGTTTGTTACTTCACTCGCGACGCGACATTTAATTGTAGGTACATTGCACAGCGATAATGAGCATTATAAACATCAGATGATTTCTCAATTCCTTATCGTTCAGATGCTCTAGTGTTACAAGTAGTACCTATTCGTTGAATGATGATTCAGTGATACAGTTCATACGTTTTCGTATCGTCTTCAGTACACGCCAAGTCAAAATCAATAGTCATCGCAGGTGTCAGCCTAATATCCTGGACGAAAATTTGTCAATTTGAAGCTAAATTTTTTAGAAAAGAAAGCAAATCGTTGAAAAAAATCATTGATAAATCGCATCAATACATCTAAAATTTCGTCAAGATGGTGTGTGTTCCCTGTTTTATCGGACCAGTTCTACTACTGATCTTCAGATTTTTGATTCAGCCATTACTCTTGAAATTTTGGTACAGAGATCAAGTGAAAGATGGAGAAAATAAAAGCGCTCCAGAGGTAGTGAAGGAATGTAATAATGGTGTCTGTACTTTTTCATGGAAAAAAACTAATAAGACTGATGATGAGAAAGTTGAATCTAAAAAAACTGATTAGTTTTGAGTGTAAATAAATAAAATTCTACAAAATTAATGATTGTTATGATATAATTTTCTGAATAATATCAACTCAGATGTCTATACGTATCAGAATATTGTTTTTATCTTTATGCGCAATTTAAATTTATTTTGATATATTTTTTGATGCCATTGTTTTTGTAATGACTCAACATGATTATCACTATAGTAACTGTTTGGAACATAATAAAATAATATACCTAACAGCAGTTGTTAAAATAATTCTAATCATGCTTTAATAAAGTCAAGTAGACGAGATAAATAATGTTTAATTTTATTGCTTGGTAGTTATTTCCCATTTCAATTTGAATCTTTTTATTTAACTCATATTTTAATCAGAAAGATTTTTAGCTTCCTTCAATTTCAAGCTGCTGTGTGAAAAGCTGAGAGTTATTTGGAATAAAAGTGATTGGCAATCAACGGTATCCATTTCAGAGTCGTATAAAATTATTTATTTGTACATTATAAATTGTGTATCAATCTACGTACAAAAACATGCACTGTTAAATTACATTATGAAGTAAATCTATGAAATATTGTATAATTTGCATTCTACTGTACAGATTGATAGTTGTCTTTCACATTAACAAGTTTGTAAAATAAATGTTTTCTTAAAAATATTTAAGACAATATTTTAAAGAAAAGTACTTAACTAGGATTTTTATACTTCAATGAACAGCCTTGAGTTCAACATCAAAGAAGAGAGTAGAATTTCCAGGAATTACTGGTGGCGAACCCTTAGCACCATATCTGTAAAAGACAGTTTTCAATTAATAGGAAGTCAATATTAAGGAAAATCACTTATAGCTTTCAATCAAAATGTACATACGCCATTTTTGGTGGGATTGTTAAACGTCTCTTGCTTCCAACTTTCATTCCAGCGACACCAACATCCCATCCTTTGATAACTTCACCTTTGCCAAGTCTGAATTTAAATCCTGGACCAGTGGTGCAGGAATCAAACATTTTTCCATTTTTAAATGTTCCTTTGTAATATACTGATACTGATTTTCCTGGTTTGGCAACAGGGCCATTACCGGCAGCAGCTTTCAGTTCTTCTATTTGAACTCCACCCTCAACTGTTCTTTTCTTTTGCTGCTGTACCTCTAGCTGAGGTTTTTCAACTTTGCCATTCTCATTTTTGTTTTCAGCCTTGTTCTTTTTTTGCTGCTTATTCTTCTGCTCTTCTTGGTGCGAGTCTTTACCATTTACCATTTTATTCTTGGCATTTTGGTCTTTGTTTTGACTCTGGTTTTGTTGTTGATTCTGCTTATTTTTTGGTTGGTTTTGTTTTTGTTTCTGATTTTTGGTTTCTTTCACCTGCACTTTTTGTTGTTGTTGTTGTTCTTCTTCTTCTTCTTCTTCATCATCATCTTCCTCATCATCATCATCAGAATCATCATCATCATCACTATCATCGTCTTCTTCATCATCTTCATCGGAATCATCATCAGATGCCTGATCATCTTCAGCACCCATCAATCCTGATTCATCGAGGTCTGAAGAATCATCATCAGAGTCGTCATCAGAGTCTTCTTCCTCCAATTCAATTTCAACTTTGGATTTCTTGTTTTGTTCAGAGGTACCATTAATGGCTTTCCTTTTTTTGTTACCAAGTAGCTCAGCAATTTGTCTTTGAGCTTCTTCGTCTTCAGATGCCTCTTCATCATCAGAATCACTAGCACCCATCATATCTTCTTCGTCATCAGGAATGATGTAGCCAGTCAAATGAACATGTCCATCACCATTGCAGGTAAATGAAATTTTGGATCCTTGTTCAAAATTCAAGTCCAAAGGTACTTGCCATGTTTTATCTTTTTGAAGAGTGCACAACAAATAATTACGATCATCATAACAGATCATAACTTGCACAAAGTTGCCAGCTACAATATATAATATTTAATGATAATATATAATATGATATGATATGATAAAATATAATATACAATATATAATATATAATATGAGGCTATCATAAGATATGGTCAATAATACAACACTATTAATCCTGCATACCGGCACGAAGGTTATTTGACCCACGTGTGTTAATTTTCTAGCGAAAGTTTAACGTACTAAATATGCATTTTATTACGCTCAAAATAGTTGTAGTAGGAAAAAAGTAAATCTCGGCGTTGAAACAAACGCCAAGCGCCGGTAAATTTCGTGAGAAGTAAAGCAAAAAATTATTGATCGACAGCTATACTTACAGGCTGTTGTGGCATCCAAACTGGCCATCGAAAGATGGAAGGGCTTCTCAACAGTTTGCGTATAACGCTTGCTTGGTTCCATAATAAGACCTGGAATTATAAAAAAGAAAAAGAAAATTATTAACCGTCAATCGTTCATCCGCCATTGTTCACAAACACGTGGTGCCGGCATTTCATCAAAAAGCCGTGTAAAACGTAATAACGTAACGTAGTTTTTAATTTACAAAGATTATAAATTATTGTTTAACTTACCCCAAAACATCTTGAATGATTTTGTATTAAAATGTGCACAATAAAAAAAAGGTTTCCCAGAGGATAATCGACCAAGTTAGTCGACAGTGAAAGATGCGGCTTCAACAAAGTCTCGAACGGTTCTGGTCTGAACAGGCCTCGAGTCGTCACGTCTGGAATAGAAAAAGAATCTCTCCCGCCACTGACAAGGAAGTTATGTGTTCTATGTAGATGGGATCCTCGAACAAAGAAGTATCGAGAAACATTTCCAAGTCCAACGGCCGTTCAGTTTTACGATAAAATCCGTAAGCTGGCGCTAGAGTTATAATTGAGCGGCGTTTCGAAAGTTCAGAAGTTTATGCTAACAATTTTGAGCTGTAGTCGGGGGCTTAGTAGAAGCTATGACAGGTCAATGACTTGTCACTTGTCAGTAAATTGTTGTCGTCTGCTGAGTATGCATCGACTGACGACTCTTACTTGTCTGAGCACTTCTAAAATTATTTTCAAAAATATAAATCTCTTCTTTTTTTCACTTTATTTTTGATTTCTAATTCTCCCTACGTCAAAATACATAATCGAGATATGACGTCCTGGATTAAGATGGATGAAAGGTATAGAAATGCTTTTTCCTTCAATATTTGTCTCTAAATTTGTTTTATAAATTCTTGTTTCAGATTGAAATTAGGATTAAAAGTATTGGAACAAATTGAAAATAGTAAACTACGACTTTTGATTAATCGAATTTGTCAAGCTCTTAAAAATGGAGATGATAAAAACATATTCAGTAAAGAAGAAGAAGAAAAGCTTACAGTATCACTCAATCTTGAAAAATCAGATCTTCTTATTCTCTTACAATCATTAGTTTCCATCTACTCTCAAGCAGCTTTTCACATGATGAAATCAAACGATATAGAAAATTCAATGAAAGAATTTTTTTCATTGAATGATGATAAAATTGCAATATTAACTCACGCCTGGATAACACATTGCGACACAATCACAGATGCATTTAAAAAAAAATCTATTTTTCCTTGTCAAGTACGTAGCTGCTGATTTTAATAACAATTTCAATATATTTTTATTCAATTATGACATTAATACAAAAAACAATTTTAATTAGATCAAAGATGTTAGCTGGACTGTTGACGTTCAAACATCTTCGACAGCATTAGCTAAAGATGCAACACCTGTAGCTAAGATTCAATTAATTACAAATAAACAAGACACATCTAAAATAACCGTTGAAATGAATAAAACACAACTGCTAGATTTACATAAAAATTTGAATGATATCCATTTGAAGCTTGAATCTTTAAGGTAAATAAGGAAAATTAATTTATAGATACTAAAAGCTGCTAAAAGACTAATTTTTTATTTTTTTCATAGAAAAAAGGATCAAACTTTGCAGTGATTCAATTAAACAATACTGGTACTTTACCTCATACCTATGTTACATTTGAATGTACAATTCTTCATAAACCTTGTAAATACATACTTGTATATATAAATACTATAATCTTATAAAAATATCTCTCACTAAGTAACAATATTGATTTTATTTATCAATGTTTTTGACAGTGAGAGTGTTTGTTATTTAATGATAATTATTTACACAATTTCAAACACGATATATCAATTTATTTTTACTAGCATCACGGTATAATTGAAGGTAAAGTTTTGTGGGATGAGAGGAGCCAACCCATCATTGCCATACCTGTACAAAAAACGAACAATTAAGATTAAAATCAAATGATATAATTGATATAGATATTACATAGTTTGTAAGCTAAATATAAAAATTCTTTACTAACGCTGTATCAGGCGGAGCAATTATATGTCGAATACCTCCTACATACATTCCTTTTATACCAATTTCCCAACCTTTGATGACTTCACCTTTATCAATGGTAAAAGTGAAAGAACGTTTTAATTGAGATGATTTCATAGGATCATTTTTTTGCATTGCACCTATACAATTCACTGTAACAGTGTTTCCTGACTTGGCACATTCACCATGACCTTTTACAATATCGCGGATTAAAACTCCGCCGTCAAGAACATGCATTTCATACTCTACTAACTTAGTTCTTTTAACTTTTGGGTGATATTCTTGAAATTTCAGCACTGCTTTTCGTTTTCGTGGATTGTTTAACATCGCATCTATACATTTTTCCGTTTGACATTCCATGTATTCGTCCAAAAACATGATTTCGGAATTTGTCACTATGCTACTGTAAATAAATAAACAAAATATTAATGAGAAATTAGCACTCACTATTTTTTTGTTGACACATATGTATTTTTTCAAATTATTTCAATTAGATTGAAAATGAATCGTGAAAATTTATTCGGATAAATTTCATTTAACTATTTGGATGTATTCACGTCAAAATAGTAAAATATATCATGTTTACAACATAGGGATAAATGAATATTTATAATAAATTCATAACTCATAAATTATTCTACATAATCGTTCATTTATACTACAACTCATATTGTTGTAAATCTTTATTTATCAATTTATGAAATCGTTCCAAACACGAATAGCACCAAAACTCTACTTTTCATACAAAAAACCCAATAAATCATCATTATCAATTTAAAAAAGTATATTATCTAACTATTAAACAGGTAAATACATACCTCTATTATACATTAACTTAAATGATTTGCTATCCACACGCGTTCAATAACAATTTGTTTACTTTTCTCGCTGACACAAAAGTGTCGCGAAAACTATAGGTTAACGTTATGTGTGCATATGTACGGTCACGTGTAAATAGTGCCGAAAACGAAAGCAACACGGGCTATCTATATATATGTAAGGTCTAAGGATCTGCTCAGCGATGGCCCTAATTCTTTAGAAGATTATAGAGCATCATTGCTGCAAGGGTCGGTCGATAAGTCAGTAGTTGGAAGGTGACAATCGCTGAGCGTACTATATTGAATTAGATTACGTATATAGTTGGTCGCGGGTCGACACGTATTACATTTAAATACCCCAAATCACCGATACGCCGGACCTAGCCGCTACATAGACCTTTACGAGTCATTTAAATGTGAAATTGAGCTAACTGAGATCCAATCGCGCGCCAAAAAAGCACTGCTATCGGCTTGTGCGCGCGCGCGCGCGCATGAATGAACGATGAATGCGCGGCGGCGGTGCCTGAAACTGAAATTATTGTATTTGGGTCGTAAAATGTTGCATTTCATAATGTACAAATTGCAAAAAGTCAGAATTGTGCGTTCGATGTTGATTTTATTCAGCGTAAACTACATTCTCATAAGTCTTGGGTGCATGTTGAACTACGCCCCTCCTGCCGCCAACTCGCTCGTAGAGGTGTGGACTCCGATTTGGCAGTATGCCACTGCTCAGGCCAGTCTCTGCAGCACCCGTCGTGGCCGACGACGACGAGTGAGCCACGAAATTCGGATTGACGTAGCTCAACGGACCGAGCACGTATCTGTCGGCGGACGCGTGCTGCTGCTGCTGCTGCTGTTGTTGATGATGGACCCGATGATGCTGATGCACCTGTTGATGATCTTTGTGAGCTTCATCGGCCGGCAGAGTCTCTAAAAAAGTCGGCAGTTTTCTCGCGCAGATGCGCGTCTTGCACACGACCACGACGACGGCGATGATGAGGAGAAACAGGACGGTCGACGTTATCGCGCCCACCAGCCAGCTTAGCCGTTGATCGACTGCAGCACCGCATTATACGGACAAATCGCAACAATGCGATCGACAGAGAAAATAATTGACCAATCGTTAGACAAAGCGAAAATCTGTTTTCGATATTGTGGATGATTAGTAGGAAATAATGGGGTGAGTCGTCGCGCACCTGGTGGATTGCTCAGTAGCAAAATGAAGGCAGAGCCGAGCCTCGACTGCACCTGCTCGTTGTAAATGACGAATTCGCAGTGCCACTCACCGAAATCCCGCTCGTCGGCCGTAAACTGAAGGCTGCATACGCCTGACGTATGATTCATCGAGACCGTGTGTCTATAAATAAATCATTATAAACAAAAAGGCACCAAACGGCGCTGTTATATTAAATACTCGTTCATTTGTAGTTTGCCATAGCTATAGCAGAGAAGGATATGTCTGCGACATGCAGCTTTTTACAATTAATTTTTATTACTAATGTTAGAGGATGTTGAATTTACTTAGTTTTGCGCGTGTCGTTGCCGGGTGCCTCGGCGAGGCGTAATTCGCTTCCCTCGTGCAGCCAGTAACATCGGCTATCCAAATTGGCGCCTGTCTTGCAAGCGAGGTTTATCATCTGATGCGGCGTACCCCAGATCGTTACCATCGTAGGGTCTGCAAGTTTTTTTGTTCTCTCGTTTTCTTTCTTTTACGTCTTATAAATGTATCGCTATAAGCATTGTAAGCAACATTTTCTTTTCTTATGCGTGCGTTTCGTATATTGTATACGGAGCTTTGCGTGCGCAGACCTTGGACGTTCTTAACTGTCTTGTCTATGCCCTATACGGCGTGAAAGAAGAGGAAAAAAAAACACAACACTTAAACTCGTCGTACCGTCGAGCTTGTGTATGACATAAAATTAATATTTATCGTCGACACGTGCGCGCGTTCAGAGATGTTTGGCAAAGCTTTAAGCTGAGAGAGCACATTGAGATGATGAGATTCCTTATTCGTGAATGGGAGACGTGGGAATTGCTGGGAAGAACATGAATGGATGATAATATACAATAATGATAATTTTTCCATCAATTTTATTATTTTTAATGTCGTTGTTTTTTTCTTTTATCTTACTAGCTTCATTTTCTTTTTTATCGCATGCTAAAGCGCAAGTGTATAAATAAAGCTTTTTCAACGCGATCCGATCTCCAAAACGTTACGACGAAAACCATGCTTTTATTAACAGTTACGATTGAAACTTTTTTCTGGCCAAACGTTGAAAATAAATGTCAATATCCGGATATCGATTAACAATTGTCTAATCGACTTTCCAATTATTTCATACATATTTTTAAAAACTTAGGCTATATGTATAAAGCTGCGTATTAAATAATGAATCGACTCGGAAACGAATGTCTATAGTGAAAAAATTACTTTTTTTTCAAATTAAAAAGTAATAGATTTACAAATCTAAACGAGAGTTGCTCTGACTCTGGAACTTTAATGCTACGTAATATCTAGATATTATTCATATATACATTTTACGATTGTATATTATTTTATGAAATACAAACAATCTCGCTTACTATACTTGGATTATTAAAATAGTTCGCGCTCGTGCGGCGCTCACTCAAGGCACACAGAGAAGTTTTTTTATGCTACAATTATTAGTAGTACTTGATAAAAATTATGAATTCAATCGATCGTCCTACGTTTTTAAATTAACTTGGAACTCTTTGATGAATACATTGTAGCGATTGGAATCATTCGCATTTACGCTACGAAGTCGATTATAATGTAAAAAATTAAGATAGAATACGACTCATGAGGAACGGAAAAGAGGAAAACTTAGCCTGTCAATGATATTATGATAATTAAAAAAAAAAGAAAGTGGGAGGGGGGAAAGAATTGATCTAAGACTCGTCGCGTAATCCTAAAACGAATTTATGCTCGTGACGAGATTAGGACGCTATCGATTCTTCTCAGGCTGGCTATCGGCGGCTAGCGTGGATTCGATCGACGGCTTTATTGATCGTAAATGGCACTCGGTGGGCTGTTCCTTCACCACTAGAAAAACACATCAAGTGCGATATTTATGTCTTTTGAGCGTTCGGGTGCATCTTATAATGTATAAATATAAGTATTATTAGACATATAAAAGAGGCAACATTCGTTCGCTGCGCATCCACTCGTCCCAGTCACACCTACTCGACAAATTGCATGCTTTCTTCGTCGGTTTTAATCGTACATTTACAAGCAGAAACTTTTCGTTCGTGATAATTATTCGTACATAAATAAATAACACTGACCACCGATCCGATTACATTTAAAAAAAAAATAAAAAGAAGAGGAATAAGAAGACTGAGTGCTCGTACACAGAGATAATTGCAGTATCGAATCTCATAAGTTTGGCATCAGATTAATGTACTCGGGCTCTTTCGAGTTTCGTCGGTTAAGTAACAATACATAGAGAGGCTCGCTAAAATTGGAATCGGCCGAACCTGGTTCGATGACTCGGAGGCGCGCCGGCGGGGCGTCCGTGTAGTTCTGGCGGGCGTGCATTCGCGCGCCGCACGTCCAGAGGCCCTCCTGCTCGGCGAGCGCGTGCGACAGCTTGACGCTGCAGTCGCGGCCCTCGAGGCCGGCCGGCGGGAACAGCTTCACCACGACCGTGTTGTTGCTGCCGACCACCTGGTTGAGGGCCCAGCGGCACTGCTCCACGCGGGCGCTCGTCACGCAGCGCAGACTGACCGTGCCGCCCGACGACACCGAGATGTCCTTCGACAGCTCGGAGAACACCACGTCCTCTGTGTCATTAATGTCGGTTATGCCGAGGGGCGGGAACGAGGGCGGCGATATTAACGCACCTTCCAGGTAAACGGTGATCTTGGCGGGGGGACTGGTCAGCACGTTGACGCCGCCGAGATAGATGCGGCAGGTCCAGTGGCCCTCGTCGTCGAGGCTCAGATTCGTCAGCTTGAGGCTGCAGTTGCGCCCGAGATCGCCGTGGCTGGGGAAGCGCAGAGTCTTGGTCTCGGTGTCGGGCGGCGAGTTCAGCGGCCGCCACGACCAGGCGCAGCTCTCGACGCGTCCGTTGCTGGCGCAGCTCAGGCTCGTCTGGCTGCCTCGCGGCGTGCTCACGTCCTTCGGCGTTTCCGTGAAGTTTACCTTGCCTATACGGGTGTCGGGCGTCAAATTATATGTGTATCGACGAGAAAGGAAGCTTTTGTAATTTGATTTTGTACTAACCAGAAGGTAAAAGGGTGACCGTGGTCGAGGGTGCCATAAGCAGGATCCCAGCCGGAGTCAGTCTGACGCCGCAAGTCCAGACTCCCTCCTCCTCGTAGAGTATGTTCTGCAGCCTGACGGAGCAGTCGTGGTCCATTTCCTTGGGCGGGGCGAACTTGCGCGCCACCGTCGAGTTTTTGCTGGTGTTGCTCGGCCGCCAAGACCACTCGCACTGATAGACCGGCTTGTTCACCAGGCATCGCAGGTAAACCGACTCGCCGACGGTAATTTGAATGTCGCGCAGCAGCCGCACGAACTCCACTGCGATTTAAGCGAAATTTACTGTTTGTATATCAACTCCGTAAATCCGATAATAGATGCGTGTGAAAAAAATTTCAATGCACAAATGGCGTTACCTTCGGAAATGAGCAGCCTCATGGCAGGAGCCTGAACGAACGGCGAGTTGGAGGACTGCCTGGCTCCGCAAGTCCAGAAGCCCTCGTGCTCGGATCTGGCGGCGGGCAGGCCGAGCTCGCAGTTGGTGCTGTCGTTGCCGGCCGCGGGGAAGCGTCGCATCTCCACGTCCCAGGGCTGGCTCTGATTGAGCTGGCGCCAGGACCACTGGCACTCGCGCACCGGTGTCAAACTGTTGCAGCTGAGCCGCACCGTCGCGCCCGACGGTATCTCCAGAGCGGCGTCCTGAGGCGCGAACTTGATCTGTCCCGCTACTTCAAGCAAAACGAGAGCAACGATCAACGATAAAAATCTCATAAATATTATTATATAGGCTCGGATAGCGATCTTGCAAGTATATACCATTGCCGAGGTGAACGATATTGAGCTTGGCCGGCGGTGTGCTCGTGAAGGTCTCCTCGTGGGCCTGTCGGGCGGCGCAAGTCCAGTAGCCTGTCTGTTCGTACTTGGTGCTGGAGAACCTGACGGAGCAGTCGTTGCTGGCGTTGCCGAAGGCCGGGAAAGTCTTCAGGGCCAGGCTCGTCGCGGGCGATCCTGTTGTCGCATTCAACGCTACATCATTTGCTGCGTCCAACATACATATATTTAACACAATGGATAGATTTTTTTTCTTGATATTTTTCTTCTTTTTTTTTCTTTTACATTTTGTTATCGTTTCGATCGTACGCGCGGTGGACTATGCCGTGCGACGACGGCGTGACTAATTCCAATTATATGCATATACGAGTTACAACGAGGTACATTGGAGAAAATCCGCAGTAAAAAAAAATCAAATTAATATATATGTATTTCTATGAATAAGAGTCTCGCGAATCATGTGGAGGAATTTCATTGCTCTGATAATTGCGGCATTTAGAGTGTGAAGAAATTAAATTTTTCCGAGGCCATTGTCACGGCAAAACGTGCAGCAGTGTGCTGTAGACGTATATGATGTTTGTGATATATAGGTATAACAATAGCTGCATCGTGCTCACGATGTTGCGCGATACGCTTCGATTAGTATCAAAGTGAAAACACGCGTTTCGTTGCACGTCGTTTTCATTTGGTACTTACTAGTAAAAAAAAAGGCAAGCGAAAGAAAAAGTGAATGTAAAGTTTGTATATCTTCATGGATAAGGAAAACAATGTATCCCGATCGAAATGTATATTAAAGATGAATGAAACTTTTTCCACGTGCATATACTCACAAATGGGCGAACTGTTGTCGATATTGGGCAGGGGCAGATGCGTCGGCGGCAGGGGCTGCCAGGACCATCTGCACTCGACGACGGGCGTCGCGGTCCGACAGGCCAGCAGAACCGAGGCGCCGAGCTCGGTTTCCGTGTGGCTCGGCTGATCGACGAAGACCAACGGTCCCTGAGTCAACGGAGTCGGCGGCTCCTGCGTACTGCCCGGCATCAGGTCGTCCATCGAGTGGCCCTCCGGCTCATTTTTGTCCGATGATGCTTGCACGATTGCCGGTGGACTTGGCGTTGTCGTTGTCGTCGTTGTCGTCGGTGTCGTCGTCGACGTCGTCGTGGACGACGAAGTCGAGGTCGATTGCGATGCTTCCTGCGTTAATGTTGCCGTCGGCTGCGTCAACGATGACGTTTCTAACGACAGTGGCTGGCCTAAAACACGATTTTTTATTTTTGTTATTTTACCACCTTGACGCAATAATATTGACATTGCATCGGTGCGATTAGTTTTTTTTTACAGTCGTATCTGCGGCTATAATAGTCGAGCGCCGATCGATCGGTCTATCGATACATTATATTAGTGACGTAACAGTATGGCCGATAAAAATCGTTAATATTCCAGACAGAGGCGAGCTTCTCGGTAAGATAAGTGCACTTTTATCACGCATTCGACAACAATGCGATTACTTAATTTTTTTTCAGCAAAATATTTGGCGTTTTTATCTAGGAAAATAGCGAAGGATATAATCGTGAAAAGAAAAAAGAAAAACAGAGTCTGCTAATTCGAAGAAAATGAACGAGGAGAGCGCGAGGCGAGCAGTAGCATGGCCAGAGGGCGTGCAATATTTTTCCAGGCCATTTAGAATGCGACGGAGCGCGTTTGACACAGAAAAAAATCTGCTTATCATTGCGCGGCGCATCATGCATCGGCTATTTCTCCGCAAGTACTTGTATTAACGCAAGTGTGTGTATGAAACGAAAGTACGTTACAAAACAATGCAAACGCGCATCCTAAATAAAAAGTCATGATTCTGAGTAATGATTCTGCATTGATAAGATAATGATCGTTAGTTTAATAGTATATAAAAGGACCTCTAAGCGGTATCAAAACGCATACTTCGCTGCTTGTTAAACGTGCGAAAAGTCGTGTCGTTTTGATAGAATATCTCCTCAAGGTAAGCTACTTTTCACTGCACGGTGCGCTCGGTTCGTTAAACGTTCGAGATTTGCCGTTCATTAGTTGTACAAACATTAATTTATTAAATTAGCTTGTTTATTTTTCTTTTAATGTGTACTCGTTTGGCGTCAAGTTAGAAAATAATTTTCATTTCAGCTCTCTCTCATAGAATAATAATGGCTCGTCTCGTGCTGTCACTCGTCATCCTTCTGTTGGCCGTCGCGGCCTATTGCGACGCCTCGAACGACTTAGTGGTCGGCCGCCGCGAGGAAGGCGACGAGCTCATTCAATCGGACAAGGTCAAGCTGCTCAACATCATACCGCTGGAGGTCGTGACCATTGTCAAGACTTACACGGGCGACAATGCCTCGCTCATCACCTACATTCGCGCCATGGATCTGGACAAGAACAATCGGGGCGCCAACGCAGCCATCATCGCGGGCGGCATCGGCGACAAGTTCGTCACCATCAAGTTCACCAGCCGCAAGTCCATACTGCCCACAACCATCGACTTCAAGGTCGACATTTACGGGCTCAAAGTGACCAAAGTCTTCGACGTCAACAGCGACTTAGTCGTGGAATAATTTGCCGTTTTATTTTTATCGTTTTTTTAAAAGTGTGTTCAAGTGCATTTTCAAATTATTCAAATATAACTTTATTACTTTGAAAATCAATGAGTTTGGCATTTTTTCTTCGAAGGAAAATTTTGAAAAAATTTTTCATCGTACGGTCGCATCGGAGGAGTTGATTTCTTTAATCGGTTGCATGGAAAAACTTAGCGCTTAATTTTTTTAATTTTATTTTAACGTAACTTATTCACGCTATGTGATTCGATTAAAAATGAAGCTCGTCGAGTTGAGCTATAATGACGTTAATTAACTGTGTGTGCGGGCGATGTCAAGGCGACATTATACGCGCTTAAACCATGAAAATGACGCTCGCTTAACGATCGACTTTTATTAAACGCAATGACAAAAAAAACATACACAAAAAAATCGCTCAAATAATGATAAAATTGGATCAATGCTCGTATACCTATTACTAGCTTGTTCGGTTGTGTAGCTTTAGGACAGGGTTGCTGGATGGAGAGAAGGGATGGAGAGCGAAAGAGCGCCAAATATTGTCTAGTCGTGAGTCGGTCGTAGCTGTTGAAGTTGCTCAGTTAGCCGTTAGCTTTTAAAAGCATCGCATCTGGCCCTCACCATCTCTTTTCTCACTCCAGCACGGAGCTTTTTTTGAGTCTGTAAGCTTACCAGAGAATTGCCCTTTGTTAATTATTTAAATAATAAAGAAGTTGTGATTATTACGAAAGTGCGTCTACGGTTTGATTGACCTTGGTTCAAGTTCGCATAAACTCTACACTCGCTTGCAATCATCTCGTCGCATATTTCATTTTGGCCCGCAGCGGCAACATAGCTTTTAGTCGCCTATTGTCCGTTCACGAAATAATACGAGAAAATACGTAAAAGTCTATGACGAAGAAGCATAAAACTTTTTTGATAAGCGTTGCAAAGCGTGCACGGGGAGTCGACAAGTGACTCAGATAGGTAATGTTCATGGAAGACTATGCGATTATCGTGTAGTTTCAATACATTAATCTAATATACATCTTGTTCATTTTTTTCACTTAGACGTTGAGTGAACAATAAATGGACAAACGTGTTACGTGTACATTAGTTTTCTTGAGGTGGAGATGTGCCTCGTATCACACGAGAGGTTCCGCTAATCCAAGAGTCAAGAAAAACCTCCAACAGCGAAAACAGAGGGCGAACCTTCCTTTTCAAGCGGAACGATCAAGAGCGTCACTGCCCACTTAACGGCCTTCTCCTCGCGATATCATTTCTTCCCTCTGTATAATATTAATATAAGTATAAAATCCTCGTTGCGCGCGAAATTCCATTGCTATATGGGTTTTTAATGTAATTAAGCCAATATCCGCCCCCCTCGAAGCGATAACGCTGGGCGATGTACTTTAATGGAACGAACGAGTGGGAATTGTGTAAGGCCATCATTATGTATTCGCGCATTCCACAGCTGCGGTTATGATCATTATAAGATACACACACACACACACATGCAGCGGGTATTACGAGCCCTCGCAACACAACCCTTTTTCTTTCTGCGAATCGGTAACGATACGTATATTAAACGTACGCGGCCGTATAGGATGTGCTAAGAGATCGTGGGAGAAACGAAGGCGGCCCGAAAATCCGTTAATCACGCGTGTAATTGTGCCGCAACGACGACGACGACGACGACCCTCTGATACGAACATTCCTTGGCTCACCGAGTCGTACAAATACGCGCGAGCTTGTGGTAATGCGGACACAATGTGTATAAGGTACAGTACATAAAGTTTCTATAAGGAGGCCTTTCTCGTGACTACAACAATTTAAATGTATACGATATTATATGACGACCGCGACGTTGGGGCTCGGCTTTTTTTTTCGCGATCGCACTGGGCGTTTACAAAAAAAAAAGTTTATATACAGATCTTTGAAGCCGTACACACGGCAAAGGGGGCGGACACGGATCAAGAATCGTTTATGTATGTATGCCAAGAATTTCGCGCGACGGCGGCGGCCGTTTTGTTTTATCTCCGTTCTTTTAGCTCGCAGGGGATATTATGATACATAATATCGGCCAGGCACGTGCGCGCGACTTTTCGTATCTTTATGCGATTTTAGTGTGTCGCTCGCCACGCGCAAGGACGCGCAAGATAATTTCCTTCGACTTATCTGTATTGCTAAACTCGTAGAGATATAGACGCAAATTAAACGATCGATTGATTTTATGCCGATGTCTTTTGTGAGCGAAGAAGAGGAAGAAGAACAAAAGAATTTCACCGAAAGAAATGTTGAACGTTGCGAGCGCGATCGGTCGATACCGCGTGCACGTATAATGTAATGAAATGAAAAAAAAATTCAGCCATCGTGCTACATGCTATATAATAATGCAGGAAATGCACGACTAGAAGAATCGCATGTGATCGTAACATTTTCGATTTATCGCTCGCGTCAATTTTCAATAATTTATTTCACACATTAGCGCTCATGCTGGCGCGCGCGCGAATAAACAGACTCCGGTGCGTATCGATCAATAAGAAGAATAGAAAAAAAAACGAATCGAACATCTCCGTTGTCTCATTAATCGAAGTACGCGCGAATTATCATGATTAAAACATTGATCTGCGCTGGCCCGAGTATATACGTATTTATACGTTTTAATAATCGCGAGTCTAATTATCGACGAAAGAAATCGGCGATCGATTGTCACAGCTCTCCAATTTATTATATCAGCCATGTGTGCGTCTTCGTTTTCTGCATATATACCGATGACGATGATCTCGTGGTAATGAATTTCCTATGTAAGCGGCGCCAACTGTGTGACGCGATCGAAAACTATATACGCAATATTACCGCGCTATATATACACACAGGCGCGAGTTCACGCGGTATTTAGCTGTTATTACGAGCGAAAATTAAGCGTTAATTGGCGTATTTTGTCTTATTTTTTTTTCGTTGACTTTTGTTTAATAGCTCTCCTGTAATATATTTTAATGCCGCGCGCGTATACGAGGTGTAATTATTTTGTCATCGCCTCGCGCGCACTATTACTATCGCGCAGTAAAAGACAACGAATTCTCGCACCTGCTAAGATGTGTTTCTCGCACTTTTTTTTTTAAACGAAATTGAAGTACGTGTTTTTATGTACCTACTCGAGTTAATGAAATTTTTCAAGGATAAAAATAGCAGAATCGATAAAAGAATGATGAGTCGATCGTCGCAATTCTCGAATTTTCTCAATTTGCGCGCAAATTGCGCAACCGCCCCTATACGAATGATGTCAGACACACATAACATTCGTCTGAGGATATATCACGGATGAATCGGCAAAAAGAGACGCGAGGGAAAAAATCGGTTTGCATCGGGTCAACGGCACGTTCGTAACGTAATAGAGATGGGAGCAAAAAAAAAAACGGAGCGTAATAGCGAAACAAGCGTTATGATATATGATATAATTTTTCGACGCACTTCTCGCTCGCGGAATGCGGTCCTCCTATAGGACGTGCTTCGAGCGTGGCGTCACTGCCGGAAGCTGCGAGCGACGAGCAGGCTCGCGAATGAGCGATCGTTTCGAAGCATCGTACCTATCGCCGATTTCATGCAATTCGCTCGCGGGGCTTGTTCGTTGGCGCGGCTCGTGGTTCACGGTCGCGCCTCGCACAATTGGTAAAGGCATTCTATGTGTGGCGCGCGCTCGACAAGAGAGTCGTATATCTACGTTATATGTGAACACACATAAGAACTCGGCGGTGACTCTTGCTTGGCCAAGGACGCGCGGACGTTCGGAAGATTTTTTATTGTTCACTAGGCGCGCGCGACGGCACGAGAGAAAGAGGATAATTCGCGTTTTATTACCTTCCAGTACTGCAGTGAGAGTTTTACGTTTTGCCCTGAGTATCGATTCGTCTCGATATTACGTCCCTATATAAATATAATACAGCGCATAACGATCTGTGGGTCAGGCCGCTGCAGTACTAGAATACTCGTGGCGCAGCTAGCGAACGTTTGACATTTCAAAGTTGTCGTCGTGCGCGGAGACCCGCACGAGACCTCTATGCCATGCTAATGGATTCTCTATTTTAGCATCTCACATAGCGAGACACGAAGTAATCCATGACTTTAATGTCTAATTTATGCCTGTGTATACGTGCGCACGCGAAGAGTCGAGCAGCCCAATCGATATATGACACCCGAGTATACGAGGAGAGATCGTGAAAGCTGCACACACGGTCACGGGACAAGTCGCGCGCGGTAGCTCGCTATTATTATGTATAGCTACACTTTTTGCGGGCATACAAATGAAATAATACAAAAAGCGCGTGGTACACCGCTTTGCGAGCGTTATATATTAGTACATTACGTAATTGAGGCGGGGGGTTGTCCATCTTGCAAGAGTTTCAGTTTGCAGCCCGAGCGTAGCGAGGGTTGCATTGACACGAGTATACTATTTTTTATCACAGCGTGCGGGAAATAACAACTTCCCGCAACTCGTGATAAAAAATAGTATACGTCACTCGTGCGCGAGTGACGTAATGTACTATTTTGATACAGCGTGCGGAAAGTTTGTTTTTCCGCACGCTTACGAAATTTCCGCACGCTGTAGCCACAGCACCGGGATCTGTTACTTTCGAAGCATCCTACTGACTGCGAAAAACGAACTGTCCGCACGCTGTATCAAAATAGTATATTTCATCACAGCGTGCGTAAAGTGCCACTGCCCGCACGCTGTGATGAAAATAGATTTTTTGAAATAATAAATTACGTGTACACACGCGAGCCGACTTTTCTCTCTTTCTTGCTCGTATAATGCAAAAGAAAGAGAGAGAAAACCTTACAGTATCGGCGAACAATCGCGCGTCAATACACTCATCGATGACGCATCGACTCGGAGCTATTTGCAAGATGACACGAGTAGTGTGTAGCTGTATCGACGAATTACCTGCGAACGTAATTGTTGCGCGCGAGAGAAAAGAAAACTCGACAACACGACAGAAGCGCGGCGACGACGATCGCAACGAGGTAAATTTTCGACGAATACAATATAATAGTGTGACGTAGCGTTATCAATATTCAGATGCCCGCACGGTCTGTGTGTATAGGTCTGACGAGATAGCTCGCGTTGGTTTTCGCGTTTTTATTTTTACACGCGAAGCTACTGATATGTTAATTTTGAGGAAATTCATAAAGGAGGAAATCACCTTGTGGTTGAAACAGAAAAAAAACTAAATTTATGACCTAATTGCGCACGGAAAGGAAATCGGTATAATAAGCTTAATCGAGTTATTGCCTGACGTCAAAACCTACCTCGGTGCGATACAACAAGCGCATTAATTTTTTTTTTATTTTCGAAAGAAAACAAACATTTTGACAGTATAACAATAGCCGTCGAGATTTTCTAGATGTGCATAGAGGAGCTCGCGTGTGCTTGTGTCGCGGCGCATCCTGCGCGCTTCTCGCTCCGCATCGAGTCCACTGCTGCTGCATGCATGGGCCGGCAGCAGTGGCGGCGGCGGCAGCGACTCACTCGTACATTACGTAAAAATGCTTAAAGAATCATCCGTTTATTACGTAAAGTATATGTAATACATATGTATAATAGACAAACGCGTGCTAGTGCAGAAGTGTATCATTGGCTCGAGACTTTTGACTTTTATCGCTCATATTCTCCATGTAAGTGAAAAATAAGAAATATAAAAAATAATATCTAATACGCTTGGGATGATTTCTCCTTCGCAATGACGTTGTTGCTCGCAAGTGATGAACTATCCAGATAGCGTACGCGAGATTTTTCTCACTTTCCTTTTTAAAAACGCCGTTGTTTTGACGTATTACTACTTTTCGAAGTGAGTCGCGTTTACGTACGTAGCATAGATGTTATCGATGATTGCGCGCGAGCTTTAAACTTCATCGATGCCACGAGCACTTGAAAAACAAGTATATATATACATCGCATATATTTTCTATGTTTTTAAGGAGAGAATTATATACGCAGAGAAAATATGCTCGCGCGTCTCGAGCTAATGAAGCACTTCATAAGTTCTGATTTAAATTAGTTTAGTCCGGTATAGAGAATCTCATACGTGACAATTATATCGTATGAAATCTTTCGGGTTGATCGATCGCACGTAAAAAAATGTATACATCGTATCGTATTAATATTTTTCGTCAGAGAAATAAAAGTTGCGTACATGAAAAAAACGCGTATGGAGGAATTCAAAAAATGCGGAGACCACGCGCGCGCACACAGCCAGTGTATCCTCTCTGTATCATTCAGAGACACAAAACACATACACACGCGCGTAGCGGTGTTGAGTTCGTTTTTATTTTTATTCTTTTTGTGACTATATTGCACTATAATCAATGCGCGAATTATAAATTATGCCGCGTACACACACGCGATTAAAATAGACACATGTCAACTCCGCGACTGGGCAATAATACAGTTTCGCATTATATTTACGCGCGCGCAAAACACGGCCGTCGACGGTGTATGTACGTGTGTTATGCACGATTACGTTTTTTTTTATTCTTCTTATTATTTTTTTTTCATACCCGAGAAGGAAAAAAAAGGAATTATCACGCGATCGACGTCTCTAATGTTTACATATCATAAGCGACGGTATCTTATTTCACAATAAAGGCCATTTTTAGTACGCACCATGTGTTTGCTGCTGGCGAGCCATGCAGTGCGCGTGTGCATGTCCGCGTCTATTATGCGCCGCGCTTAGATTGTGCGTCTGTGAACGCATATAACGCGTGCGTGTCGTTTGGCATTGTACATTTTGTCTATAATAATCTTGTACTTATATACGCGCCGAGTTAGACAGAGAGAGGGAGAAAGAAATAGAAAGAACCGGTATTGTAAAAGGCAGTAAAACGGAGACACCAAATATCGCGCGTGCGAATTATCAACGATAAAAACACGCAATGCCGCGTCGCTTTTATAAGAGAATTTTCTTCGAGGTATACGTATATAAAGGTGGCGCCAACTTACCCAGGGCGACACTGAAAAGTAAGACGCCGATGAAAATAACGGCCTGCGAGGGGCCGATCGTCGTGCGGCTGCCATAATATCGATTATCACCGCGACGCGTTGCGACGCTCGTTGTCACCAAGCCTGTCCTCTTCTGAGCTTGATTCCGCGTCATTGTGCTCGCTCATTTATCGACTATGTAACACTATGTAAATTTTATGTATACGATTGACACTTGTCACTTATTTTTATCGTCAAATCTTCGATGCGAAAAATTTCTCAATTCAGGCTATTTCATTTTCGCTCTCTGTTCCTCGGTCACTCCTTTCTCTCGAGGCGAAATTGCTTGCTCATCCTGCACGCTTGACTCCGAAGCTTTATCCGCAGTGGCGAGCTTTCGATCGCCTCAACTGTTCTCTCTCTCGCTGCTGCAGCCGAAAAATCGGTTGTATGTGCTTTCGAGTTGCCGATCTCTGAAAAATTCAATCAGAAAAATTATTGATTCAGAAATTGCATCGTTGATCGTTAGAGTATTCACCCACTGCGGGAGCGAACAAAAAGCTCTAAAACCAATGCAATCCTCGTCAACAACCTACCTAATATTTGCGGAGCACGTTGCGGAGTAGAGTAGGTCGCAAAGACAATAATTCAATCTCTCAACAACAATTGTGTCCGCTGCATGGAAAAGAAAAAGAATGATAAACGAGAAAATGAGAGAAGGAAAAAAGCCACTGTTATAAGTGTAGGTGTGTATGTGTATGTAGGTATACACTGCACGCGGGCATACACGGGCGCGCTTGCGAGGCGTGTGCGGCGGCGGGTACGTGTTGCAAGAAAAATGTGTAACAACTGAAGTGCGCGCTACGGCACACGAGAACAAACTGCCGGTACAATATCTGCCATGCCGCGAGGTAGCTTTACAAGGCGCCTCCTGCGAGAGAGCGCGAGAGAAAAAGAGAGAGAGAGACCGCGTCTACGTATATATATGTGACCGTGTGTTATAGTGAGTGCGCGCGAGCTCCGGCGAGCAGAAACAGCAGCAGCAGCGGTGCGAGCCTCGAGTTATTTTACACGATGTATACGCGTGTGAGTGTATGATGAGCAACCCGACGAGAGACGCTGAAAGAAAAAGAGATAGAGAGATAGTCTGAAACACGCAGTTTCTAGTAATACAAAATATAAATCAGCGATCGAGAGAGACAATGCGCGCGTTAGTGGTGGCACGCATGCAGTCTCTCTCTCTCTCTCTCTCGCGCGCACAGGAGCGACCCATAATCTTTTACATTTCGAAGGTGAAGAAAGAAATCTCGAAGAGAAATAAAAAAAAAAGAACTGAAAAGAAAGAATGAGAAAAGATATAATAGGCCACGCTTGCGGAATTCCAGGAGCGTGCGGAAGCGCTACTGGCTTGCAGGCAGCAGCAGTCCCATACCGATGAGTCAGAGTTCCGAGAGTGCGAAGATGTTAAAAGCATTTAAGGAGCAAGGGTTGAATATCGCGCTCGCGCGGTCTCTCTCTCTCTCTTTCTCGTTTGCCTCTCTCTCTCTCTGTCTTATTTCTCGCGCAGTCCTTAATAGTGTCGGCCGCAGTCCGTTTATTATACGCGAGCATTCCTGGCGTGCCTCGTCCTTTGACTTTTTCTCGCTGTAATTCGCTTTGGGCTCGGGTGTTATATATGTATACACCTACGTTATGTGCAGCTATAGGTCGAGAGGAGGCAATCGGCAGCTAATAATATATTCGCTTGTCCCAAGAGGCCCTTATTACAGGCGTGCATGCGCACGGAATTTTTTTTTATTTAAATTTATTTATTTCTTTTATTTACTATACGTTGTGAACGTCGAGTGAGGCGACGCGGTCGTTTTTCTTCCTTAATGAAAATTTAAACGAATTTCGTGGCGGTGGTTATGCACTATTTGGCTCGACGCTCGATTAAATGTAAATGATTGCGCGATGCGAGGTAAATTTGAACTTGGCGAACTTAAAAGTCTAATAGAGGACTCGTGTGTAATGTGTATCCGTGACATCCCGCTCACTTACACAGGCACACAAAAGCACCACTAAAAGTGTATACAACGAAGGAATTCAGGTCGACGTGATAAAAACACACGCAGGATGATCGATTCTCCAGAATTTACAACATTCAAATTCCGCGGTTTCTCTCAGGAATTTCCAAATTATGTGTCGAACATATACTATACGCACGGAGCAACCTTATACACACGCGTGCGCACGCACAATGTCGCATGTATCTACGCAGATGGATATTTATAATGACACACATGCACAGGCGCGCGCCTGAACGCGCTTCGCGATTTCTCGGACGAGCGAAAGACGTTGGCATAGAATTTCCATCGATCGTTCATTTTTTCCCTCCTCGACGATCTTTAACACGCATTGGAGCGTTTAGTCAGGCCGGCTTGTGGATGATCGAGCACGCGAAAAGCACAGCATCCTTTCGGCGGAGCAGCAACAGATGTATGTACACTCATGAATTAAAAGTACGTTTAACTTGTTGCGCTGGCTCGCAAGCGGCGCACATTAATCGGCTCGAAATCCGACAAAAAAGCGCTCCGATAAACACCGGAGGTTCAATTACAATGGCTCGAATTCGCGAGCGATTGCATCATAATATAAGGCGGCGGCAGCGGCAGCGGCAGTGGCGGCGGTTCGCGGATGAATTTATGAGCTCTCTGAACGCATTCATGCAGATTAGTCATTATACTATACGAATCGCGAGTGCTAGAGCGCGCGATGACTAATATTAAGCGTGTATACCTGCGCGCGCGCTCGGCACTTAAATGCGGGCTGCGATGGCTAGTTCGTGCAGATCAACGCGCGAAGCTCGATTTCTTTGACGCGGGTTTACCCGTAAAATTTGTTTGGGTGAATTTGACGTAAAAACGAATGTTTTTCTGAACGTGGGATTTGGTGCGAGAGTCGCCATTATATTATTATGTCAGCGAAACCCCATCAAGGTTTAGGTACAATGACAAACCTTCTCTCAAAATTAGCTAGCACTGATAAATAAAAAATACACTGAGATAAATGCACACACACACACACACACACGCGTCAAACTGAAGCGTCGAATTGAGTATCAAGAAATGCGAGAAAAAAAGCGCAAACGATTACACCGTTCATGCTGGCGGATTGATAAGAACTAGGCGAACTCGTTACGTTGCGAAGGCGTGTGCGCGCAAGTTCGTGTTTGATCGATTGTCGTCTTCGTTACGTTGTGCATTGCATATACGTCAACGCGGGCTATAAGAATCCTCCCACGTGCTCACACGTACTCTTTTTATACCTCGACTATAGAGCGTATATCGCGCGGCTAGTTCGGCGCCGGAGAATTTCAGTGCTATTGGAGAATTTTTTTTCGGCTAGCTACCACGGAGAGAGTCACGTTTTCACGCGAAATTATTTTTTAATGACACGAGCTTACCGTAATTACTCACGGACGATGAACAATCGCAAAAAATTGACCCAGCAATCGACGTATCGATGTTTAGCGTTACGCGCGTTATTGTGATTCATGCAAATTGTACACAGCCGATCGAAAAAGGCCATTAAACTCACCGACTCGCGCTGACAGGAGGATTCTAAATTGGACTGTATTTTCTACTTATTGGTTTAATTTGAAATAATGTGTGTTTTACTTCTTTTGCTCTTTTTCTCTCTCACTCGGGGGAGCGCATTCTTTCGTCCTAATAAAAACGGCTCGTGTTCGAATTAATTCACGAGGATTTCGTGCGATAATGATCTCGTGTCTCCGCCCCGATTCGCGAAGGAATTTGCAGGGCCTCACTCTCTTTTTCTCTTTCTCTTACTCTCTCGAGAGATATAAGGCTGTGGAATTCGATCGGCATCCCAAGATCGAATGCAGAGCAAACCGTATTATATGCTGTACAACACACACACACGGACAATATTATACACTTAAGCAGGCACACTCGAGGCGAGCTTGCGCGTGCGGCCCAAGTCTCGTAGCCGATCTTCGTAGCGCTAAGGGGCCTTTTATCGAGCGACCAGAGAAAAACGAGAGAGAACGCAGCCAAGCAGAAGATTCGAGGGTAGATTGGATTGTTTACCGAGGTTTTGTCCTTTCGAGAATTTGGTTGTTTTGAGCGGATCAAATCCTCGAATTCTTGTTCACTGTTTAAAAAACGATAGATTATGCTTCGGTATGTTAAATACATGGAAAATATACTGTCATTTAGCGTTTCAAAGTATTCAGATAACCTTTCTTGTTACAAAGCTTCTTTGTGGATGTTCAGAAACGATTAAACATAAATGGCAAAAACGGGAACAATGTTTTAATGCCACTGCTTGAGGTAGAGGAAAATTGTAATCCTGTGAGATAATAAAGTATACAGATTTCTAAATGGTAATTTTAATTACGTTAATTATTAGTACAATTTTTTTAGTATTAAATATCAAAACTAATTTTGTATATATGAAAATCAAAATTTTATGTATTGACTTGTTTACCTTTCGAATTGTTATAATTTATAGTTAAAATTTACAAAATAGAAAATTAGACTAAATCACTTCAATGAAATTATTAAATCTAAAATCTTATTCAATAATCTTGATATTATCTAAAATCTTATAACGAAATTATCAAATCTAAAACCTCATTTGATAAAATTTCGAATTTATACAGTTAAAAATAATAGCATCTTATGAGAAAACTTATAGACAAAGATGTTAACACTATTTTTTAAGTACCTGATAAATTATTCTATTCCATGCAATCGCTCAGAAACTTTTTGCTCTTTGGTGAGTGTCTCGTACTTATATCTATCAGGCACGAGTGATAGTTTATTTAATTCCGATTAAACTAGCAAGGCCTATTAGTTAGACATTTTTGTCGGCTTATCTGACTTTTTTGACTTATCTAAGTTCATTAAATTGTCACCGAGATCTTTGAAAAGATTTCTTAAGGCATCCAAATACTTGTTAAACAATTTTTTCAGAGTATCTTCCATCATTTCAGGGAACTGTTCCTTAACAGTGCCAGCAGCACTCTGGAATGAACTCGGAAGGGAACTCAAATCAACTTCAATACCAGATAGTTTAGTTTTAAGATCTTTCAAAGTGATCACGTACGGATCCTGTCTCATATCCATTTCAATTTTCATACGAATAGTTGCCTCATCGACTGTTAAATAAACATCTCCAAAGGTCATACTTATAACGACTGTTCCGACCATTTTGCCGTAGTGAAGTTTTAATTTTGGAGCTTTTAGTTCAAATTCCAATGTAAGAATTTCATCGGTCAAGTCTATATTAAAATCTCCATTTCTGTATACTCTACTAAGGTTACTAGAATAAAAAATAGTTTTTACTCATCATGTTGAAAATCGATCAAAAAATAAACAAATATAAACTAATGCCTTACCTTGCTTGTCCTTCGTATACTTCAAAAGAGCCACTTATTAGCCAGTTGTACTTGAAGGATCCCTCCGCGTCAGGGATATTAATTGTTCCAAGTTGACCTCGAGATAATAATGTGACTAAATTTTTTAAAAGTATATCGAAAAGTGTGTTGATGTTGTTCTAAAAAGCACATTGTCACAATTAACTTTTTATTAATATAGTTAATTTTTTTAAGTTTAATAATTACAAAAAGAAATACATACCCTTAAATATGAATTACCAAGGGCTAACGTATCTATGTTAGTATTAACTTTAGGTTCTGATCTCGATGAATTTCCAAAATTAGGAAATAAATTTTGCAGCCTTTCTAACTCTTGAAATTTGTTATTAACTTCGGCACAAATTTGATCAGATAAACAGAAACTGAATCTTTTGTAAAGTTCTGGTTCAATATACATTAGTGGTTTTGCACTGCAATATATAATTAACGTATTTTCTTATTTAGTAAATTAAAAGAAAAATAAATTATTAAAGAATACAAATTATCTCTTACCCTTGTCCAGGTTCCACGTAATATGTTAGTTTGCAGTTTTTAATACGTTTCTAGAATATTAATTAGGGTTTAAAGTGAAACATTTATAGAATATAAAATTTTTTCAAGACAATTACTTACATCATCAGGTAAAAATTTACCAGAAACATTTGCTCTAATAAGAGGGTACGTTTCTTTTCTCTGCAGTCCATTTTCTCTCCGTATTTGTGCTTAAATTAAACGACATCATTCAAATAAAAATCCTCATTAGATGCAGTATTTATTTGTATTAATTTTTATGTAAAAAAATAAACATAAATTTAGTCACCTGCAAAGTTTAGCTCGACGTCATGAATAAAAATTGTTTCTTGGTCAATTTTTAAATTAAGATCGTCGAAAGTTGCTTTCAAAGTACCACCGTTAATAGTTCCCACATTCTTGATAGGAATCCGCACTTTTTCATTATCCAATTTACAACCTAATAATAATGATATTCATTAGAGAATTTTCAATGAGTCCTAAACAATATATTCACAAACCGATCGTAGATCCCGAAGAATCACTAAAACAACATGCTAGAAAAAACGAAAAAAATATAAACTTGAAACCGTCCATTGTTACAGTTTTTCGAGACGTTAATGATAGCGGCGAACGAACCATAGACAAATGAGAATAAAATTTGACTCCTCGTGTTATATAAAGTCATAAAGTAAAATACATAAAATGATATCTATTCTTAATCTATATGATAAACTGAAGAGAAGTATAGACATAATTGTTGGAATACCAATTTAGTTCACACATGTATGAACAGTATAAGACTTTAAATCTTTAATACTAGTTATCGAAGTGATCCAAAGTTACCTGCACCGGTATCGTCATTCAAAATTAAAAAATCAAATAAAATGAAAAATTTTAAGCAAAGATTATTTTTGGATATCAGTATTAGAATATTTATGTGTGAAAAATTCGACAATATATGATAACCTACTAACATAATTTTATTATTTTGCTTTTTGTGTAAATTTACTTAATATTTATTGTAACTCATTTCGCATTAATAAAAATGTTTCTTTTTTTGTGGACAGGGTACTCGGTAAATAATAATTTTCGCCTTAGTCATTGTAATATCATAAATTAATACTGTTACTAATGATTCTTATGAATAATCAAAATTTTGAAAATTTATTTCATACAGTAAGTCAAAGTTATTTACTTTATTTACCTTTTTTACTGTCAAGTAAATGAATTGCAAATTCTAAGAATAATTATTTCAGCTCTATTTTAGCACTCAATAATTTTTCAATACTATACTTACTTGAATAAAATGTTTGGATTAAACGAAAAATATGTGTGACAAGTGTTAACGATTAAGAGATTCTAATTCGTTTTCATTCATTTATAAATTATTTTCAAGATCGTTAAAGAAATAAAAATCAAAATATCATGTTATATTAGTGGCAATTACTTCATGAATATCATTAATCTTACATACATTTGGAATAATCATAGATTGAAAGAAGTAGCCCTCAAAATAAAAAGTATATATTAAAGTCTTTGGAATTATTTAAACGTCTCTTTCGATGTAAGGTGCTGGACAGTAATAGCTTAGTCGAACTACGCATCGTGCAAAGCACCACGTAAAACGTACGTAAAAATCGAACAGCTGTTCAGTTTCAATCTTCGTTATGATAGATGTAATTCTAATAATTAGACATTGTTTATAAAAGATGTTAAAAAATAAGTACTACCGAATTTCCTAATTCTGAAACTTACCGCGATACTAAAATCTCCAATTTTAAGTTGTTTTGTGAAACTTGGATGGAAACAATAATAATATATTTTGTATCTCTTTCAAATGTCGGGAAGCTCTTTTTATAAATTATATCTTTGGAAAGCTTAAAATTTTCCCTACCAAAAAATATTTATTTCCATCTGGTTTCACATCTTTTGCGTTAATTGACAATCAAAACGTTTATCCTCGCGTATAAGAATATATATTAAAAATGTTAATTTCCTTTCCCATTTTCTCTTAATTTTAAGGAGAAATACCCATTTTCTATTTATTCTCAATTAGTGAATCCTAATAAATTATTTGGCATGTTTTATTTCGATTTGCATGCTTAGATCAATCGAACAAATCATCTTAACATTTTTGATTTCGACAATATCCAAAAACGTTCGAATTTTAGTGCGCGTACGCAGCGCCAAAACATCAGCGAACTGCCACGAACGTTTCATAAAACATCACATATACTCTGCTGCATATACTATATCGTCTAAGACCACGAAGTCTCAGACGAATCTTTGCAAAGCGGCGTGGTTTTGCACAGAGTTAATATTTGTAATTTTTTGTTAAAAGAGAAAAATATTTAACCGCTGAAAATGTCAGCAATCAGTTTACTCAATCCTAAGGCTGAATATGCCCGAGCTGCTCAGGCTTTGGCTATCAACATTTCTGCCGCTAAAGGTATTCAGGATGTAATGAAAACCAACCTCGGACCTAAGGGAACGATGAAAATGTAAGATTATAATACGTTGCGAGTTTGATGAGTTGGTTCAAGAAATATTAATTTTTTACTTACTAATGTTCATGACAACCTCGTGCTCTCACATTTTTGAATAATTTCTAAAATTAAGTTTGCCAAGTGTGCAGATTTTGGTTAGTTTCCGCTTTAAATCTCTCCTTATATGGTCATTAAAAGCTCCAACCTTATTAGCATGTGAACAAGATTTATAATGTTTTAAATTGTTGTAATAAGAAATAAAATTTACATTTGATTATTGTTAAATATTAATAGGCTTGTGTCTGGCTCTGGAGATATCAAAATCACCAAAGATGGCAATGTACTTCTTCATGAAATGCAAATCCAACATCCCACAGCGTCTCTCATTGCCAGAGCATCTACAGCTCAAAATGATAGCACCGGTGATGGTACCACTACCACAGTTTTGCTCATTGGTGAATTGTTGAAACAAGCTGACAATTACATCGCAGAAGGTCTCCACCCACGCATTCTTGTTCAAGGCCTTGAACTCGCCAAAGCCAAAATTCTTGAAGTACTTGAAAAATCTAAAGTACCAATCACTGAAATAACAAAAGAAGCACTTACTGATGTTGCAAGCACAGCACTGAGAACTAAATTACATCCTTCTCTTGCTGATAAACTCACAGACATCTGTGTTGAAGCTCTTCTTGAAATCAGACAAGGTGAATCAGATATTGATCTTCATATGGTCGAGATTATGGAAATGCAACACAGAACTTCGGCTGACACTACCCTAATCAAAGGTTTGGTTCTTGATCATGGTGCAAGACACCCTGATATGCCAAAAAGATTAGAGAACTGTTACATTTTAACATGCAATGTCAGTTTGGAATATGAGAAAACTGAAGTAAGTAAACATAACTTTTTTTGTACTTTTTTAAAATACATTTTACAATTTTCTGATATTTTGTATATACTCAGTAACTGTTATTTGCTCATTGAAAGTGAAGCAATTGTTTAAAATTTTCTTTGTTAAGTAACTTTACTACTTTTTATGTGAGATAAATTGTTAACATTATATTTTTACTTTTTAAATTTAATCTAATGAAAGGTATAAAATTAATCACACAACAATGTTTTTTCTAGGTAAACAGTGGTTTCTTTTACAAAACTGCAGAAGAACGTGAGAAGTTGGTTAATGCTGAACGTCAATTCATTGATAACCGTGTGAAAAAAGTTATTGAATTGAAGCGCAAAGTATGTGCCAACAATGATAAGAGCTTTGTGTTAATCAACCAGAAAGGTATTGACCCACCATCGTTAGATGCTCTTGCCAAAGAAGGTATCATTGCTTTAAGACGCGCCAAGAGGCGTAACATGGAAAGACTTAGTTTGGCTTGTGGAGGTCAAGCCATGAATTCTTTTGACGATTTATTGCCTGAACATTTGGGTTATGCTGGTCTTGTATATGAACATGTTCTTGTAAGTTTTTTCAGGAAATTTTGATGATTCTAATGATATTATATTTATAAAATAATCCAATTTTATATTATATATTTTAGGGAGAAACGAAGTATACTTTTGTTGAGAACTGCCAAAAACCCAACTCTGTGACAATTCTCTTGAAGGTAAATCAACATTTTATTCAATTGTTAATCAATATTTATTTAATGATAAACTCTAATAATAATTTAATCCATTTTCCTTAGGCACCAAATAAGTATACCCTTGCTCAACTTAAAGATGCTGTATATGATGGTCTTAGAGCTATTAAAAACGCTATCGACGATCGTGCCGTTATTCCCGGTGCAGGTGCTTTTGAGATTGCTGCTTACATGGCACTCCAAGAGTATAAAAACGAAGTTAAAGGAAAGCAAAGGTTAGGCGTTCAAGCTTTTGCAGATGCTCTGCTCGTAGTTCCTAAAACTTTAGGTAAATTGATGTTTTCTTATGTTTTTCTATTTTGTACATTATTCAATAAGAATTGATTATTAACTTATTTAAACTACTTGCAGCTGTCAACAGTGGATATGATTCACAAGACACAATTGTTAAACTGCAAGAAGAAGCAGTCGCACTTGATCTGCCAGTCGGTCTAGATATCAATTCTGGCGAAACTTTAGACCCACGGGCAGCTGGAATTTACGACAATTTCATTGTTAAAAAACAAATAATTAACTCTTGGTAAGTTGAATTTTACGTTTGACGATAAAATGTAAACATTACAGTTCTGTATTGATTTTTTATGTTTAATTTATTTCAGCTCGATCATTGCCAGTAATCTTCTCCTTGTCGATGAAATCATGAGAGCCGGTCTGTCATCATTGAAAGGATAAGTGATGAATAATAAAAAAGCAAAAATATTTTTATCAAAGCGTTGCCTCCCGTTTAATGTTCTCTAATCTGCCAGCTTGAGAAACAGTTTTACTGCTATATTTTTTCTACTGCAGTGCAAAGCATACACACGAATTTGTATTACACTTGTCTGGAAATAAAAGTATTTCGTACTACTGTTTAAATATTTGCTGATTTTCATTTTATTATTTAATCATAAGTGAACATTTTATTATTCATATAAATTGAAAGAGACAATCACAAATTTTTAACATGAGTTACACGAAAGTTGATTAAAAGTAAACTTGATTTATTTTATTGCAAGAAAGGTTTTTTTTATGCCAGTATTATTTATTACTAAAACTATAAGTATAAGTTTTTCGTTTACATATTTTCATGTAAGGTCAAAATCTTCTTAGATGACGAAGAATTTCTGAAAAAAAAAATATATTTTAGTTATATTGAGTTTCTTCGATTAATAATTATCTTTCAGAACTTAAGATGTTTACCTCAGGGTTGGTTTGTTGGAAGCATTGAACAAGATTGAACGCCGAATCACACGGGTTCTTACCAGCTATTGCAAGAATTAAATTTATCGTAAGAAAGATAGTTTATTGAATGTGGTTTTAAAAGCATCATGGACTTACTCAAATGACGGCATTTTTCAATCATCTCGGTTCCATGTTCCTTAAAGGATTCGAGACCCTCCAATCTTTTCAAAACTTCATCAAAATTTAAGTGACCATCATGATCAAGCTATTGAAATGAAGGTAGATATGTAAAAAATTGTTCTATGATTGTCTAGAATTATAAAAACAACTTTTAACAATTACCAAATTAAATTGATTGAAAACGCACGAGAAATAGCATCCTAGAGTCTCACTGGGATGGAAGTAACCTTCTACCGTTCTGTCAACGTGTTCTAAAAAAAATAATGAAATATTATAGTTTAAAATAGTTTAAAATACACAAGATATCAGGCTAAGCACTATGAACACTTGCCAATATCAACACCAGTTTCTCTGTGACATTTTTCACGTACTCCCGCAATCAAATCTCGGATTTCAGCAGGAACTTCCTATTCGTGGAGTTAATTTTAAGAAAATTAAAAAACTCAAAATTATTATATTCCATCCAACACGAATTATTGTAAAAACAAACTCACGTTTGCTGCTTCTACCCGGTAAGTCACCAAGAAAATTGCAAGACAGAGGGCGATTTTTTGCATTTTGGTAATGTTGTAGTTATTGCAAAGATACTTCAAAAACTAATACTGACGATGTTATTTGAATTTTCTTTTATACCCGCAACTCTCGCTATCCTCCACATCATCGTGATAACATAGTTTGAGCAGCGTTTGCATAAGTAAAACAAATTAGTATACAAAACTATGATATTATTCAAAGAGTTTATTTGCTGTATTGAAATGACTTGATACTTTTAAAATTGTTTACCAGCGTTAGGAAAATTATACATCTATCGATTTAAATTCATATGCATCCTACGAGCTATTTGAAATACAAAAAATTAGCTTGTGAACAAAAAAGAATCGCAAAATTGTTGTATTATTCACCATTTTTTATTGTTGAGTCCAAATTTTCATTTCGTATGTGATATTTCAGTATATCTTTCATTCGAGTGGTTCTCAAAAACGATAACTTTATTCATTTATTTTAACTCCCAGCTATAGGGTTTGATGGATAGAAAGTATTTTTAGCTTTTAAAAATAGAAATATTTCGCTTTTTGTATGGAATAGTCGCAGCAAAAATATATAGAAATCCAAGCGTCATTCTAATTTCAGATTATGCTTATCAGTTATAATAAGCAGGATGGATGAAAAAAATCATGTTTTACAATTACCATTGCACGTAAAATAATCGTACATTGTAAGCTAGCTCATCAGACAATTACATAAAATGACATTGGTTTGATTTTACAGTGTTTTTTCACGATTCATTCACATTATTTAATGTAATAACTAGCAAAATTACTAAATCACTGATGCTCGATTTTCAAAATCATTTTTCAAGAGTAATCATTAATTTTTGAAATCAGAGGAACTTAAAAAAAGTGTTAAAACTCATTTAAGTTATTAAGGTTTTTTCTAATCTATTGATTTTAAATATTATGAGTAGATTTTTAATGAACATCTGAAAAAGTAATATTCAAAAAAGGTTTTTAAAAAAGTTTTATGAATATTTTTTTGAGAAGTGGCGATAAACTTTTTTTATGTAATATTATTGTATGGGGTAATTCCAATTAAAAATACTAAAAATGATGAAAGTTTTTGAATTTTTCGCAAATCTCATAGTAAATGTGGATATGAATTCTTTCGAACGTGTTAAATATATTTTTCAGTTAAATGAACTTAATGATTGGATGAGAAGTGTTATTTAATGCTAATTCTCGTCTCTTACAACAATTTAACCCATTAAGTCTCAAGAAGTCGTTTTTTCAACACTTTATTCGACCACAGTATTTTTAGTGAAAATGAAGTCAAAAAAATATGCGAGTAACTAATTCTAATGTAAAATTTAATGCCCTTTCAGAATCTGATTTCAGATTTTCGAAAAAATGATCAGGTCAAAAGTTAAACTTGGTTTTATAAAAAAAAAACGTAATTAAAAAAAAAATTTTTTTGTATTTTTCGATTTTCCAAATGGAAACCATTTGAAATCTCAGAGGTTTCGTGTAGATTGTGTCCTCGATACTTCAACTAAAAGTTAGCGGGGTTCGGATTGAAAAAAATAAAGTTCAAAAATACACTTTTTTCTCGAACCCACTGTTTTTGAAAAAAATTCTAGTAGTTTTCATTCATATTTTCGTATTTCGACTGTCATTTTTTGTGTTTAAACATTCATTTTTCCAATCGGACCCCCGTTAACTTTTAGTTTAGGTATCGAGGATGCAATATTTGCACGAAACCTCTGAGATTTCAAATGGTTTCTATTTGGAAAATCGAAAAGTACAAAAATTTTTTTTTTTTTAAATTACGTTTTTTTTATACAACCAAGTTTAACTTTTGTCCAGATCATTTTTTCAAAATCTGAGATCAGATTCTGAAAGGGCATTAAATTTTACATTAGAATAGGGTGTAGTGCATATGCACTACGTATACCCCCCCTTGCCCCACAGGTCTTTGGGCCTGGGCAAATGCGAGACAGTAGGGAGGGGTGTAGTAGTAATCTCTTCCTACGCACGGGCTCTAAGCCTTCTGCAGGCCCTTCTAAAAAGAAAGAGTCTAGTAAGCGAGAGAGAGAAAAAAAAGTAGTTATTCGCATATTTTTTGACCCATTTTCACCAAAAATACATTGGCCGAATAAAGTGTTGAAAAAATGTCCTCTTGGGACTTCATGGCCAATTGTCTTGATTTAAATTATCAATCTATTAAAATCCAGCAGGGAAGGTTTTTTATGTCTAAAGTTATTTTAGATGTCTAAATGCATATTTGCTACACTTTCCATTGGAATCTTTTAGTTGTATTATGTTGATTTATTAAATTTATGTAGATTTAACCATACATTTAAAAATTTTTTTAAAGATTCTGTACTTTCCAAGTGATAACAATATTTACATTTTAAGATGCAGTTTGATGAGGGCTGAGATTTCGATCTGAAATTTTAACTTGAAACTACAATGATGATTTTGATAGTAAAATTAATATTACTAATACGACACATTACTTTTACATTTGCTTTATTCAAAATCAACAATAACCAAATATATATATATACTTATACTATGCAGTCATTCTTCTTCAAGACAAACATTGTCGATTTTCACTTTGTCAGCTCGATCACATAATTTCGTCAAAAGAAATTTATGATAAGGATTGGCATTTGCATACAAGGGGTGATTTTATATTGCAATTAACTGTCCCTAGAGTAACATTATCTTTTTGGGCATGAGAAAGAAGTCATGAAATATTTAAAGTAAAGTTCCATGAGAATTTTTATTGTGACGCTTTTTTATTAAATACAAAGCATACTTCTTCTCTTGTATCAAAGATCGGTAACTATCACAAACCGTTCGATAATCACTAACTTACCAACAAATTAAATAAAATCTGAATCGCCTAGATTACCAACAATCGATACGAAGTTTATTTTCAAGTTGTCTTAATGCATTCAAAGTTACATGCTTTACTTTCTCCATACAATGTAGTCACTATTTCCCCTTCTCGTTTTCCAGGCGCATTTTCTCATTTAGAAAGGTACTATGGTTCAGGACCGTAAGCAGTCTGCATACGAAACCCCCATTGAGCTCAAAGTAACGAGTACAGGCCGAGGCATCATTTCAAAATCCAAGGGGGCTAGATTGGCTACTTTGCCGTTCATTTTTATGTGCGGTTAACCCAACGTGTAATGATACACAAAACGATATGCAGTGAGAGAGAGAGAGAGAGAGAGAGAGAGAGAGCATCAGCAGCAGCAGGTTGACCTGGATGACAGCGAGATGCAACAATACGAACATGTCAATTATAAGACGCTTATTTTCACTGACTTGGTAATTTTTCATTTTTTCGCTCTCGTGTTTAAGCGAAGCTGTAGCATTTCTTTTCTTAACAGTTATAATATACCTTCATTGGCCCAAGTGCGCAGGTATGAAAAAAAATAACGTTTTCTTGCTATTTTGAAGTATTTACGAGCGAGTAAAATGAGCCGTAGAAGTACAGAGGCATTATGATATTTTTTCCTCTCTTCCTCTCACACGCGTAAACGATGCATTCGACTCGTTATTATTTTCAGGTATTATTTCGCAAGTCCACTTTTTTCCTTCATTCGTTTCTTTGCGCTCATAGCGATACAAGCTTCTGCAGCGGTATCATAACACCTATACACATGCAAGGGCTGTAGATTGTATATAAATAGCGATTCACCATAGTCTTCGCGGGGCTCTATAGGTATATAAATCGTCCGTAATACACACTTATAAGGCACATCTAAGACATGATTTGCGTTTTCCACGCTTGCGTTCATAAATTCATTTCACTCGCGCTATTACGTGAGATGTTCGAGTGTAGGATAATATTTTTTTGTTTTGTTTACCGTATCACTGCGCTCCTACGGCATTCATGTATATTATATACTTATGTATTTTACGTGTTGTGCTCGATCGCAGACTATATAATACAGTTGCGAATCATAATAAGGCGCGAAACGTACAATGTATACGATACACCCACAATATCATCATCGGCGTGCAGACAGTCGGATAAAATATTGTATATTAAATAAGTAGCTTTGTTTACGAAACATCGAGCGAGCTGTGCGATATTGCATGTATCCTTATGCAGATGCGCGGCGCACTGCACTGGTGGTGGCCCGCGCGAGCTAAGAATCGCTGTTGTGGCTTTTGGAGCTCTTCGACGTATGAATGTGTATGCGCATGTCTATAGGCGACTACTCAAAACGGTAAACGGTCGCGTGTATTACAATGTAGCGTGCACAAGTATATACAGAAACAGTCGCGCCGTTCTATAGCACATGCAACGAGAGATTTTTCTAATTATCGAAAAAACGCGCATCAATTGTTTGTTCGAACATGCGCACGTACATTGGCTTTGTGTATATACACCAAGTGAGCATGGATTTTGCTGCGCATCTTTTGCGGTTTTCTCTCTCTCTCTCTCTCGAAGCGCGCGTGTGTGCATACTTATAGAGCGAGGTATTGCATAAAAAAAAACGAAGGAAAAATACCCGACCACGTTTGCGCGGTTTATGCGTTATTTGAGAGCACAAACCATTCGCGCGAGCGAACGCGTTCATCGCGGTGTATTGCGTCAACGCTGCTATTACTACTACTACAAGTTTGCTTCTACCACTGCTATACGACTACCGACCTGTTTGCAAGCTTCGCATATATACATGCGTGTATAGGCATACATATGCGAAACGGAGTGCATGTATACAGGCGAGCGCATTCCTCATTTTTCGACTCGTGCGCGCGTATTTAATAAACTTTTAGTGTACGATATGTAAGCGAGCCTCGCGTTCGCGCTTTATTACAACGCTGCATGCGAAATGCATTAAAAGCTACGTGGCATATTCTGGATCAATTGACCGGCCGCGCGGCAGCATATATTGCGTATAATGAGCAATTATTATCGCCGGCTTTGTGCGTATTCGATATCTATGTACGGATAACGTATTATACGTCTCGAATGCGCACATGCGACAAAAGCAGTTGGCATGTAGGTAGGTATACCGTGGCGGTACAACAGCTCAGAGCGCGTATAACCGCGGCCCAATACAAAACATTCCAAGCGTCCATTCA